AACAAAACGTTAAAATTAAGGTTGTGGGACGCAGAAAGTGGAGGGTGAGATAGGTGTTCTGCAGCTAAAGCAGATGTGACATAATTCCCATGACATTATGAAAGTAAAATTTTTAATATAGTAGAGCAGGTGTAGTAATGAATCCTTTAAATTTAAAAAAGAAAAATGGAGTGAATGCATACAGAAGATTAGTTTATGTACGAATTTGTGAACTAATGATTTTTTAAATGAAGTGCTGACATAAACGAAAGACTAAGTGATCTAACATAACGAAGAAGTATTTGAAAATGTACGAATGAATAAATGAAGAATGAGTGAAAGGCCAATATTCTGAGCGCACGAACCTTTAGTATGAACGAATGGGTACAGTTAGATACATGTAACTGTTATAGGAGTTGGTATGGATTTTACCAAAGGTGGTCGACAAATAGTTAACCGAACAAATGGGTGAACTGGAACGAACAGATAAGTGAATTCAAAGGGAGCTTATTTCCTCGTTTTTAGGCCCGAACATAGGAATAACCGAACGTTATTCCCCACGTGAGACTTACGTGTACGTGCCGGGTCTCATGTGTGGAAGCTGGGTGAAATGCTTGTAGAGAAGCCGGACGGAACGACCAGAGGACGCTGCAGATTAGGAGATTTTGGCGGGTATCTCAAACCGGAAGTGCTGGTTGCTATGGGGACGTTCAATCAGCGTGAATGGCATAGGTAAGTAGGAGCATAGGGTTTAAATAGGGAACATAACTCCTCTCACAAATTCAGGCCTTATGGCCTTTCTATATATATATATATATTTATATATATATATGTGGGAAAATTTATCCATACTTACCATAATTTTATTTTCCTGGTCATATGCCATGGCAGCACAACGATGGGTAGCTCCTCCCTACCCCTAATTAGACAGGAAGTAATTAAAATAAATGTATAAGTACCTCCTCCTATCCCCTCCTCCCTCAGTCTTGATACTAGCAATATACCAGGGTAGGACCTTTGTGCTGCTATGGCATATCACCAGGCCATATCCATGGCAGCACAACGATGGGTAATACCCAAGCAATAACCAAGGGAGGGAAGAATAAATAAAGAAACCACAGACTCCAAAATATGATATGCAGAGTGTATTGGTACCACAAACCAAGTGACAAACACCAAAACTTCAGGAATCAAGTGTTTCATACAGAAAGGACACTTTTAGCAAACTGGTCCGAATGACCGGCTCTGACATCCACTTGGTAATGTCTGATGAGAGTAGTGGCAGAGGACCAAGTGGCAGCTCTACAAATCAGTTCAGGAGAGACCTTGGCAGAGGAGGCCCAAGAGGAGGAAAGGGATCTCGTGGAATGAGCATTGAGTCCATGAGGGATTGGAGCTTTCGAGGCCTGATAAGCATGGATGGTGGCTGAAACAATTCATCTGCTAATGGTAGATTTAGGAGTCTGACTGCCCTTCCTAAATCAGTTATAAAGGACAAAGAGGCCTGAAGATGAATGCCAAGGGGCGGTTCTGTCAAAGTAGAGTCTGAGGCATCTCACCAAATCCAAGGAGGAAAGATCGCTGACATCACCATCTACTTGTGGAACTGGATGCAAAGCTAGGAGAACAATTTCCTCTTTAATATGAAAAGCGGAGGTGACCTTAGGCCAAAATTCTGGGATAGTACGAAGGACGACCCTGTCCTTGTGGAAGACTGTGAAAGGCTCCTTGACCGACAGAGCATGAAGTTCCGAGACCCTTCTGCATGAGACCAAAGCCACCAATAAGGCAGTTTTAATGGAGAGGAAATGGAAAGGAACTGAGTCCAAAGGTTCAAAGGGGTGAGACTTTAGAGCTTGGAGAACCAGAAGCAAGTCCCAAGGTGGAGCGAACAGCTTAATCGGAGGTCTGAGTTTTAGAACAGCTTTAAGAAACCTGGCCAAGTTCGAATCAAAGGCCCATTTGTGGTTAGTTAAAGCCGACAAGGCAGATACGTGAACCTTCAAGGTGTTGTAGCTCAGACCCTTCCGAGGCCAGACTGAAGAAAGTCTAAGATATTCCCTGTGGAAGGACACTGGATCGAGACATCCCTGGAGGAAGCCTAGGAAGAGAAAACATCCCAAATTCTATAGTATGCGTCAGAAGTGGAACGCTTCCTAGCCCTGAGTAGGGTGTCTACCGCAGCATGAGAGAAGCCCTTATTCAACAGCATTTCCCTTTCAACCTCCACGCCATCAGGTTGAGGGAGGACGGGTCTGGGGGGAGAACAGGACCTTGACACAGAAGGTCTGGGACTCTCGGAAGACTCCAAGGTGGCTCTACACAAAGGCTCTGCAGGAGAGGAAACCAGGGTCTGCGAGGCCAAAACGGGGTTATGAGTATGAGGGAGACGCGAACCATCCTCATTCTCCTTAGAATGGGAAAAATCAGGGAAAAGTGGGGAAATGCATATCCCTCTCGAAATCGCCAGTTGCTGGAAAGTGTGTCCCTCCCCATGGCTAGAGGATCGTTGTCCTTCACGAAGAAACGCTTTATCTTCCTGTTCTTTCATGACGCAAACAAGTCCACTTGAGGAAGGCCCCATCTGTCCACTATCATTTGGAACACGTCGTCCGACAAAGACCACTCTCCCGGATCGATTTTGGATCTGCTAAGGAAATCTGCAATCTGATTTTGTTTCTGACGAAAGATGAATTGCTGTGAGGCCTGCCAGGTGTCGTTGGGACCATGACATCAACTGATGCATAAACACCATCATCCTGCAGCTCCTGGTGCCACCCTGATGGTTGATATAGGCTACCACCGCAGCATTGTCTGACCGAATCTTCACCCAATGGTGACGAATTAGCGGAGAGAAGTGTTTCAGTGCTTCAAGAACAGCAAAGAGTTCCAGGGGATTGGAAGGCAAGTTGTCCGCAGGGAACTTCCACTCCTCCTGCGCGAAGTCGTGTTGACAACGGGCTCCCCAACCCCAATGGCTGGCATCCGTCATTATTACTATCCACGGTACGTCTCCCAGAGAGAAGCCCTTGGCTAAGGAGACACTGTTCAGCCACCAAACCAGGGAATTGTGAACTGACAACGGAATCTTGATGGGCTGGAGTAGACTCTTTGAGGAGAATTGGAGGAGGAAGTTCGCCTGAAAACTCCTCATTCTCCATTGTGCCTACCTTGTCAGTCCTATCGTGGAGGACATGGAACCCAGGAGACTCATCGCCTTCTTTGCTGAAGTCATCTTGCATGCCAACATCTCCACAACCTGTTTTATTATTTTTTTGCACCAAGGCACTCTCTACATTAGTTTCTCCTCTAGGTTGGGGTGGAGGGAGTGATTGCATGCCCAGGGGGCCCAAGCAGATGCTTGCCCAGGGTCCAATCAATATTAAAGACGGCCCTGATAACTGTTCGTGTGGTTATAGTGGATAGGTGATCTGGCAGTGTCATAGTTTTTGTTTGCATATCTCAGTTTCTGTGGTCTAGGAGTGATTGTTTTGGGGTTGTGGTATTGTGCAGATGAATGAGCAGTGTAACCATCTTACGGAGCGCAGGAAACAGGAAACAGGAAGTCTTCTGGGAAAGAGGAAACCACTCAAGGGCAAGGAGGTACTGGGACTTGCTGCTTAAATAGGCTGCACTGATTAGCAGCAGGGCTGGTTACTACAATAAGGTGAGTAACCATAGCAACATTAACGAAGGAGCTGATCATTAAAATGAGGTGAAAGCTCAGACACAGAAAAAGGAAGGGTTGCTGTTTAAAACCCTGACACCTATGCTGCCTTTTGAGACCATATGGCAGTCCAGGAATAAGAATTACCCCCATCATGGCATACCATTCACAAAAGTAAACAACCCATGGTATTCAGAATGGGGTAAGTTCGGTCTTTTGTAACAGCCACTTAGTGACAAACCCTGGCCAAATTTAGCGTTCAGATTTGTGTTTTTTTTGTGCTTTTCTCACACAAAAACTGCGCTTTCATTGATATTGTCATCATTACAAGTTTTACTGGTCTAAAACACTCATATTTATGTTCAACCCAGTCCCACGAGTACAACAGTACTCCACATGTACAGGTTTTAGGAAGTTTGGGAAAGTTACAGGGACACATTTGTTTCCTATTTCTGTTTGCCTGATTGGTTTACTGGGCCCATGCTGCCTTAGAGACCATATAGCAGCCTAGGAATGAGAATTACCCCCATTATGACATTTCACAAAAAAACTGTGCTTTTACTGGTGATATCATCACCATTACAAGTTTTACAAGTTTTAGTTTTCAACACAGTCTCACGAGTACAACAGTACTACATTTGTACAGACAGGTTTTATGGGGTTTTGGAAAGTTACAGGGACAAATATAGGGCTTGTAAATTAAATTCTCTGGGTTGTCAGGCAGGTCCCTTGAATTATAATTAATAAACATACTTAATTATGTAAAAATAGTAGATAAATATACATGTCGATATATATATATATATATATCTATATATATAGAGGATAAAGAGATGCACTCTCAGGACTTTGAAAAAATAGTTAATTTATTCCAGCAGGTATAACATCAAAGTTTGCCGACGTTTCGACCCATTCGGGTCTTTCTCAAGGTCAATGTACCTGTACTTACAAGCCATTTATATAGGACATAAAAAGAAGTACTCACCAATCTGTGAAGAACCCCCTGAATCCCTCCGTGCACACCCGGAAGTGAAACCGGAGATAGAACCCACGATCACATGATCCATACATAAGTGATCATGTGGTGTTGCTAAGATACCGATAGGAAAACAATTAATTATAAGATCGGTAAATATCTCATAGATGTGCAAGTGAAATGTCTAATATCAATCTATTGATGAAATCTGATTAAAGTGCAGAGTGCATAAATCCGCAAAAATGCAGCCTAATATAAAAAAAATAAGCAAAGATCATAAGATCAAATATACTGTGTAAAGTGTCACCATATATCTAAAGAAGTGATCAAAAAAATAAAGAATGTTATGTTAAAAACATTTCACCAACCATGTCAAGTTTAGAAGGCATTTAGCTGAAGCAATCTATAACACAAAAAACTAGCAGGCTAAAAAAAAAAAAAAAAGCCATTAGAATAAAGGCTCCAAAAAACCAATAAGGATCACAAATATACTTAGAGAAAAAGGGAAACCATATGATTATTCAAAGAACATTATTATTAAAGAAACATAGAGAGCACAATATTCTCGTTGAGTCCTCTTGGTGTCACTGTGTCCAGCCGATGGATCCATTGTGCCTCACGTTGAAGTAGTTTCTTTGATCTGTCACCCCCTCTGGACATTGGGGGGACATGATCAATAGCCGTGAAACGTAACAGAGGAAGTCTATGTTGCATATGTAGGAAATGTTTAGCGACTGGCTTATCGCTATATTGATCTCTAAATGCTGTTGTTATGGTCGACCGATGTCCCCTTATGCGGTCTCTCAACGTCAAGTCGGTTTTGCCAACGTACGAAAGTCCGCAGGGACATGTGATCATGTATATCACATGGTCAGTGGTACACGTGATATAATGAGATATTTTAATTCTCTGACCGCTATGGGGATGAGCAAAGGTCGTGCCACTGACCATGTGACTACATGTCACACATCCACTGCATTTATAACAACCTTTCTTCACAATACTCCTCGGTTTACGGTAGCAAATTTCTGGGTCACTCTTCACCAGAAGGTCCTTTAAGTTTTTGTTTCTTCTGTAACTGATAACAGGGGAACTCATGAATGTATGAGGTAGTGATTTATCTGAACGTAATATATCCCAATGTCTTTGGATAGATTGTCTAATTTTCGATGTTCCAGTGTGAAAAGTCATGGGAAGATAAATTTTTGGTTCTTTTGGTACCTTCTTAGTTTTATCATTCAATCTTTCTTGATTCCATATATTCAAAGCTTTAGTTTGTGCTATTTGGAGAGTTTGTGGACGATAACCTCGCATACGAAATCTCTCCCACATTTCTTCCAATTGGGCTCTTCGTTTTTCGGTTTCTGTATTATATCTTAATGTCCTTAAGAATTGGGAGACCGGGAGTGATTTCTTAAGTTGTTGTGGATGAAAACTGGAGGCAGATAAGAGAGTATTACGATCCGTATTTTTACGGTATAAAGTAAATTCCAATTTGTTTTCTTTTTTATAGATGGTGACATCCAAAAATTGAATTGATTTTTCATCAATTTGATAACTCAGTATAACAGGTGTAGAAGATTGATTTATTTCATGAATCATTTGTTCCAGATCTATCCTGGTACCTGTCCAAATCATGAACAGGTCATCTACAAACCGATAATAATGTTGAATATGTTGTCCAAATTTTTCCAAAATATGATCACATTCAAAAATGTACATGAAGGCATTAGCATATGATGGTGCCATTGCCGCCCCCATCGCAGTGCCGGATACTTGCACATAGAATTGGTTTTCAAATTTAAAATAGTTGCATGTAAGTGCAATCATTAGAAATTCCAACAAGAATTCAATTGGCGGACCTTCATATATGGTAGATTTGACCAGGATCTCCCTCAAAGCCTGTACACCCTCCCTATGAGGTATGATGGTGTACAGGCTCTGGACATCCATCGTAACTAATAAGGATGTCGACTCCACATGTGGTGTTTGTAGGATTCTGGACATAAAGTCCTGTGTGTCTCGTAAGCATGTAGGCAAAGCCATAATGCTATCTTTAATAAAAGTATCAATATATTTGGCAATTGGTTCGATTATGCCATCTCTAGTCGAAACTATGGGTCTTCCTGGTGGTTGTAGTGGGTCTTTATGGATCTTGGGTAGCGTATACAGTACCGGATATCTGGGGTGCTCAACTGTGAGGTACTGAGCTGTGTGAGTATCCAAGTACTCCAATTGTAATCCCAATTCAACATGATTTTTTATTCTTTTTTGGAATTTAGCCGTTGGATCAAACGTAAGCTTCGTATACACAGAGGTATCACTGAGTTGTCTCAGTATTTCTTTCCGGTATTGGTCGTATGATTGTATCACCGTTGCTCCCCCTTTATCAGCCCCACGGATTACTATATTAGGGTCTTGACTGAGGTCCTTCAATGCTGCTTTTTCTCCCGGACTTAGATTCTGATGGGACAGAGGTGGATTTTTAACAATTTTTTCTATATCCATTTTAACCGTCTGGATAAATGCTTTAATGGATGAGTTAGCAGTCCGAATATCCCTTTTGTTTTTCATTGGAAAAACATGAGTAGGTTTTTTTGTTGGATGTTTCTTGATCTCGTTACTATATAGTATTCTTTGAATCTTGTATAATTCAACCTCCGTCTGAAACAAATCAGGCTTTGCGACTGGAACAAAAGAGAGTGCTTTATTTAGAAGTGAGTAGTGATCAGAGTTAAGTATTTTATTAGACAAATTAAAAACCGTTATTTCCTCATCCTGGGTGGTTTGCCCATGGGGTTTGTATTTTTTCCAATTTCTTTTCCCTCGTCGTATTGGTCGGCTCTTCTGGCGCCTCTGGTGTTGACTCTTATTGTATCTGGAGGTTCGTTTTGTTGTATACCTCTGCCTAAAAAAGGATCTGGGGTTGGTCTTCTTAAATCTTCTCTGGAATCTGGATCTGAGGTGGAATCGCCTGAACTGGCATCTATGGTGTTAAATAGAGGTTTACGTATCTTTGTCCTGGGTCTAAACCTTGATCCATAATTTTCTTGAGCACCCCCTAACCACCTATACACCTGGTGATATTTATAATCGTTGTTCACCTTCTCCAATTTTTGTTTCTTAAACCGAATCAAATCATGTTTGTATTTGTTAATTTCATCCTGAAGTTTGATCATCTGAGTAGTGGCTGTTGATGCTTGTAATGTTATCATATTTGTGGTTTCCAGGTTTTGGATTGTTTGCTTTACAAAAATTAACTCTTTACCTACCTCCTCCACCACAATCACCATCCAGTCCAGAGAGCATTTATTGGATATCTGCATCCACTTTTTGCAGAATTCCGGATTTTGTCTCCCAATTGTAGGTGCATTTTTAACCCTAAATCCTCTAGGTATCCTTTTTGCCCTATGGTAGTCTGAGATAAATACACCATGGAGGTCCAAATCCGTTTCTCGTTTCTTTAATTTCAACAAATCATTATATAGATCTTGAACAGTATTAGTGTGTAAAAGAATACGGATCGTAATACTCTCTTATCTGCCTCCAGTTTTCATCCACAACAACTTAAGAAATCACTCCCGGTCTCCCAATTCTTAAGGACATTAAGATATAATACAGAAACCGAAAAACGAAGAGCCCAATTGGAAGAAATGTGGGAGAGATTTCGTATGCGAGGTTATCGTCCACAAACTCTCCAAATAGCACAAACTAAAGCTTTGAATATATGGAATCAAGAAAGATTGAATGATAAAACTAAGAAGGTACCAAAAGAACCAAAAATTTATCTTCCCATGACTTTTCACACTGGAACATCGAAAATTAGACAATCTATCCAAAGACATTGGGATATATTACATTCAGATAAATCACTACCTCATACATTCATGAGTTCCCCTGTTATCAGTTACAGAAGAAACAAAAACTTAAAGGACCTTCTGGTGAAGAGTGACCCAGAAATTTGCTACCGTAAACCGAGGAGTATTGTGAAGAAAGGTTGTTATAAATGCAGTGGATGTGTGACATGTAGTCACATGGTCAGTGGCACGACCTTTGCTCATCCCCATAGCGGTCAGAGAATTAAAATATCTCATTATATCACGTGTACCACTGACCATGTGATATACATGATCACATGTCCCTGCGGACTTTCGTACGTTGGCAAAACCGACTTGACGTTGAGAGACCGCATAAGGGGACATCGGTCGACCATAACAACAGCATTTAGAGATCAATATAGCGATAAGCCAGTCGCTAAACATTTCCTACATATGCAACATAGACTTCCTCTGTTACGTTTCACGGCTATTGATCATGTCCCCCCAATGTCCAGAGGGGGTGACAGATCAAAGAAACTACTTCAACGTGAGGCACAATGGATCCATCGGCTGGACACAGTGACACCAAGAGGACTCAACGAGAATATTGTGCTCTCTATGTTTCTTTAATAATAATGTTCTTTGAATAATCATATGGTTTCCCTTTTTCTCTAAGTATATTTGTGATCCTTATTGGTTTTTTGGAGCCTTTATTCTAATGGCTTTTTTTCCCTTTTTTAGTCTGCTATTTTTTTTATTTTTTTTTTGTTATAGATTGCTTCAGCTAAATGCCTTCTAAACTTGACATGGTTGGTGAAATGTTTTTAACATAACATTCTTTATTTTTTTGATCACTTCTTTAGATATATGGTGACACTTTACACAGTATATTTGATCTTATGATCTTTGCTTATTTTTTTTATATTAGGCTGCATTTTTGCGGATTTATGCACTCTGCACTTTAATCAGATTTCATCAATAGATTGATATTAGACATTTCACTTGCACATCTATGAGATATTTACCGATCTTATAATTAATTGTTTTCCTATCGGTATCTTAGCAACACCACATGATCACTTATGCATGGATCATGTGATCGTGGGTTCTATTTCCGGTTTCACTTCCAGGTGTGCACGGAGGGATTCAGGGGGTTCTTCACAGATTGGTGAGTACTTCTTTTTATGTCCTATATAAATGGCTTGTAAGCACAGGTACATTGACCTTGAGAAAGACCCGAATGGGTCGAAACGTCGGCAAACTTTGATGTTATACCTGCTGGAATAAATTAACTATTTTTTCAAAGTCCTGAGAGTGCATCTCTTTATCCTCTATATATTTTATCTACATGGGATTGCACCTTTGAAAGGGTGAGTGCCAAGAAAAACATTGTTTTATATATCTATATATAGATATATATATATATACACACACACATACACATGCATACATACTCACATACACACATATATTTTCTTATTTTAATTTTTATATATAAAATATAATTCTAAGTGTATTTTGCTATATATGTATATATAAAAAAATATCAAGATGTGCAAATGATATTACAAATATATATATATATATATATATATATATATATATTTTTTTTACATTTTTATTTTATGTATATAATTTATTAAATTAATTCATCTGATTAATATATTGTAATTGTTCAATACATATATAATTTAATTCTAAATGTATTTTAGTATTAATATGTATACTTCAGAGTGCACTTTTCTTCATATTTGTATATTTTGACTGGAGTTTGCACCGGGGCACATTTAAGATGGGGAACTTGAGTGCTGGGATTGTGGATTTATATTATATATGTATAATATGCTAATCAGATAATTTAATTAATTTATCATATATTATACAGGGTTTTTTTTACGTACTAGCAGGACTGCATGAAGACTCAGGCAATCCCCCTGAAGGCAGTCTTATAGATTGCTTTGCGACCATGTGATTGCGACATCTGTCACGATCACATGTCCCCTGCGGGCTGGAAATGAAGCATGAGAGATGGGACAGAGGTCTCTCCACTGGCCCTTCAAGGGTGCTGGGCAGCCGGGCCAGATCCCAAGCTACAGGCGGAGTTACCAGGAGTAGGGGCAGTCGGTCCTACTCCCCAGCGGCAGAGTATGTTATTGGGAGAAGAGACGGTCGGTCTCTGTCCCCAGCGGCAGTCAGAGTTACAGGGAGAGGAGAGTATCATCCTCCGTTCCCAGCGTCAGGGTGAGTTACAGGTAGTGGAGACTTTTGGTCTCACTACCCAGCGGCAGTGTGTGTTACAGGGAGAGGAGCACATCGTTCTCGCTCCCCAACGGCAAGCAATCTTACCGGGAGAGGAGATTGTTGGTCCCTCATCCCCGCAGTAGCAAACATCCCTGGGAGTAGAGATAGTCGGTCTCACTACCCAGAACCAGGCAACATCACCGGGATATGAGATTGTCAGTCCCTCACCACAGCAGCAGCAAGCAGCCCTGGGAGTGGAGACGGTCAGTCCCACTACCCAGCACCAGGCAGCGTTACCCCGAGGTGAGACAGTCAGTCCGACTCCCCAGCGGCAGCTTACTTTACAGGGAGAGGAGACAACTGGTCTCTCTCCCCAGGGGCAGGGCAAGTTATTGGGAGTGGAGACAGTCGGTCTCACTCCCCAGCAGCAGGGTGCATTACAGAGAGAGGATATACCCTCTCTCTCCAGCGGCAGCTAGAGACACCTTGGGAGGGGACAGTCGGTCCCCCTGCCCAACCACAGGGAAAGATACAGGGAGTGGGGATGGTCAGTCCCACCCACAATCACCTGGGGCTCTCGTCCAGAAACAAGCCCCCTGCCATCATCCCAGCAGAAGAACTGGCATCAGGGCAGAGCGCAGCTGGCCTCTGCCCTACCTGCTGCCTTGTTACAGGGCAGGACTATGTACCAGTCCCCGCAGCAGAAGTGCTGGAACCAGGGCAGAACGCAGTTGGACTCTGCCCACCAAGTACTATAACTTCATGCCTGGGAGCACAAGGGAGATCAGGGGTGACGGACACCCAATCAGCAACCCGGGACATACCGGACAGAGCCGCACACCAGAGGCCACCAGGTTAAGTGTTTATTTATGGGTGGGCTACTCGACTAACTCAGGTACCAACCGACAGAAGGTCAGGTACCTGGTTAGTCTTCCATTGGGGGGGGAAGAAATGTGACAATCTGAACCTTGTCACTGGTTCTTGGAGGAGCCTACTGGCCAGTCTCTTAATCTGTGGCCCCTACAATAGACCTGGCTAAAATACTTTAAAGTCTCTGTTCATGTGAAGTATGTACTTTTGTACTTCAGACAGAGAGACCGACCGTTAGCACTAATTCTCTGGAACTGTTTTGGCATGGGACCATATGCACGGTCGGTCAAAAATAAGACTTCCAGGAAATTCCTGAACCCCTAAACTGATCTGGGTGATTTTTGAATATGTTGGTCATCAATCCTGATCAGGGATATCAGGGGACTTTTTGGGTGTTTTAAAAATGTATGTTTTTTTCGGTGCTTGGAGATTATTGGATTAGAATTAGTACAGTTACTGATCCAATTATCTCTCAAGCAGAGGGGAGGGATTGTGTGCTATGTGTTATTTTTGGTTTGTGTCCCTGTCCCCAACAAGGTCCATGTGGGCGTACACCTTGCTTGGGGACATGCATATAAAGGCCAGTGTGTGCCTCCCATTAAAGAGAGATTCATTCACCCCTTCATGAAGTTTTGGCTCATGTTCGGGGGATTGGAGAACTACATTCACTCTGGGGATTGCTATATCACAATACTCCCCTGGGTATAATCACTAGCTCTTATAAGAGCTGTTCCTGCTACACTCTCTGGACTAGTAGAGGTCTACCCACTGGAAGATGGATCCTAGTCTTGGGTCCAGGGTGGGTGGAGAACGGCAAGACACCAACCAAGCTGTGGCGGGTCCATGGGGTTTACGGTGGTTATGGCGTTCCAGTGCAGTGCTTATGGTACTTGCAAGTATTAGGAAGCAGCGATTGACGGAGGTACCCAGTCGGGGTGCCAGGCAGTCCGTCACACACATCTGCTTTCCTCCTATGCAAGTAAGTTGAAGTTTCATTTATTAACCCCTTAGTGACCAGACCACTTTTCAATTTTCTTACTGTTTGGGACCAGGGCTGTTTTTACGTTTCTGCTGTGTTTGTGTTTAGCTGTAATTTTCCTCTTACTCAATTACTGTACCAACACATATTATATACCGTGTTTGTCGCCATTAAATGGTCTTTCTAAAGATATAATTGTTTTAATTTTATAATTGTTTACTATTAAACCAATTATAAAATATGATGAAAATTTTTTAAAAACACACTTTTTCTAAATTTGACCCCCAAAATCTGTTACGCATCTACAACCACCAAAAACCACCTGTAACGGATCACCTGGCACCCCAACTGGGTACCTCCGTTAAAGGATGCTCCTAGCGCTTCCTGAGGGCTCTAAGCACTCCACCAGAGACTATAACCACCGCAGACCCCACGAACCGCCACAGCTTGGTTGGGGTGTCGCCGTCTCCTACCCACCCTAAACCTACCACAATGCTCCAGGTTCCAGTGGGTGAACCTCTCTTTCCCCAAAGAGTGATGCAGGACAGGAACAAGCTCTTACAAGAGCTTAGTGATTATTCAAGGGAGTATAAAGTAGCAGATTACCCCAATAAGAGACAGGACTCTAAATTGAGGGTGAAGTAGGGTGAACACAATGGACTAACTCAATTACCACAGGCAGAAAATATCAATTTTTACCCAAAGTCCAGAAATACCCCCAACACAACAACATATCCCCATAAATCCTACATCCCTTGATAGCTCTGATCTGGATGAACAACATATCTAAAAATCACTCAGATCAGAGCAGGGGTTCAAAAATGTTATAGAAGTCACATATGACCGACCGCAAGCATGGCTTTCATGCCCAAAACAGTTCCATAGATTAAGGCTGTGCGTGGGCAATTTTCTCCTCTATTCTGGAGATAATTGGCTTAAGTGGCTGTGGTAACTTAATTATCCCCGGGTACAGGAAATATCTCTAAGTCAATAACTGTAACAAAAACCACATAAAAATACATAACTCTTATAATACAATGATTAAACTATATGTCCAACATATCCCCAGATAGCTTGGATCAATATGTCCAATGTTAAAAGTGCACAATAGTACAAATAAGGGTGGGGTCAGAAAATAGCAAGGGCTGATGGGAGATGGAGGAGGGACAAAGCAGCCAGTTTAAACTGCTGGAGAAACGATAGGACAGGAAAAAGGGGGAGGGGAAGAGGCACATTTTCCCATGGAAGTCACTTTTTAGCCTGTTTTTTTGCAGGGCCCATAGTCTTGGGGCAGGAGGCTGGCAAGTACTCATCGAAAACTCCCTAAAAAATGGGAGTCTGTCACAACACCCATGCTAAATAGTTTCTAAATTTTGTCTGGAGTTTAGAAATATCCAGTGTTAACATATTCTTAGCTTTTTTTGGAAAGCTATAGGGCAATAAATACAAGTAGCACTTTTGCTATTTTCAATTTTTTTTTTCAAAAGTAACGCAAATTATATTGTATTCCCTAAATAACCTTTCGCATGTATATATTTTTTAAAAGAAGACAACCTAAGGAATTAAACTTGGAATATTTTGACTCTTTTCATGCAACCATTTTACCACCAATCTATGCAAAATTTTATTTTTTTTATAATAATTTGTACATAGCAATTTAAGAATACATGTATGGAGAACTTTAAGGTTTACTGCCAAAGAGCACCCCAATATGTGTTCAGCAACATCTCCTGAGTACAGTGATATCCCCCATGTATAGGTGTGTTTGGTTCTCTGGGGGCTAAAATACTTTATTTGGAGGGTGCGCATTAAAGTTTTCCAACTTGGAATTTTCACAGATGGTCATCATGCACCCATGTCCTATTTGGGACATTTTTGAAGCCAGCCATATATTTTTGAAAAGTGGTGGTATGTTAACACTTTCCATGCACTAATTCTACCACCAGTCTTTGTAAACCTTTTGGGTAGTAATTTTTTTGTGTTATTTTTCACACACAATGTACTTTAGGCATGGATTCTTAACTCCTGTTATGTATAACTGCCAAATAACACCCCAATATGTGTTCAGCAATATCTCCTGAGTACAACAGTACCCCCAATGTACAGGTTTTATGGGTTTTTGCAAAAGTATGTAGGGCTTTCCCCTTTTCCATGTTTGCACATTTTGCCAGATTGGTTTGCTGGGCCTATGTTGCATTTGAGACCATTTTAAACCCAAATGTACCCGTTTGCACTAGATTTTTGTGACGTCCCAAATGTACCCGCCTATTTTTGTGACGTCATAATTGTATTACGACCGCACTGTGAGAGGGCGGGACTAAGGGAGTGATGATAGTGAGATCTCAGTATGGGGAAATTAACAGCGGAGATGATGTGTAATGTATATAGTTAGCAGAATAGCTGTAGGTCTTTATTTCTTTTAAACACCTTTTTGTATTTTTCACTTTACATTGTATATACACCCCTTTTCCATGAGTCATTTAACCCTTAAGAGGGACCAATAAAGATTTATTATTTTGTTTAGATATGTCCTATATTCCAGGATGGACACCTTGTAGCCATATAATAGTAGAGTAATTGATTATGGCCACACACAGGCTACTCTAGGTATCACAGGATTATAATATCTATTGATTATTTAGGAATATCCCCTTGTAATTTTATGTAAATAGCACAGTATACATATCCCATACTGTCATAACTGTTTATTGTTTGTTCCTTTCTTTCCCTAAGAGGGACCAAACATAATAATGTTATGCTTATTATTTGTAGTTCCAATGATACTCAATGATACACTTGTTTAGTTAAGTCGTTCCAGTCTTTTCTTTATTTATCCCCACTGCTGTTCTGCATTGGCCTCAACCCCCTAAGCCAGATCATCAAGAAGAGTGGATACAGATACAGGATCTACCATCAACCACCTACTTTACATGGACGACATCAAGCTGTATGCCAAGAATGAGCGAGACATTGACTAGCTGATCCACCTAACTAGTGTGGGCGGATGATAGCAGCAAGAGGGAAGATGATCAGGACAGAAGGAGTTGAAGTTCCAGAAGGCCAAATAGAAGATGTAGAGAACAGCTACAAGTACCTGGGGGTCCCACAAATGCATGGCATCCATGAGGAAGAGGCAATATGCAATGTCAATCAGCAGTGGCTAAGGCCAAAAAGGGCAATAATTCTTTGGATGAGAATATAATTTTGTCTCTTTATAAATCACTGGTTAAACCACATCATGAATATGCTGTGCAATTTTGGGCACCTGTTCTAAAGCGGGCTACAAAAGAAATAGAACATTTTAGCTATGAAGAAAGGTTAAGAAATTTAAACCTTCTTAGTTTAGAAAAATGTTGCTGTTACAGAGATTCCCTCTGACTGCTACAACTCAGATACTGTTGTTGATATTTTGATACTTTTTAAATGAACAATCTTCCCAGGCCATTCGTATTTACGAATGGCCGACCACCTGGCCCTTGGCGTGTGCCGCTAATTAACCCTGTTCACCTTGTAAACACAGAATAAACCGACGAACGGACGACCACCCTACCTGAGGAGTGTGCCGACAATTAACTACCCAGGAGCTGCGGTTTGTGGTTAATCGCAGCCTAATTGACTGTCATCAGGGTGGTCACCGTTCGTATGTAAAAGGTTGAACGGGGTGTCGAACAAAGAGCTGAAACAACTCCCGAACGGCCGACCTCCCGACCCCTGGTGTGTACCCCCAATTGCCCACCTGGAAGCTATGCTTTCTGTGGTTAACCAAACACGAGGCGGTGGCCATCTTTTGTCGTCGAACGTGGGATTCAGCTTATTCCATCTGTTCAAGTAATAAGCCATGAAAAGACCTACAGACATACTTTATTCCCATGGCTTTCAGACACCATTCGTGAGATCTGAGCACAATTCGTATATTTTGTGCGCTCATATCCAAGCTGTCTGGAGATAATTGAGTTACTGTAACCGTTGAGACCAATTATCGCCAGGGTAGGGCGGAGTGTTTCATAAAATGCATTTTGTTCCTATTTGCTGTGAGAATATATTGTCCTGTGTACCATCAGGTCCAGAGGGATGTTCCTCTTGCCTGAAAACTTGTATTTAAGGCTCTGCATGAGTACCAATTAAACCAGTTAATTTTACCCTCAACTCGCAGCCTTGACTTGGTGTATACTAGCTCTGCTCATAGCTAGTGGGGAATATCTACATTTCCAGGAATATTGCAGCATGCTGATTTGAGTGGCACTCTCACTCTCCATGACCGGGAACCAGAATATTTAAGCGGTCCAACTTCCAACCAACCTGGAGGTAACCGTAACAGTTGCCGCACAGGGATATGATATTATTATACAGATATATCTGGGGCCAATACAAACCTTTAGCGGAGGCTGAGTAACCCGACTGGTTACCTCCACTATTAATGAATGAAAAGACCCATGTCCCCCCCCAGTAACCAGCCGACACACAGTTCCAAGGGTACAACACAACTTTATTGGCCACACTTGGCTTTATAGTTTGCCCTATGCAAGGGGTGGATCACACACAAAGACAATGTCCCCTCCCCGGGTCCTCCCCCTCCCAGTGGTCCCAGTCCCTTTGTCCCCTGTTCCTGCCACCCATCCCCAGGATTTCCCACCAGTTGTGACAGGTGGTCTTCCTCCCAGGAGCCTCTGTACCTTGGAGTCCCAGCATGGAAAAGCTTCCCAACTCTTTGGTTCCCAGATACAAATAGTTCACCAAACCGCAATTGTCCCCAAAGAGTGTTCCCCCCACCCCCAGAACGGTAACCGTCACAAACAGTCTCTGTTAAGCATCTCCATTCAAGACACAAATTTCCCCCCTGGCCAACGTCCATCTATATGAAAGGTGACCACCCAGGGAAGTACTCATTAATTACTTCCCTTGTGGTTTCACACTTACGTTGCGAGTTGCCAACATTCTAATTAATTAGTGCGAACATTCCAAGGGGCACTGGGGAGGTCCTTGCTCAGGAACCGAACGAGGTTGGAACTGAACGAGGTGGGACACATCTTTTTTCAGCCTATGTAACTATGTAACCCAAACTATTTCATAAGCGTTGCTACTTTAATTTAGAGTTGACATCCATTAACAGCTGTTTCCAATTTTTCAGAACTAGTATGAAAAAATTAAATATTGTTGATGCACTTAATTTACTAATATGAACAATGTATTACTTTACACTTTAATTATCAAAGTCAATCAGATTGAGATGTAATATTGAAGACAATTATATATTTATATTAACATGTGCAAAGTCAAAGTTTCATTTATTGAACATGCATATTTTTGCATTCATTTCAGGTTTACATAATATTATGTATAATTTTGGGAAAAATATGCAACCTTGAAGTCCAGCACTTGAAATTAATATGGCAAAAATCTCTACAGCCACCATGTTTTTCCCTTTGGTGCTCAGATAGGCCGGGATCATTGCAATCCAAACACTGCAGAACATTAGCATGCTGAAGGTGATGTACTTGGCCTCATTAAAACTGTCCGGTAATGTCCTGGCCAAAAATGCTACAATAAAACTAACAGCTGCCAGAATGCCCATATAACCAAGGACAGAGTAGAAGGCAATAACAGAACCTTCATTACACTGAATGATGATCTTGCCTGGATAAGAATGCAAGTCCAGCTCCTGAAAGGGCGGAGATATCGCTAACCATATTATATTAATTAGAACTTGGATGGATGAAAACATTGCTACAAGCAGGTTAGACTGTTTAACACCAATGCATCTTTTCCAGGAGCTTCCAGGTTTGGTGGCACTGAAAGCAATGAAAACCATGACTGTCTTGGTTAAAATACAGGATACAGCTATCGAGAAGATGATTCCAAAAGAGGTCTGACGCAGAATGCAAGTTATATCCACCGGGCGACCGAGGAACAAGAACACACAGAGGAAGCTCAGTAAGATGGAGACCAGAAGGATGAGGCTGAGGTTCTTGTTATTGGCTTTTACAATAGGTGTGTCTTGATAGAAAATAAAAATAACTAATGTAACTACAGTTATAACAATAAAAAGTGACGATATTGAGAAAAAGATCACAGCAAGTACATCATTGCTGTACGATAGAAATTCCTCCAGTTTTGGAAAACACTGCTTCTTCTTCTTATTGGGCCATTCAGTATCAGGACATTTTATACATGTTTCACTATCTGAAATACCAAACAAAACAAAAAGTCTCAAGTTAAAATCCATTTATGGCAAATTGTTTTTCACAATTAAGGTAGATTTTCATTTAAAAAGCATATACAATAAGGCAACATTATTAACACAATTTTGTTTCTATAAAATGATTTTTTTTTATCTTTATTACCTTAGTGACAGACAGTGTATAGGGTATGTTGTCACCATGAAATACCTTCAAGGAACAATATACCATTAGAAATACAAATGTGCATTCCTAATACTATAGTGTCCTGGTGGCCATTTAAGTGAGACAAACCAAATGTAGGGAGTACAATAGGTATTTTACTTACCATTTCTCCCTCGGAGAGACGGTCTCTGTGAAAATCAGGTTAGTGGGGGTGAATGAGTTTAAGAGAAACAGGGTGTCTGTCCCTGACTTGATAACCAGATCTGAACTACTGCTTTTTTATGTATTAGAATGTTTTCATCACAAAAAGGAATATGTCTAGATGGCTACCTCCAAAATAGGTGCATGATTCCATACATAGAGAATAAATCATATAGACACACTCCTATTAATGAGTGAAATAAATAGGTCATACCTTATTTGGAGTTACAGTGTTATAAACTAAAATGAGAATTTAAAGTGATTGCAAAGCAAATTTACATCCAAAAATAGAAAATTTGCTAAAATTCTCTAAGCCAATTAGGCTTTCAGTTCGGCTACTTTGACCTAAAATTTGAAATTTTCCTTGAATTCACTTTGATTTCTCAGTTTAGTGAATAACCCTTTAGGTTAAAATTCGGTGTGTAGGTGTTGAGCCCCAAGATGACTCTAAATGATTACTTTAAAAACATTTCTATACATAGAATATAGTGAGCAAAGAATAGATACATTAAAGCTGACATCTCTGCATTGAGATTTCTATTTATGAAGGAATCTCCTCAATGAAACAATTGTATGGCTAAAATAAAAATAAATTAGTCAATAAAGTAAACAGTAACCTGATATTTGAGTGGTGCATGTCACAATGTGGGATTTAGGGGTTTTAAGCTCGGGGTAAGACTGGACACATAGACAACAGGGGGTGGGAAGAAAGTCAGATTTGAAGAAGTAGTGTGTGGTGTGTATTACTCCAACAACTCTACTGATAACTTGATGCAAGTTGATTGGATAGATAAAAGCACTATAATAGGGATTATTATTCCATTACTCTGGGTCTGTCTCTGGATCAGGAAGAGAAGTGCTTCCTCGGAAACCTGGATTTTGAGATAAAATCCACCTATATTGGTGTGATTTTTTACATTAAACCAGGATTAATTCAGGTTTTACATAATAATGGTAGAACCATATTCACTGATTTACAATACGGTCTTTTTACATATGAGATAAAGGCTCCCAGCTCCCAAAAGGATATAGGAGCATTATATGGAAATTGTAGAGCATGAAAATATAATTTCAAAAACACTAAATCAGAAACATGAGATGTCTGCATTAAAAGACTAAAACTATAGAAAATAAAGACAAACAGAATGAATGTCATCTGAAATGAATAACTTAACAAACCTATTACTGATTGAAAGAGAGTTAATGAGAAGACACTTTTAGCTTTATATAACATGACTTTTTTATATATAACAATACATGCCAGTGCCGAGGTTTTAATACAATCTATATATAATCATTGTTGGACATGGGACATTCCCCTCCATAAGATAATTTCGAATGGGATTTAGATATCCTAATACTTGCTTCCCAGAATGGTTAGAATATGAACGAGATTAAGGAGAAACCTTAAGGGTTATTTTACTGTTTTGTTGCCTCTAATAGAAAATAAAAAAAGAGCGCTTTCTATTCTAACTATCGGACATGTAGTAAATTATAAATGGGTAGTACTCACTACAGATTTCCAAATGTGAATTCTCACGTGAGAAAGAGATATTCTGGATCTGATATTAGACATTAACTATTGTTATGACTATTCACATTAAAGCACGATTACATTCGTCACTAACAATCCCAACTTGGAAAAATGAGGCAGAATATGTAACAACCCAGCTGTCATGGTCCATATTGGTACCAATTACAAAGTCAGAGAAGAATGGAGGGTCCTAAAAATGAGTTTAGACAATCAGGAAGTAAACTGAAGAAAAGGGAAATTGTGATTGGAGGCACCTTAACCCAAGGCTCAAGCTACAGATGACCGGATGACCAGTCTGTTTTTACTATCATGTTATGCTTTGAACTTTTAGTCTAGTTTCAGTGTCTGACAAATAAGCATACATTCTTTACTTGTGACATTCTGTGGTTTCTGAGGAGACAATTGAAATCACAAGAGGAAACCACAAAGCAGACAAAGCCGCCAAGCAAGCAAAAGAGAACAACATCTCTGGAGGAACCAAGTTGCAGAACATGATGATGACAAAATGTGGAGAAAAGGTAAAAGACTGTGTCTACCATGAGTATTGTACCCCATGGTGGCTCAAGTAGCCCATGGACCCACGCATTTCTAGGAATAACTCCACACAGGCTGTCAAAACACCAGGTAAACATATCCCAAAGCCACTTTACTCATATCAGAGACTGCAGATAGACTATATTCAACTGCCTAAGGTAGGAGTATGTGAATATGTGTTGCTGTGCATTGATCTCTTTTCAGGCTGGCCTGTGGCCTATCCAGTGTCGAAAGCCACAACAAAGGTCACAACAAGTAAGCTTCTGAAGGAACTGGTTTGTAGATATGGAGTACCTGAAGTGATTGAAAGTGACAGAGTTAGCCATTTCACTGGGGAAATGATGCAAGAAATAATAAAGGCACTAGGGATCAGTCAGGCCTTCCACACCCCCTATCACCCCCAGAGTAGTAGGGAAGTAGAAAGGGCAAATGGCACCTTTAAGAATAAAATTGCAAAAGCCGTGCAAGACACAGGAAAACCTTGAACTGAATGCCTTCCCCTAGCACTCTTCTCTATGAGATTCACCCCTCAGCCAAGAAATGGCCTATCCCCTTTTGAGGTTTGTTTGGATGTGCCCCCAAGACACTCCAATTACAACAGAGTAACATGACCTCCTATGTCCAGGCCCTCCATAAGAAATTAGGGCAGGTGCATTAAAAAGTATTTGATTCTATTCCAGATCCAGACTCCAGTTTTACCACTCATAAACTATAACCTGGAGATTGGGTGGTGATAAAAAGATACATGAAAAAAGGGCTTGAGCCAAGATTTGATGGTCCCTTCCAAGTGTTGCTAACCATAGCCACCTCAGTGAAACTAGAAGGAAAAGCCACGTGGATACACGCCAGTCACTGTAAACAAGTCACTTCGACTGATCCACCGACATGAAGCTGTTCATATCCTTTACGATTATATGCTCTGTTCAGATATGCTGCTCTGACTTGAGACCAGATAATAATGCATGGCAGGGAAATATATGGATGCAGATGGCAAAGGCTTTTAATCTCACCTCCTTTTACCTCAACCCTCTCAGTACTGAAAACGCCATACAATCTACAACTACATTATAATGCTTTCAACCCACTGGTAGGCAAGCCCTTCCCTCATCCCCCAGCCCTGAAGACAATTAATGTTACAGCCGCTTAACTATGTTGGTCTTTTTCATGTAATTGTTTAAAAGACCCTAACTAACTTTATGTTTTTTTATATATAACCCTTGAAATATGCTTAGTTCTGTAAATTCCTTTTATGGTACAGAGTGCCTTCAAGCACCCTGTTTTTGTTGTGCAAGTCACAAAGTTGTGCTACAAAGTACTATACGGTCTTTAAACTCTCCCAATAAAAGAGTAAGTAATCTTTGAATCACAAGTGTCTGGTGTGTCTGATTGTCTCACTGAGCACATTCAAACTAACAGTTTGGTTTCCCCTGAACATATCTCTGGGTTACATTTTATCCCTATCACCTCCAAGGTAGTATTTCCAGAACTACTATGTGTGCCACGGAAGATTAAGGCAGTTAATTAGTGGCTAAAGTCATGGTGTAAGAAGGAGGATTTTGGCTCCCACCAAGTCAACGGCACCACCATCTCTTTAACCTTGCAGGCTCACTGTTAATGTGTTCTCTTTGACTCTGAACTCTCCTTCACCCCTCATGTCCAGTCCATCGCCAAATGCTGCTGCCTCCATCTAAAAAACATAGCTCGCACCCGCCCCTAATTAACACCTGACACAGCTAAGGTGCTGGTCTTTGCCGTTGTTCTTTCTCGCCTTGACTACTGCAATTCCCTTCTCAGTGGTCTTACGTGTTCCCAGATTGCACCGCTGTAATCTATAATGAATGCGGCGGCAAGACTCATTTTCCTGTCCTCCTGCACCTCCCACGCCTTCCACCCTCTGTCAGTTCCTACATTGGCTTCCAGTTAGATATAGGGATCAATTTAAGATTCTGGTGCTTGCTTACAAGTACCTACATAATGCTGCTCCAACTTACCTATCCTCCTTAATAATATCCCATAAAGGCCCCTGCTCTCTGCTGAAGACCTACGTCTAACCTCTGTCCGTACTCCCACATCTGATGCTCGCCTCCAAGACTTTTCCAGGGCTGCATCTTTTCTGTGGAACTCCCTTCCCATCTCTGTTAGACTTTCACCCAGTCTCCACTCCTTAAAAAAATCTTTGAAAACGCACTTGTGACAGACCGCCTGGCTCCCTGACTGGGTATCTCTGCCAATCGATGCTTCCTAACTGATTCTGAGGACCATAAACACCACACCAGACACCATAAGCACCGTAGAACCCACAAACCACCGCAGCTTGGCTGGGTTCTCGCAGTCCCTTCTTGTCCTGGACCAAACTCCTGGATCCAGGGACTCAGTGGGAAGGCCTCTCCTCCAAGAGAGTATAGCCGTGAAGCTCTTACACAAGCTAGTGGTATAGCTGTATAGCAGGTTCCCTACAATCATGAGACCAGGCTATGTGTTGAGAGTTAAGCAGGAATGGTTTAATGGTAGCCACACTGGCCTTTTATGCAAGTCCCCAAGCAAAGTGTATGCCCACATGGACCTTGTCGGGGACAGGGACATAAACCTATACACCAATGATAACACGTTTACAATGTATGACACTCTCACATACAATACAATAAGCCTTCCCCTTTAGTTATGAGATAATTAAGTCAAGCACTATACTAAACTCAATTATCTCCAAACAAAAAAAAAACACACATTTTTACAAAACAACAAAAATACCTTAAAACACATAAAATCCACATAAAGGTTACATCTCCTGATAGCCCTGATCTTGGTGACCAACATATCCAAAATCACCCAGATCAGTTCAGGGGTTCAGACATTTTATGGAAGTCATAGTTTTTACCGACCGCAGGCATGATCCCACAGCCGAAAATAGTTCCATAGAATCTTGGCTAAGTCCCCTGAAGTCTGTTTGCGGTTTACGTCAATGCGGAAAAGATGGCCACCATCTCATGGTTGGCCATAGGAATTGCTGGCACCCAGACCAACCCTTAGACCACTGCGGTGGAAATTGCAACAATGTATCAATTAAGCTTATCAAGCTCCAGGGTGGTCTCTGGTTGGTGCGGCTGTTCGGTAAACGAGCCAAATAGTCCCAATTGCACGAACAGAGCCTGTTATTAGTAGAGTTGAGCGGACACCTGAATGTTCAGGTTTGGTGGGTTCAGCCGAACTTTGGAAAAAAGTTTGAGTTCGGGCTCGAACTTAACCCGAACTTGACCCCGAACCCGAACCCCATTGAAGTCAATGGGGACCTGAACCTTTGGGCAATAAAATGCCTCTAAAAAAGTTGTGGAAAGGGCTAGAGGCTGCAAAAGGAAGTAAAATAGGGGTAAGAGTAGGGCAAGTGCCCTGCAAACAAATGTGGATAAGGAAATCACTTAAAATAACATAAAATACATAAAAATTAAAAATAATAATCTTGAACTGGGAGGAGGAGGTGGATGTGGAGTAGGAGGTTGAGGAGGTGATGACCGTGGTGGTGTAGGTGGAAGCGGCGGTGGAGGAGGAGGTAGCCAACCCAAAGGGCAGGCTATTTCAGCTGCTGCCCGTTCTCAGTATACTCTTGCAACCCATTTTTTTGCTCTCCACAAGTTTAAAGTGCCTAGGGAGATATCAACTATGCCTCACTGATGATGCCTAACAATGATCATCTGGGGTTGCTGTGTCTCTCGTGCAGAGGGAACTTGCTGGCATTTCGGATCTGGACTGCCCGTATGGGTGGGACTAGTGTGATATGTTTCAGAGATGTTCTCTCTGTAATGGGTATACACTGTGGCGGTGTAGGTGGAAGCAGCAGAGGAGGAGGAGGAGGAGGTAGCCAACACCGTTTTTAATTTGTTTTTGTTTTTTTATATTGGGGTAGCGCAGACAGGCAAGCAGCAGCAGGGTGAGAACGCCAAAAGCGCACACAAACGGCCCTCACTTTCTGCAGCAGCTCTGATATATCTGGGTATACACCGTGGCGGTGTAGATGGAAGTGGCGGCAGTGGAGGAGGATGAGGTAGCCAACTATTTTTTATTGTATTCTTTTTTCATTTGTTTTTTTTTTAATTGGGGTAGCCTCCAAAATATTGGGACATATAAAAAAGAAAACTCTGTTCCGCAGAGCGACTGAACCGTGTGTGCTGCAGCTCAAACTCCACTATCTCCTGCTGCTGCTCGCACAGTCTCATGAGGCGGTGAGTGGGAAGGCCGAAGTTACTCTGCAGCGCAGACAGGCGAGCAGCAGCAGGGTGAGAATGCCGAAAGCGCACCCAGCCATTACACAGAAACTGCAAATGGCTCATTATGAGTCATTAAATCAGTTATGGTTCCTTTGATCACTCCATCTGTTACTTGGATAACTGTGGGAATTCTAGAGCTAATACATGCCGACGAGCACTAGGGGACGGCCGCTCCGCTTTTGCATCCTGCTCCCTCTTATGCTGATGTAGTAAATTCGAATCAAAGTTCCATTTGCCCAAAAAAATTATCGCCCATCTTCTGTGGGTTATTGCATTTTTAAGATGTGACGGTTCTATTTGACTCTCAGACAGGGCCGGACTGGGAAGAAAATTTGGCCCGGGCATTTTTTAATTACAGCGGCCCACTAAAAAGGGGGCGGGACCAGATAGGGTGTGTTGTCATCACCAATGACAAGCACGCCCCATCACAAAGTGAGCATGTTGGTTCAATGCTCTTCCAGGGTAGACCATGCGCAGAGCTCTGCTGAAGAGCTCTGGCATGAGAAAAATACCCTGTATTTGTTCTGCACAGCGCAAGCAAATTTAATAACATGCTTGCACTGTGTTTGCTTGAAATTTGTCTCTGGTGTCTCCATAGTTGGGATACCAGGAGACAAAAATGCCAGGAAAGCATATTGCGCAGTGTGTGTGAGGGTGCTCTGTGTGTGTGTGTGTGTAAGGGGTGTAGTGTGTGTGAGAGAGGGGTGCAGTGTGTGTGAGTGATGGGTGCTGCGTTTGCGTGAGGGTGCTATGTGGGTAAGGGTGCTGTGTGTGTGATGGGTGCAGTGTGTGTGTGCTGTGTGTGAGTGGGTGCTGTGTTTGCATGAGGGTGCTATGTGCATGTAAGGAAGCTGTGTGTGAGGGTGCAGTGTATGCATGTGAGGAAGCTGTGTGTCAGGGGTGCAGTGTGTGTAAGTGAGGGTGTGTGATGTGCGTGTCAGGGGTGCAGTGTGTGTGTGAGGGTGCTGTGAGTGTCAGGGGTGCAGTGTGTGTGCTGTGCGTGTCAGGGGTGCAATGTGTGTGTGTGAGGGTGCTGTGAGTGTTAGGGGTGCATTTTGTGTGTGCTGTGAGTGTCAGACGTGTAGTGTGTGAGTGAGGGTGCTGTGAGTGTCAGGGGTGCAGTGCGTGTCAGAGGTGCAGTGTGTGTGTGTGAGGGTGCTGTGAGTGGCAAGGGTGCAGTGTGTGTGCTGTGAGTGTCAGGGGTGCAGTGTGTGTGTGAGGGTGCTGAGAGTGTCAGGGGTGCAGTGTGTGTGCTGTGTGTGTCAAGGGTGCACTGTGTGAGGGTGCTCTGAGTGTTAGGGGTGCATTTTGTTTGTGCTGTGTCAGATGTGCAGTGTGTGTGTGAGGGTGCTGTGCGTGTCAGGGGTGCAGTGTGTGTGTGAGGGTGCTGTGAGTGTCAGACGTGCAGTGTGTGTGCTGTGAGGGTCAGACGTGCAGTGTGTGTGTGAGGGTGCTGTGCGTGTCAGGGGTGCAGTGTGTGAGGGTGCTGTGAGTGTCAGGGGTACAGTGTGTGAGGGTGCTGTGAGTGTCAGGGGTGCAGTGTGTGTGCTGTGAGGGTCAGACGTGCAGTGTGTGTGAGGGTGCTGTGCGTGTCGGGGTGCAGTGTGTGAGGGTGCTGTGAGTGTCGGGTGCAGGGTGTGAGGGTGGGAGTGTCAGGGGTGCAGTGTGTGAGGGTGCTGTGAGTGTCAGGGGTGCAGTGTGGGTGCTGTGAGGGTCAGACGTGCAGTGTGTGTGTGAGGGTGCTGTGCGTGTCAGGGGGTGCAGTGTGGAGGGTGCTGTGAGGGTGCAGTGTCAGTGCAGTGTGTGTGTGTGTGAGGGTGCTGTGCGTGTCAGGGGTGCAGTGTGTGAGGGTGCTGTGAGTGTCAGGGGTGCAGTGTGTGAGGGTGGGAGTGTCAGGGGTGCAGTGTGTGTGTGTGAGTGTCAGAGGTGCAGTGTGTGTGTGTGTGAGTGAGGGTGCTGGGAGTGTTATGTGCCCTGATTATATCCCCCCTCCCTGCTTACCTTATGCCTGGGAGGGGGGATCCTGCTAGTCCTGCCGCCATCCATCCCTGGTGGTCCAAGTGGTGAGTGAACTCTAGCCTGTTGGGCTAGAGATCACTCTCGCGAGACCCGGAGCGTTGCCATGGCAACGCTCCGAATCTCGTGAGAGGAACCCGGCGGAGCTGTAAGTTAAAGCTCCGCCGGGTTCCTCTGCTGGCAGGCTGGCTCCCTCCCTCTCTCCCCCGGCGGCCGCACTATCCTGCATGTGGGCCGGTGAGGGAGATCTCTGATTTCCCCACCGGCCCGCTGTAGACTACTGCAGGGCCGGCGTTCAGATAGCGCCGGCCCTGCAAAGACCGGCAGGAGAGATCCTGTGATCTCCCTGCCGGCCTCGGCCCCACGGCCACCGCGGCCCACCGGGCATTTGCCCGGTGTGCCCGATGGCCAGTCCGGGTCTGCTCTCAGATATGAAGTGCACCACAGGCCGCAAATGTACTATTTAGCACCCAAAACAATTTGAATTTTTCAAAGTGCACTGTAACCACAGTAATTGACAGTTCTATTTGACTCTCAAATATGAAGTGCACCGCAGGCCGCAAATGTACTATTTAGCACCCAAAACAATTTGAATTTTTCAAAGTGCGCTGTAACCACAGTAATTGACAGTTCTATTTGACTCTCAGATATGAAGTGCACGCCCCAAATTTACTTTTTAGCACCCAAACTATTTCAATTGTTTAAACTGCGCTGTAACCACAGTATTTGACGGTTCTATTTGACTCTCAGAAATGAAGTGCATACCCCAAATTTACTTTTTAGCACCCAAAAAAATGTGAATTGTTCAAACTGCGCTATAACCACAGTATTTGATGGTTCTATTTGACTCTCTGATATGAAGAGCACCGCAGGCCGCAAATGTACTATTTAGCACCAAAAAAATTTGAATTTTTCAAAGTGCGATGTAACCACAGTATTTGACGGTTCTATTTGACTCTCAGATATGAAGTGCACGCCCCAAATTAACTTTTTAGCACCCAAAAAATGTTAATTGTTCAAACTGCGCTGTAACCACCGTATTTGACGGCTCCATTTGACTCTCAGATATGAAGTGCACACCCCAAATTTACTTTTTATCACCCCAAAAATTGTAATCTTTAAAACTGCGCAGTAACCACAGTACTTGACAGTTCTATTTGACTCTCAGATATGAAATGCACCGCAGGCTGCAAATGTACTATTTAGCACAAAAAAGTGTGATTTTTTAAACCAACAATGTAACGGTAGTATTTAAGGGTTTTATTGGACTGCAAGAAATGCAGTCCGCAAATGTACTATTTAGCACCAAAAAAATTGCAGTATTTAAAAATGCCTAGATGTTGCCCGCTGAGCTACCAGAACAAGATTAAAGTCATGTGCCTGGCAAAAATGCAGTTGCAAGTGCACTGCACTCTCTGTGGCACTGGGCTCGGGGCATGGTACAAAAATGTAGTATTATAGCACCCACAAAAATAATCGCTGTAGTTTGCAGATTCAACACCAGAAGTCTTTTCTAAACTGTCCCTCAAAGTGGCAACATCCCCTCCCTACACTAATAAGAGCTCATGTGACGTGCGGCGCTACGTGACTTCAGCTTATATATAGAGGCTGGGTCACATGCTGCACTGGCTAATCACAGCCATGCAGAGAGTAGGAATGGCTGTGATGGCTTCTTAGGGCACACGAGTCAAACGCTTGTTGATTGGCTGACCTGCAAAATTGCTGAACACCGAACTCCAACCCGAACATACACTGAAATGTACGTGTTCGCATCTGGGGTCCAAAAACCGTAATGTTCAGTACGAACCAGACCATTTCAGTTTGGGTTCGCTCAACCCTAGTTATAAGTCTAAAAGGCACAATTGGTGTTTTCAAATAGGGTGTAACACAGGGGCCATAGTCATAGGGTAGGAGGCTGGCAAGTATACCCCTCCACAGACCCATAACGAGGTCCAGTTCGTCACAACACTTCTTCAGGAAGGCATATCATTTAAATGGTTAGCAGGTTTTCATCTCCCCATGACTCCTCTCCTGCAACTGTCAAAAATAAAGCTCTTGGTGAATACTTTTCTAGCAACCTATTTCATTACCCTGTTGTATCCCTACTGAACCCCCTTATCTGAAAAAGGTATACCACCCCTTCTGACCCTCCCCTCCTTTGGTTGATTCTGGACAGGAGGAGTATGAAGTCTCCTCTATAATCGACTCCAGATTTTCTCAAGGGTCTCTGTAGTATTTGGTTGATTGGAAGGATTATGGGCCTGCTGATCGTTCTTGAGTTTCTGCTTCGGACATAAATGCGGGTCGCAAAATCTGTTCCTTACATGCCAAATTTCCCCTCAAGCCTGGTACTTCCCACCTGGTGGGTGGTCTTCAAGTGGGAGTACTGTCATGGCTCCCCGCAATTCTGCTGGTGTGGCTGCACTGAAACAAAGCGGCCACGCCAACAGAAAAATCTCATACTTACCTTGGTCACGGCAAACCACTGCCTGTCCTCCTTCTATTCAGGTCCCCAGCGAGTATGGCATTCCTAGAGACGCTGGCCACTGTGGTTCCAGTTTTAATAGGAGACTTACCTCTGCCTACATCAAAGATTGCACCAATGTGAGTGCAACGTCACGTCATAGAGGCACACACACATTTTGGGGTTAGAGGTCAGATTCAGCCAATTACAGCCTAAGGAGGGTTATTTAAACCCAAATAACCTTTCTGTCTGTGCCCTGTCGTGGTTTCCACTAACTGGTTATCCGAGAGTGTGTTCTTGATTGCGTTTTTTCAGGTATTTGACTTTGGCTTAATATTGACTTGCCTAATTTCTGGTTTCCTTGACTTCTGGCTATCCTCATTGTTGTGTCTCATTCTGTTTCCCTGACCTCGGGAAGTATCTGGCAGACCTCTCTGCCTTTGGATTATTATTTAACACCTGATTCACCTGTTTGTTCAACAGTTGTCGGTTGTTCGTATGTTTCCTGTTTGCATTCATCAAAATACGAACAAACTACCGAATGGCAGGCCACCCAGTAGGGAAGTGTGCTGCTCGATAACCTTTCTGACCTCATTAACATTGTGGTTAACCGCAGACACTTCCAACTCCCGAACGGTCCGCTGGGTGGTTGTGGTTTGTATGAACGAACAAGTGGCAGCGGCCATCACTGACCATCCAGCCCTCTGTTCCAAATTCATATGAACGCCATGCCGTTCAGTAAATTGACAATACACAAATGGAACTGTACCAGGTAGAAGACCCATGGAGCGCATTTGTTTCGTCGAACACACAATGTACAAAACTTTAACTCCATGGCGATTGAACTACATGTATGGGATCTGAGTGCTGTTCAGTTATATTGAGTGCTCAGATCTAAGCTATCTGGGGATACGTTGAATGTGGGGGTTCTGTTCGGTATATTTGGAAATATGTGTTTTAACGTGTTTTTACCATTACTGTAAAATGGAGGATATTCTCTATGCCTGGAGGTAATTGAGTTACTTCAAGCCCTTAACCCAATTATCTCCAAGATAGAGAGGAGGAGTTGTACTGTTCATGTGGAAGTGTTTCCATACTGTAAATGCATGTGATTGGCATGTTGTCTCAGTCTTCCTATAGAAGTGTCCCTTGCTGGAAGATCTGCATAAAAGGCTGACCTGTAGCCACCATTAAACAGATCCTGCTTGACCCTCAATACAGAGCTTTGTCTCGTACTTGGGGGGATAATTCGTATGATTCCTGTTCGGCGCTTAGGAGTGTTCGGTAGCTGACTTCGCATTCGGGAAAAAGAACAGCTTTGGTGGCATTAACCCCTTCACCTACTCGGGGTGCCGTTACAAAGTATTTTGACTATTCTCAGGTACATTAAGTCTGGCCATTCTAAGGTCTGGTTAGACATTATCCTTAGCCCTAGGTTTTAGTCGGAACTTGTTTGTCACAAGCCCACATTTTGCTGAGTAATTAGTTTTAATTGTTTTACTAATAAATATATTATTTTATACTGTGCCATTGGTGTGCTCCTGGTTGTGTCTCCCATACAGTGCTGCAGAATAAAGTTTGGTCTCTCTGAGGAACCAGAATGTGGGAACATTTCCCCCTCCATAGAAGCTTATCCCACCCAGAGCCAGGGTTCATTAGGCTCTGGGAAATGTGAGTGTGAACTCACATTTTTCTATTTAAGTGTGCACTTAGAATATTTTAAAATCAGATGGTCAGAAGGTTTACTGGTGAGATATATAATTACTAGATACACATCGTAATATCCTAGCGCAACATCTTTTTCTGGATATTGGATTGTTTTACACATATTTGGATCTATATTATCATTAGTGCTACACTTTTTACCAAACACGTTTAGCGCTATCCACTACTTTGGGTAAACTAGGTGTGATACTATTCTTTGTGCTGGATCTACTATAATTGTGACAGTACGGTAGCCCAGGAATGAGAATTACCCCATGATGGCATACCATTTGCAAAAGTAGACAACCCAAGTTTTGCAAACGGGGTATGTCCAGTCTTTTTTAGTAGCCACTTAGTCACAAACACTGGCCAAAGTTAACATTCATATTTGTTTTTTGCATTTTTCACACAAAAAAAAATCTGTCCACACCTTCAAGCGCTTTGGGAGCAAAAAACTCAGACCGACATTAAGTAAGCTGAATAAATACTCCAATTTCTTAGAACAAAACAAGGGTTTACATAAGTTTTACATATGTTTGCTAACAGAAAGTTTAGGACATTAAAATGTGTGCATAATTAAGCAATCAGATATACATAATTAAGTCATCAAACTTTAAAAACAGGAGGGAAGCACAACGAACAACATGTGCAACAAGTGCTACAGCTTTTTATTGAAGAACAAGCATCTAAACATTTCGGGCATTGCCCTTTCTCAATGCATCTTGCCCTACATAACTAAGCAATAAGGGGCATTGTTTTTCCTACTACTAGAAAGTTTGGCGTACATGACTGCAGGTTTTTGTTTCTTATCTACAAAGCTTACATAGCAATAAGCTGATCAGGGCAAGCTTTACCCTAGTGAAAGACCACTAAATACAGTTTAACCTTCTCAATCCCTCATTTTATTCTGAAAGAATTAAAAATAATAAAAGGAAAAATTAAATGGGAAAAAGGGACATCAGATTACTTAAAAGACAGCAAAGTAGTAGTTGGCCTGTCCGTAGCTGATGCTGTCTGTGGTCTCTTCCCATTGACTGGTTAAAACCAACCGTAGGACGTAATACAACTTGGTCAAGGATAGAGCAGTTGAAATATGGAAATAAGGTATGGGAATGGTGTTTATTATATAATGACTTATTTTTAGGGATTAGGATGTTGCATATCTGTGTAGAAGATAGTTGTGAGTGCTCAGCAGCAGTGGAGAGACATTTGGTAATAAGGCTCATTCCTAATTTAGATAGCAAATATAAATCTAGGCCCACCGAAATTTTATAGCATTTGTTTCCCCCTTTCTGACTGAAATCGCTATTATTCAAAATTAGACTTTTTAGACAGTGACTTTTCTGGGTGTTTAACCAAAAAAGAAAATAGGCGGCATTCATAGCTATGTTTCCTCAGACTACACTTCAAGGACAAAACATACTGTTAGTATAACAAGCCTTTGACACTGAGAAAAGACAAATGTTAGCCAAAAGAAATTAAAAAAGACAGTTAGCAAAAACAACGCTTGTGATAAAAAAAACCTGCCAAGAACCTTTTGGAAAAAAAGGAATGGGAGCTGCGAACAAAATGGAGATCAGTCATTAACTCAGGCGTCTTGAGATCCATACCAAAGAAAGTAGAAATCCACACTAACCAGAGACCATATCGGCAATGACAGTGAGATTAGGCCATATTGATGAACTGGAAAGTAGACAATTGTGAGAATACAATGTGCTTGCATCACAGATATCAGAGGTTCGGTTTCCTTTTGGAGAATGCATACTACTGTTAAGGTCCATTTGAGCACACAGATTTGTTAGTTTGAGACAAAACCCAAATATACCACCAAACATTAACCCATTCACACCTATCCTGTAAGTCTAAAGGTCCAAAGTACTTCATGAAAATTATTAATATGCTCTTGAACTGTTCTAGTATTTTTTAACAGCTGTTTAACTTTCTTTCCCCAAACTTGTATGACTTTTTGTTTGGTGATCTGAACAAACATTAAGAAAACATTTTTTCAGAAACATATTATTTTTAAAACCTTAAAATACTGGCTTATTTGTATTGTCAAATTCATCTAGGCTATTTGACTAGTACAAGGACACAGCCAACATATTTTATTTTAATCCTAATTGTTAAATAACTACATTATGTTAGATGTTATCAAACTCATTTAACAACCATAATAAAAATGTAAAAATAGAAGATTATTTTAAATTAAATGATCTCCAAAAAGTTCAGTTAATTCTTAGTTCAGTGAGCCTAAAGATGTCAAAGAAGGTTTTGTGTGATAGTTCTCTGTAGAGTCTAGTTTACTTAAAGGACCACTATAGTGCCAGGAAAACATACTCGTTTTCCTGGCACTATAGTGCCCTGAGGGTGCCCCCACCCTCAGGGACCCCCTCCCGCCCGGCTCTGGAAGGGGAAAGGGGTAAAAACTTACCTTTTTCCAGCGCTGGGCGGAGAGCTCTCCTCCTCCTCTCCGCCTCCGATCCTCCCCGCCGGCTGAATGCGCACGCGCGGCAAGAGCTGCGCGCGCATTCAGCCCGTCGCATAGGAAAGCATTTACAATGCTTTCCTATGGACGCTGGCGTGCTCTCACTGTGAAAATCACAGTGAGAAGCACGCAAGCGCCTCTAGTGGCTGTCAATGAGACAGCCACTAGAGGATTAGGGGGAAGGCTTAACCCATTCATAATTATAGCAGTTTCTCTGAAACTGCTATAATTATGAAAAAATGGGTTAACCCTAGAAGGACCTGGCACCCAGACCACTTCATTAAGCTGAAGTGGTCTGAGTGCCTAGAGTGGTCCTTTAAATGTTAGCAACTGATTATTGAGGCAAATCTCCAGGCTTTACCTGTTTAATAGCTTTTAAAGTGTCTAAAGGCTTCTGTTATTATGAATATAAATCTCCTTTTTGTAGAAAGAAGGACTCACTTGGTTGTAAGTAAATAAGTTTGGCCTACCAATTTGTAGGTTTTTTTCTGTAACTTTTACAGTTATTTTAAGAGCGCTGTTGATGGACTTTATTAATGGATTGGTAAAGTGCACTCAGTCCATTGTCATGGGTTGACAGTACAATTTTTGACCTATGTTGAGAAAAAGATCTAAATGGTTTCATTAGTAACATACATACTATCTCCTTCTTCACCTACAAGTAACAACATTTTTGTTAGAAAGGACCAATTATCAATACACTAGGACACAAAGACAAGTATCTAGAAAACAAAAAAAGAATTCCACCACATGTTACAGATCTCAAAAATGTGATTCTTTTAAATTAGTTCAGAGGTTTTTATTGTTGTAATAAAGCTAAGAAGCAGTTGATATATTAGGAGATGCAAGCAAGTACAGAACTGGATAGCGTGGTTTATTCTTCATTATTGATTGCCATCATAGATGCATAGCATATCTTATTGCATTGTCATCTTAAAGACACACAATACAATTTTAATAGACCTTGGTACATTCTAATGCAACTATTACTAGAAGGAAGGCGATGGTATGGGGGGAGAAAACTTGTGCTTGGTAGATTCTTTAAGGTTAGCCAGACAGCCTTGAATACTCCAAGCTATACATGTTAAGATCCTTTAACCTTTCCTGGTAAGTTTTATCCCGCAATCCATGAACCAGTTTAGTAGCCCTTCTCTGAACCCTCTCTAAGGTATCAATATCCTTCTGAAGATACGGTCTCCAGTACTGTGTACAATACTCCAAGTGAGGTCTCACCAGTGTTCTGTATAATGGCATGAGCACTTCCCTCTTTCTACTGCTTATACCTCTCCCTATACAACCAACATACTAACTTTTTCAGCAAAACAAATATATAGCTACATATGTAAAAGTTATTATTAAAAATTTGGTGGAATTTCTTGGTGGAATCTATGCATACTCATTTAGAAGATGTACAAGTAAAACAGAGATTAATTAGGAATAGATTTTAGGCAGAATGAATACCTTATCATTTCTATTAGACCAAAAATAGTTATAAGGCAAGCTTTCTTATTCTAAGAGGGTCTCCTGTTATTTAAATATAATAAAGGATTTGGGACAGTGCCCTTTTGATTTACAGGATATACTTGAAAACGAGAGAAATCTCAATGTATCTTTCCTGGTAAAATATTTGATAAATTAATACATTTATGCATTTTGGCTGACAATTACTGTAGCCAATGTTGTTACACTGGAGTGCTATTTCCACAGTAATGTGCCATTTCACATGTTCTTAAATGTAATAAAATATTATATCATGACAGTATGTACCAGATCTATTGGATATTTCTCCTTCTGAACACGGTACACAGTTATAACAACAGATATGTGTTCTAATCCCTGGAGCTTTTCGATACCCAGGCACACAGTTTTCTGAGCACTGAGACTTTGGAACCTAAAATAGAAAATGAAATGGAGTCTGTCCAGCTTTGGCATAAGAAAAAAAAACATACTGTATGGACAATTGTGTGATTGCTAGTTAATATGCAAGTAATGACTCAGTTCTACTCCTACTGTACATTACTAGTTTAAGTAATTTAAACAAAGAGAGATAGTATACCTACGAGGGAACAAGGAAAATAGTATAGTATATATAAGGATGAGTGTAACTACATAGGTGACCAGTACCCTGCCAGAATCAATACTAAACCATAATGCCAAAATATTAAAAAAGAAAAATAACTACATTTATTAGGTCAATAATAAATATTATTATAGCGCCAACAGAGTTTCGAAGTGCTTTACAATATTATTAGAGGGAAGATTTAACTATAAATAGGACAATTACAAAAAACTTACAGGAACGATAGGTCGAAGAGGGTCCTGCTCAAACGAGCTTACAGTCTATAGGAGGTGGGGTATAAAACACATTAGGACAGGAAATAGTAGTCAAATTAGGTGGGAGTGAAGTAGAGCTGGATGAGAGAGTAGAGTGCTGCCATTTAGGAGAGAACAAGAGACAGGTGTGATGTACCCTCCCTCAATCGATGCTCCTAGTGCTTACCAAGGACCATCAGCACCACACCAGATGCCATAAGCACTGCAGACCCCACGAACCACCGCAGCTTGGTTGGGGACTCGCTGTCTCCTACCCACCCTGGACCTACGACAAGGCTCCAGGTTCCAGTGGGTGAAGCTCTCTTTCAAGAGAGCGAAGCAGGAACAAGCTCTTAAAAGAGCTCAGTGATTATAATCCTTGGGAGTATAGTGATATAGCAATCCCCAGGGTAGATGCAGCCTTTCCCTCACACATGAGACGAGGCTCTATGCTGAGGGTAAAACAGGAACTCAGCAGATCTGAGCGTTTATTGTCTTTTATACAGTTTTCCCCACAAGGTTACCAGGTGGACCTTGTGGAGCACAGGAGACAAAGTCACAAAGCCAATCAAAACAGTATGGTACAGTTAGACACTCCCAGATAATGTACACAAACCCTCCCCTCTGCCTGTGATACAATTAACAAAGACAATGGACTAGCTCAATTAACTCTAAGCAGAAAAAATTTAAATTTTTACAAAATTTTATTATTTATATTTATAAATAGTACTCCAAAATACAACATATCCCCACATCCCCTGATAGCCCCAATCTAGGTGAACAATATATCCCAAAATCACCCAGATCGGTTCAGGGGTTCAGGAATTTCCTGGAAGTCTAATTTTTGCTCCACTGTGCACATGGTATCATACCCAAAACAGTTCCATACACTCGACGACAAAACACTGCTGGACAATTTAAGATGACCACCACCACATGTTTGAATCTGTTCCAGTTAAAAGTCCAAGGGGTATTGTGCCATGTCCCAATATGCACAATTAGTGTTTTTAAATGGCAATACATCCCAGGGGCCATAGTCACAAGGTAAGAGGCTGGCAAGCAGGCCTCTCCAAAAACCAGTGTCGAGATCACTTTTGCCACAACTGGTATGTGAGGTGGAGGTTAGTCTGGTAGGCCAGAGGCTTTCCTAAATAAATGGGTTTTACGGCACTTCTTAAATGATTGAAGATTAGGTGAGAGTCTGATGGCAGTAGGCAGGCTATTCCATAGGAAGGGAGCTTCCCGCGAGAAGTCCTGCAAGCGCGAGTTGGCCGTACAGGTGCGAGTAGCGGTCAGAAGAAGGTCACGGGCAGGACGGAGAGACCGAGAAGGGGCATACCTATGGATCTGTAAGGAGATATAAGAGGGGCTAAGATTAAATACTAACAATAAACAAAAAAAAAGCTTGCACAAGAAAGTGCTGAATTTGCTAAAGTACAAATAAAGTAATATGACTGTAAGTATATGGGAGTTGTACTTATTTTCTTATGGGGAATAGAATTATATGATCTTGAAGGCATGGGAGGTTAGCTAGGTCAGGTAGACCTTTTCCTGTCTTAGGTAAAACATACTGTAGCAGCACTTCTTATACATTGCCAGGCAATGTGTTTAACATCCTTTTTCCCGTAGGGGGATGGAGTTTTGTGCCCATGAAGGCACAAAGGGTTAATTTCCAGTATCTTCTGGTTACTCCTATTCCCCTCAGCCTTATAGCCAATCTAGCTATTTAACTGACTCTCAATTGCTACAAGTAATTCTGTAGCAGAATACATTCCACGTTATGGTTAATTACTATATATTGGTTGGCTTACGCTTAACTTGGCATCAACAACGATATTTATTTGATCTTAAAAGAAGCCTTACCTATATAGCACGAAGTACTCTATTTTCTGGCTAATTTATTTTGCCAGCGACCTGTATAAGTTATTGGCAGACAGACGTGTAAGCTAAAACCTGACTATACTTTAGGTTTTGGTACATGCTATGAGTCCCTAGCAAGTGAAAGTGACCGACCGCTATCACTATGGAACTATTTTGGGCAGACGCCAAATGTGCGGTTGGTAAAAACTTTACCCCGGTGGTGATTCGAGTGTATTCATGCGATCTGAGAGCTATTTGGATACTTTAAGACACTTTTTCTAATATCCTTTTAATTTCTTCTTATTTTTTTTGTTCATTCATCTGAATACCATTGACTGAGTATACTACAACAAATAACTGTGTGTTTGGATCCTCTTTAGACTCTTTTTGTGAAAATTTTTCCTGTGTATAAGCATTATGTGCATTTAACATACAAGTATTTCTAAAAAGGGACATTCATTACTTTTTTATTTTTTTTCTATTTTCTTTTACTTTATAGGATTTTCTCAGACTCACCATTACAAGTGGAATAGGTCGTATTTATGAATAAATTATCTCTAGGCTTCTTCGGTGGGGGATATCAATTGTGATTTTTTTCATGTTTAAATTATTCATTTTTTTTTCTTTTCTGTTACTTTATTGTAATTGATGTATTTGTATTTTTCAATAAGATATATATGTATTCCCTATCAATGCAATATAGGTAATACAAATATTTTGTTGGCACAAGTGCTTCATCTGATTTTTGTGATGAAAATAAACACACTAATTATTTATAAGCATCATTCAAATTAAGAGTGTGGTATTCATTTTCTAGTTTCTTTGTACATAATTTAGGGGTACTTCTGAAGTGTGTGCCCCAATACCAGAACCCATGTTAGTAGAGTGCCAGTACCGTAAATATATTTTGTATTTTATAAATATGTGTGAATGAAGCATATTCAGCATACTTTCAGCCTTCAGTGAGTTGCTATAATCACTGCAGGTGTCCGTTGGAAAATTAGGGAGCTTGACAGGCTAAGTACAGAGCTCTATCACACTAGTAATAGAAGTGGGATTGACTCCTTCCAAGCAGGATACAAACCTGAACCAGTGTAGTATGTACTTACCTCCCTCAAGCAGCGCTGTCTTCCTCCTGCCATGCAGTCGGACCACTCCACGCTGCCGAGCAGCATACTAAAGTATACTCACCTCCCTCACGGCAGAACATCTATATCTAGAAAGTAGGCGTGACATCATGCCCGTTCTTAAAGTGATCACTTCATCATTGCGATCCTAATCTAGTTTGAGTCGCAATGATGATGTGGACCTATCAGAACATAGTTAAGCCTATTTAAGGCTTGTTTTAGCCCCCATTCATTGCACAATCATGGTTTCATAGATCCTTGTTTAGTGCTCCTAAGGATTCTCTTGTTATTTCCTTAGTTTGACCTAGGCTTCATATTTGACTTGTGATTTCTGGTATCCTGACCTTCGTATTTGAATTATGATTTCTGTTATCCTGAAATCACCTTTGTATTTGACTTGTGATTTCTGTGTATCATCACCTGGCTTGGTATTTGACTTGTGATTTTTGGTATCCTGACCCGGCTTTGTCTTGACTTTGTTTATTTATTTTTCCCTGACCTTAATTTATTCTTGACCTTGAGTCACGCTATATTAATATGTTAAGTCCGGCCATTTTAAGGATTGGCAATACTTCTTTTGGATCCACCTTTTGTGGGTTTAATATTTTGTGCGTGTTGGAATACGACTCCCGTAACAACCAGCAAATGTTAAGGCAGTCGCTAACTGGCCCCAGCCTGGCACCAAGACCTGGGTACTAAAAATCCTAGGGACAGCTGGTTATTTCAGACATATTGTGACAGGCTTTAGCACCATTGCTAAAACATTGAACAGTTTGATGAAGTAGAACATTTTACAACAGGTCCTGTGGTTGCCAGAGTGTGAGAAGGCTTTCCAACATCTTAAATCTGCCTTATGCAGTTCTGACTTATCCTGACCCCTCAAAACAGTTTTCTGTTCACACAAATGCTTCTGTGTTTGGACTTGGAGCAGCACTGAGCCAGATTGGGGACAAAAGACTTGAGCATCCAATCACATCAATTGAAAGGTCCTGCCCTGAGAAGTCAGCTATGTAGCCATCAAAAAAGGAATTCTGGCACTGGTCTTGGCCCCCTTATGTGCCCTCAATTTTTAGATATCTCTGGATGACTCATCACCTACAAGACAACCCCCCGAAATATTGTCATGATTTATTCAGGGGACAGAGTGACATAGTTCCAAAGTGAATCGGGGCACTGTGTCAGGAATGCAGTATGATCCAGCATGTAGAATTGTGTAACACAGAGGACTGATAGGAAACATATACCGGACCTTAGAATGGCCGGACTAATGTACCAAGGAATAGTCAGTAATAGCCGAGGTTAAGGGATACAGAGAGAGACACAATGATAAGGAAAAGCCAGGGGTCAGGGATGCCAGAAAATAGGGAAGTCAAAAACAATGCCAAAGTCAAATAACTAGAATTACCAGAATCAATAACGCGCTCTCAGACAACCACAAGAGAAACCACGACAGGGCACTGAGCAGGATGAGAACTGGGCCTAAATACACCTCCTCTGGATCTGATAGGCTGTAATCGGCCTTTGACCCCAAAGGCAGTTACCAGGTTCCCATTTGCATAATTGCTGCTCAGCACAAACCCTCCTGTGGATTAGATTGCTGCTCAGCACAACTTTTTCTATGAGGACAGCAATGTTGTTTGGCACAACTTTTCCTGTCTGAACAGTAAATTACATTAATCACATTTTTATAAGCGAATGAATACGTGACATTACCCCCCACCTGAAGAACGCCCACCGGGAGCACAGGACAAGGCTTGAGAGGAAATTTGGCATGAAAATAGCGAATCTTGCGGCCAGCATGTATATCAGATGCCGGAACCCAAGAACGATTGGCTGGTCCATAACCTTTTCAATCCACCAAGTACTGTAAAGTGCCCCGAGAAAACCTGGAATCAATTATGGAGGAGACCTCATACTCTTCCTGTCCAGAAACAACTAAGGGAGGAGGAGGGACACTTGAGACAGTATATTTATTGCAAGCAAGAGGTTTGAGCAAGGACACATGAAAGGTATTAGGAATTGTCAAGGAGGCCGTAAGGGCCCGAGAATACACAACAGGATTGATGCTACAAAGGATACGAAAAGGTCCAAGGAACCTAGGAGCAAATTTCATGCTAGGGACTTTGAGCCTGATGTGACGAGAAGATAACCAAACCCTCTCACCCACTTGGTAAACAGGGTTGGCACCTCGATGTGTATCAGCATAATGCTTGAAACGGTCAGCAGCAGTATCCAGAGCAGATTGAACTTTAACCCAGGTATCACGGATGGAAGCCAGACAGTCATCCAAAGCAGTAATAGCCGTATCAGAAAAAACAGCCGGTAGGACAGTAGGATGCCAGCCATTATTAACAAAAAATGGACTATGCCTTGAGGAGTCATGGTCAGCATTGTTCCTAGCAAACTCAGCCCATGGTAGTAATTCGGACCAATTGTCTTGAGTGCTATTAACGAAACAACGCAAATATAATTGCAAGGACTGGTTAGCCCTCTCAGCTGTACCATTGGTCTGATGGTGGTAAGAGGATGAAGAAGACAATTCAATCCCTAATTGTTTATTGAAGGCCCTCCAAAACTGAGACACAAACTGAAAACCTCTGTCAGATACTATATTGTGAGAAATGCCATGCAGACGGACAATTTCTCGTATAAAGATTAGTACCAGGTCTTGAGATGACGGCAATTTCTTGAGAGGAATAAAATGAACCATTTTAGAAAAAACAGTCCACAACCATGAGAATGGTGGTATAACTGTTAGAACTAGGAAGTTCAACAATGAAGTCCATGGACAAGTGCGACCATGGGACGTCAGGAATAGGAAGAGTTTGTAACAAGCCACTAGGGAGTTTATGAGGCACTTTGGAAACCGCACAAACAGAACAAGCCTGCACATATTCCTTAACATCCTTCCTGAGGGAATCCCACCAGAATGACCTCATGATAGCAGAAGTGGATTTATTAATACCTGGGTGACCAGCAGACACATTGTTGTGAAACACCTTCATGAAATTAACCATTTCCCCCAATGGAATGAACAGTTTGTCCTGAGGTGTACCGCAGGGCGCCTCAGACTGAGCCTCCATGATGGAGCCAAGAAGTGGAGAGGACAATGAAGGGACAGTGGATGCAATGATACATTCCGGGGGAATGATATAGGACATTTCTTGCTCTAGTATATCCTCAGTATCAAACTACTTGGACAAGGCGTCGGCCTTGACATTTTTAGACCCAGGTCTGTAAGTGATAAGAAATTTAAAGCCAGGTTTTTGTGATCAGTAATGATCAAAAAGGGGTCCTTGGAACCCTCTAAAATATGTCACTGTGACGAAATGCCTTTTGTCCCTGGATTGTTAGGTGACAAGCTGCCCTTTGCCCCCGGCTTTTGGAGGAGCCTGATTGCCAGCCTCCTTCCTCATGACTATGGCCCTGGGGTGTATTGCCATTTAAAAAGACAATTTGGGGCTTATTGGCTTCTAAAGACAGTTTCTTCCCATTGGAATCCATGGGAAGGTCTGTTTCTTCACCTCCCCTGTTTCCTGTCTATTGTTCTCAACAAGGGAGTTGTCCCAGGGACACTGCCAGACCAGTGGGAACTGGTTTGGGCAGGAAAAGCCATGCTTCCTTTGGTTACAAAGGACTTCTAACTAACTTTTGAACTAATGGAAGGATTTGCATGATTTTTGGGTATGTTGGTATTTGGGATGTGCTGATTAATAATATGTGACTTTATTAATATTGGATGTATGGTTTTAGAGTTATGAAAGTTGGGTAAAAAGTGTGTTTTAAAATGTATGGATAATTGGGTTACCTCTCAGGCTAAGGGGAGGAGATGTGTGGGATGTAACCATTGTGCGATTGGTTGTACTGTGTCCCACCCTGTGGGATGTCCCCTTGCATGGGGACCTGCATAAACGAAGGTTCTTTGTGTGCCAATAAACAGATCATCTTGTACCTTCATGCAGTTTCGGCTCATGTTTGGGGGATTGGAGAAACTACACTCTGGGGATTGCTATAATCACTATACTCCCCAGGGTATAATCACTAAGCTCTGCTAAGAGCTTGTTCCTGTTCCTGCTCTCTGGAATTTGGAGAGGTCGACCTACTGGAAGCTGGACTTGGGTCCAGAGTGGGTGGAGACAGCGAGACCCCAACCAAGCTGCGGCGGTTCGTGGGGTCTGCAGTGGTTCTGGTGTCGGGCAGAGTGCTTGGAGTCCTCGGAAAGCACTAGGAGCATCCGTCGGCGGAAGGTACCCAGTCGGGGTGCCAGCGGTTCCGTTACAGTCACCATTCCTTGAGAGCTAGAATAATGGCCAACGATTCTCTATTGCCAATATCGTAATTGCGCTCAGCAGGAGACAACTTTCTAGAAAAGTAACCACAAGATGTAACAGAGTTTCCTGGCTCTCCCTCTAGGAGAAAACTGCCCCTAACCCTGTCTCTGAAGCAACAACCTCCAGTGTGAAAGGCTTACTGGTGTCAGGATGTATCAATATGTCGGCAGAGGCAAACCGCTGTTTGAGAGTTTCAAAAACTTCAATAGCCTCTTTAGACTATATCGTACTACTAGCCCCCTTGCGTGTCATATTGGTGATGGGGGCTATTACTGAAGAAAATCCCTTTATAAATCTTCTGTAATAATTGGCGAAACCAATGAACCTTTGAAAGGTAAAGGCCACTGTAGAACAGACTCTGTTTTTTTAAGATACATCTGAAACCCCGAGGCAGAAATATTATATCCTAAAAACTGTACTTCACTTGTAAAAATTCTAGTTATTTTGGTGCTAAATAGTAAATTTTGGGCCTGCTCTTCATATCTGAGCGTCAAATAGAACCGTCAAATGCTGTGTTTACAGCGCACTTTGACAAATTCCCATTTTTTTGCTCCTAAGAAGTACATTTGGGGCCTGTACTTCATATATGAGAGTCAAATAGAAGCACCAAATAATGCGGTTACAGCACAATTGAAAATATTCTTACTTTCTGGGTGCTAACCTGCTAAATAGTAAATTCAGGGCCTGCACTTCATATCTGAGAGTCAAATAGAAGCTTCAAATACTGTGTTTACAGCGCACTTTGAAAAATTCCTATTTTTTTTGCTCCTAAGAAGTACATTTGGGGCGTGCTCTTGATATCAAGACATTTACATCGAATGCCACTCATCATAAGTCATAACACAGAGCACGAGAGACTTGCACGAACCAGATTGTATGCTCATATATTCACTGTTTTGAGAAGTATTGTTGTATGTTGAACTCAGTAGCACATGCTAACTAAAATTCCCTGACCACACAGAGGTAGATGGTCAGTAGATGGCCATGGCCGCAACATTCACACAAGGCTACACCCAGAAGGGCGGAGGAAACAAACCACGACATCTCCACCCTGGAACCTAGCCCCTATCCTTCTCCCACACCACACCCCATAACGCAACAACCGAACTCATGAACATATCCAGCAACAACCGAATACAACAGACACAAGTGCCTGCTTGCCCACCGACACTTGCACGCCACACACCAACAATACATCACATACACCACAGCAGTCACACAGGCTGCACCACCACCAACACACCTCACGTTTCCTCAGAGTTGGCAGCGCCTTCCGACCCACTATCTGTGATACCCGAACCAACGCAGAGGAAGACGCCAGGCGGCAACCCACCTGAGGCTTCAGCATTACACTTACACCACTACAAAAACATAATATAGGATTATTGCACATAGTTACGTCCGGAAATATAGATTACCCGGACGGGGGAAGCCCACACCCCCCAGACAACACTGGCAGAGTGTAAGACCAGAGTCTTTGTTTATGTTTGTTTATGTTTATATTTACTTTCTGACTGTTAACGCTGTCTTTCCCTTTGCTAAAAAAAGGTTCACTACAAAACGTCTCCACAGACAAGGTTACACCACAAAAACACGGTTGCAACTGCCCACGACCAGGACAAGGGTGACTCACCCGTGAAACGAGGGAGTCAGATCACAAAACAAAGTAGGTGACCACATAAACCCATCACTACACCCCCAGTGTCACGCCCATAAATGGCTCTAAAAATCGTTTCCCTCAACGTCAAGGGACTAAACACACCAAATAAACGCAGGTTACTGCTAAGAGACCTGAAATCACGCAAAACCAACATTGCCCTTATACAAGAGACCCATATCCCTAGGACAGCGTCAGTAACACTGAAAGACAGATAATTCCCCTAGACCCACGAAGCAAGAGCGTTACACAAATGCGGTAACCGCGGCAACGCTCCAAATCTCGCGAGAGGAGGACCCGGAGGAGCTGCAGACTGAGCTCCCGGGTCCTCCCTCTCCCTCCCCTGCCGGCTGTCAGCACAGTGCCTGCGGACCGGGGGGGAGATCTCTGATCTCCCCCCCGGTCCGCAGGCACATTGCAGGGCTAGCGCCTGCATGTGCTGACAGGGGAGGGAGACCGGCGGATTTCTCGGGGGGGGCAATTGCCCCGTTGCCCCCCCCCCGGATCCGCCAGTGACACCAGGTGGGGTTCATCCCCGGTAGATAATTATATGAAAACACACGCAGGGGGGTGGTGCTAACATGGTACATGCATAAATCAGAAGTACCCTCACTGGCCATCTCCTTGGATGTGGAGAAGGCCTTTGACAGGGTGCAATGGCCTTACTTGTTTTGCCTGCTAGAAGAGTGGGGCTTCCCAGACGCCTACATCCTGGCCACACGTGCTCTATATACTAACCTGAGAGCCTAAATCCTAAATGCAGGAGCCCCCTAGACCCCCTTCCCCTTCATAACAGAACTCGCCAGGGCTGCCCATTGTCTCCGCTGCTATTTGTCATCGCCTTAGAACCACTACTACAAGTCATACGCCAACACCCACACATACAGGGAATTAAAGTAGCAAGGAAAACCTTCAAAGTATCAGCGTATGCAGATGATGTGCTGCTGACCCTCACAGACCCCCTGACCTCCATGGACCAATGGAAGCCTCTTGGACATGTACAGAGCCCTGTCAGGCTATAGGGTGAACCTCCCTAAATCCATGGCACTACCATTTCACCCCCCTACCCAAGACAAAGCAATAATATATGACAGATACCGACTACACACCACTGCAGACAACATACCTTATCTAGGTGTTAAACTCACAGGGCAACACAAACACCTACATGAGACCAACTACTCCCCACTACTTAGCACACTCCTGAGGGACCTGGAACAGTGGACAGACAAAGCCATCTCATGGCTAGGTAGACTCCACTCAGTTAAAATGAACATTCTCCCCAGATTGCTGTTCATGTTCCAGGCCCTGCCTACACCGGTTAAGAGGAGCTACCTATTCACGCTCCAAAAGGCTATAGACATGTGCATTTGGCAAAAGAAATGCCCCAGAATAGCCAGGAAACCACTATATCGACCCAAGGACAGAGGGGGACTAGGGCTACCGAACATGTACCTCTATTACTTGGCAGCGCAAACAGCGCAAATAGCATACTGGCACTCCACACCAGACACCTGATGATGGGTGGAGCTTGAATCCTCACTAATGGGACAAGACCTACCACAGTTTTATCCTTGGTTACATAAGACACACAGAGCACTCCCTATGATAGCCTGCCCAGCAACAATGAACTCCTTAAGAATCTGGGATCAAGTAGCAACTAAATACTCCCTAAGCAGGTTCCCCTCCCCAATGTCCCCCACACTTAGGAACCGATCCTTCCCACCGGGAATAAAAGCAGGTGATTTTGGCAGCCTGGAGAGAGCAGGTCTCCAGAGACATTGCCTCCTATACATAAATAACCAAGTAGTCACATATGATCACCTCAGGGAACAATGCCCCCTAACAACTAGAGACTTCCGCTACCTCCAGATACAACACTTTGTTAGCTTTAAAGAAATCAAGGAGACAGCCACCCTGGTTTGAGAACATTTGCTACCAGGAAAAACACCCCAAGGGATTTATCTCACTATTATACTCTCACCTTAGCGGGGAGGCCAAAGAGTGGGTGGAGCTCCGATACACAGACCAGTAGGAGACAGACCTGGGGGAGACACTAGAGGGCTCCGACTGGCAGGACATTTGGGAGGCCGATCCTCCATTTGTGTTACCCTCCAGGAGCAGTAATTTAAAACGCTTTTCAGGTGGTACACCACCCCAGTAAAACAATTCCGTATGCAGATCACTTCCACAGATCTATGCTGGCACGGTTGCGGGGAACAAGGCACCTATGTGCATATGTGGTGGTCATGCCCTTCAGTACAGGCCTATTGGTCTCAAATCACCAACCTAAGCTCGAACATAATGCAGAGAACATTACAGTTAGACCCATGAGCCTGTCTCCTCTCCAGGCCAACAGAGGGCCTTACACGCCCAGAGCAACAACTATTAAACATGGTTTACTTGGCGGCCTGCAGGGCACTGGCACAAAAATGGCTATGCCTGGAAATGCCCCCCCATCGCACTGGTCTTAGCAAAAATGAAAGACAATTACCTGATAGACAGGTTAACCTCCCTGGTCAGACACACCACAAAAAATTTGGCAAAGTATGGGAGCTGTGGAAGCAGTACCAGGAGAATATGGAGGGTGGACAAGGGAAATGAATGCACACTCAGGGCTAATGATAAAAGGACACATGACAAACCCTATCCGGCCAAAGGAAATAGACACATCAACTCACTGTAATATGTTTGTATTATTTTCCATACAATTTTTGTTATGGTACTTTTAGTTATCAATTGTATATTAATACGCTAATCGAAGTGACACATGAACCCACAGCAAGTCCTAACAGACAAACCATGTTAAGCATTCTCATCGACCCTCAGGGCAACCGTTAGACCGCTGTAAAGAGATGTCAGTATGCAAACAACTTGTACTAACATATCACTCTTTCTTCCATATAACTGAATTGTTTGACAAAGTACTGTGGCTTCTGTGTAAGCCTAAACATGGTCACAAATTTGCACTTCTTTTTGTGAAAAATAAAGAGCTAAAAAAAAAAATTGACTGACCTCATTCTTCTCGTTTTTCCATTTGATAGAATGTGAGTTGATGATAAGTTGCTGATCGTCTTTATTCCATGGTGTCAAGAATCCTACATAACTATTATTTATAGTCTTATTACTGGATATATAATAGTAATGTATCAGATATAGGGAAAATAGCTCCCCTGTTTTATCATCATAATATATTTTATAGGATGTTTTATACATTTCAAAAATGGTGGGTAAGTAATGATATAGCTATAAGATAAGATAAATAAAATAAAATGTGAATTTTATATTGTAACCTGTTTCAATCTTTTCACAGCAATAATAAGTTAAATATTGTCACAAAAGCTGATCATATATGTCACAATTCTTGTTCATTAAACTATAGATATTTTGCTAACTATAGTGTCCCTTTAACTAGGAATAAACCATAGATTATTTGAGCAGGGCTTTCTTCACTGTATGTAATAACTTGTTGTCAATAGACATGTGCATTAGTTTTCATACGAATACGATTTTGTCTGAAAATGCAGGTTTTTTCATATTCGTTTACTAAAACGTAAACGAAAGCCCTACATACGAAATAAAAATGAAACAAAAGGGCAAATGCCGAAAACATTACCTTTTTGTTTCATTTAGTTAATTTAATAGACTCTGTGTTGCAGGGGAATTAACCCCCACAGCACAGAGAAATAGCACTATGCATGCGCAAAAAACAAAACAAGGAGGGAGCCGTCAGCGCTACCAGCTTCCTCCTTGTAATAATATTAATTCCTTCCACCCCTCCCCCTCTATTAAAACCTATGGTGGACATAGCGATAAAAGGGAAGTTAAATTCTCCGGCATGCCCCTTGCCTTCCCACGCCCTGCAAGTTGACTTGGATCACTCTGATTGGTTGATTCCAAGCCAACCAATCAAAGTGCTCTAACAGGTAAATGAAGAGACTGACAGGTAAGTCTCTACATTTACCTGTATCAGCACTCTGATTGGTTGGCTTGGAATACAACCAATTAGAATGCTCTCAGTCATTTTACACAGTGTGGGAAAGATCTTTGGAATTTTCCCATGCTGAGTAATTTGACTTATAACACTCTCATTGGTTGCATTCAATTAACCAATCAGAGAGTCATTTTATACAGCACGGGAAAGTTGTTTGGAATTTTCCCAGGCATTTTTTGGGGCTGAAGAAAGAAAAGAAAAGAAGAAAGTAGACATTTAATGGTAAATATGAAATTTTATTTTACAGAGTTAGTTTAATGCCCCCCCAACCCCCCTCTATATTATTAGGGTGAGGGTGGTAGGTAGGGTAATTTTATTGGGGGGTGAAACTAGGGGCTTGGGGACCCCTAGTCACTTTATTATTTGTGGTCCCCACCCGCCAGTCATGGATGGGGACATGGGGGGGACATTAGGTCCCCCTCATTATTTTATTAATTTAGGGTCCCCACCCGCCACTCATGCGTAGGGACCAGGGGGAAATTAGGTCCCCCATTACTTATTTATGTAGGGTCCCCATCCGCCACTCATGGGTGGGGATCAGGGGGGACATTAGGTCCCCCCATTATTTATTTAATTAATATCCCCACATGCCACCTTATTTGTGGTCCCCACCTGCCAGTCATGGGTGGGGACCTGGGGAGGACATTAGGTCTCCCCCCATTATTTATTCATTTAGAGTCCCCACCTGACGCTCATGGGTGGGGACGAGGGGGGACATTAGGCCCCCCCTATTACTTATTTATTTAGGGTCCCCATCCGCCACTCACACGTGGGGACCAGAGGGGACATTAGGTCCCCCCTTTAATTAATTAGGGTACCCTCCCATGGCTCATTAGGTCCCCACCATTATTTATTTAATTAAGATCCCCACCTGCCGCTCATGGGTGGGGACCTTATTTGTGGTCCCCACCCGCATGTCATGGGTGGGGACCTGGGGAGGACATTAGGTCTCCTCCCATTATTTACTCATTTAGGGTCCCCACCTGATGCTCATGGGTGGGGATGAGGGGGGACATTAGGTCTCCCCATTACTTATTTATTTAGGATCCCCGCCCGCCACTCACGCGTGGGAACCAAGGGGGACATTTGGTGGCCTGGACAGTTTCAGGGGATCATGGGATGTCGACGGATTATCACAGATGACTAAGGACCTCCTATGGGACTCATGGGCCCCAGGGACGCGACGTTGCAACCTGGGAGCCTGGAACAGATGGTCTCGCTGGTGTCTGGAGAGGAACTCGGATCCTTTTTCAGCCCCTGTTCCTTTAATTCTGAACTTCCTATCCTCCTTGTTCTCGACAGGTCAATCCTATCGGTCGATCAATGTGACACAATCTGCTATATCGGCAGCCCACGTCCCGGTCCTAAGATGCACGGTGGGACAGGAACTATTGGTCTGCTGCCTCACAAGAGGCATATGTCTATCTCGACCACCGGTTCCGAGATACTCGCATCTTTGGGACGTAGGGTTAGTATTGGAATTTATTCAGAAATGGCCCGACAACAAATCTCTTTCCCTGCGACAATTGTCAGCTAAGCTTACTCTACTGCTCTGCATGGTCTCGTTCCGTCGGATTTTGGATGTCAGAGCGTTCAACGTGGACAGTATCTCCTTCTCTCAGGAGGGAATGACTTTTTCAGTTTCGAGACGGACTAAATCGAACTGATCCTCGATTTCTTATATGTTTTTTCCTTCCGCGCCACGACTCTGCATGGTCAAGACTCTCCATTATTATATGGAAGTCACCGCGACTCTCCGTCGTTCACCCTCGGGTCAATTACTCATATCGTACGTTCATCCACACGGCCCAGTCTCATCTACGACTCTCGCTGAATGGGTCAAATGGATCTTTTCTCTGGCAGGCGTCGAGACATCGTTCTGGGCACATTCCGTCCACGGCAGCAGCCTCACAGGCCTTTTCCTCGGACGCCTCCTTGTCGGATATCATGCGATCTGTGGGTTGGTCTCGGAAAGACACCTTTCGGACTTTCTACTTCAAACCTGTTCCTCATGCTTCTCTTGCTCTGCTTTCATAGCGTTAAAAATGCAAATACGAAGCCTTCTGTCATGTGGTAAAATTGTAGATTATGCTAATGGTGTGTACCTATATCTTAATTTTAGTAATGACAGGAGGCGAGTATTTCCCTCCGTTATTCCTTTTGCTTTACCCTCCCTAGTTGGGATCTGCCTCTCCTATCTGCTTTTGTCATTCTGTCTGCATCCTCGCTACTCTCTCTACCTCTGCTAGTATGCTCTGATATTTTGCTACAATTCCATTGGATACCTTTTGATTAGATCTCATGTACATTCCAGCTTTATTAGTTTATTAGATCCTTGCGTGTCAGTCGATATCTGTTCTTTTCAGCATGAAAATTGGCTACCCACGCTGCGCTATCATGGACTGGCCGTTGCCATCTGTTGTTAAAGACTTGGACGGATCCGCTACCTTTTGGACTTTGTTCCTGTTCGTTGTTCCACTAGTTTCGCATCAAAGAAAGAGGAAGAGGCGGGCACTACAGAGACATATGTAGAATGTTTCTTGTTTCTGATTGGTTAAAACTTTTTGATTGATCTGTGCTACTGGAGTTGTAAAGAAAGATTATGCAAATACTTGCCTCCTGTCATTACTAAAATTAAGATTATAGGTACACTTCATTAGCATAATCTACAATTAACCTCCCTTTTATTAATATGATTTATATTTAGTGTTAAATGATGAAATGTGTTAAATAAGCGACATACCCATACTAGTGGCATGCTGCGGGAGGATTTAACCTCCCTTTAATTAATAATAACCCCCCTTTGGTTTTAATGCGGAGGGTGGTAGGAATTAATATTATTACAAGGAGGGAGTTGGTAGCACTGCCGGCTCCCTCCTTGCTTTTTTGCGCACGCGCAGTGTTATTTTTGTCCTGGAATGGTTTACGAACAAAATTCGGGATTGACAAATTACATTTTTATTTAGTACAAAATCATTTGTATGAAACGATAATTTCACTGGTGCACATGTCTAGTTGTCAAATATCACCATTTTAATGCAGAATATTTTAATGTGCTATATGAATGCTACTAATAAAAGTAGTAATAATAATAGTAATTATAACTGCAATGAAGAGCAGAGTAAAATATGTAAAACCTCAAACCATTCCTGAACATTGTTTACACTGTGGCAGGGTTCATTATACTTCTGAAAGAGACCACTGCTATCAGTGAACACCATGAAAGGGTGTGCGTGGTGTGTGTGGTGTGCGTGGTGTGCGTGGTCTGCATTAGCCTCTAGGTAGTTGGTAGTTGGAACATGTCAATGTAACATCCAGTGTAACATCCACATGAATGGCAGGACCCAAGATTTCCCAGCAGAACATTGCCCATAGCATAAGACGGCCTCCGCTGGCTTGCCTTCTTCGCATAGTGCACCCTATGCTACAATCTCTTAGCCAGGTCAACAACACACATGCACACGACCATCCACCTGATCTAAAAGAAAATGTGAACAAAGAAGTGTGGGAGCACTAGATCTAAAGGTCAACTGGCAAGAAGGGGGCTTAACCCCAGATATTGTAATTGAAAACAAGAGCAGAATTGTACAGCGCTGCGGAACCTGTGTGCGCTTTATAAATAGCAGTAATAATAATAATAACAGAGAGGCCCTGACCAGCTAGAATAAGGCGGTAAGGAGTTAAAGCTTAACTGTCGATAGATAATAGATAAACGATAATAAATAAATGGAGGCACTTCATGTACAACACAATATATACAGTGCTAAAATAGTGAAAAAAGCTAAATAAAGTGCATGCAATACTAATCTGAATACATAAATACAGAATCTGCTAAACGTAATGCTGTGAAGGCAGGGTGTGTGGTCTGATCAGGAAAACAGGGCTTGAGATGTTGCACTTAGTCAGAGGTCACAGAATGTCAGGCACAGAGTATTATGTAACATCATGGTCCTGGCAACAAAAGTATCAATCCATCGCCAGGCTAAAGGATCAGCTAGTGAGCAACTAGCTAACCAACAAAGAAGCCTTCAGGAAGGTGTTTGTTGCTCACTCAGTGCAACATCTCCAGCCGTATTTTCCTGATCAGACCACACACCCTGCCTTCACAGCACTGCGTTTAGCAGATCCGGTATATTTGTATTACGATTAGTATTGTATGTACTTTGTTTCACTTTTTTCATTTTTTCACTATTTTGGCACTTGTATTTTTTGTGTTTTATATGAAGCGCCTCCATTTATTTATTATATTTTATCTATTATCCATCAACAGTTACGTTTTAACTCCTTACTGCCTAATACTAGCTTTCTGTTCTACTCTTGTTTTGCAATTAAAAGAAAATATGATTCATCAAACAACGCAATGCTCTTTCATTGCTCCATAGTCCAGTCCTGACTCTCACATCTCCATTAAAGTTGCTTTCAGCAGTGGGCAGGGTTCATTATTGGAACTCTGACAGGTTTGTGGGTACGCAGCCTCATTAGCGGCAAACTGCAATCCTTTTTTTGTTCTGACACCCTTTTTCATGTCCTTAAGTATTAGCTTTCTCAACAATTTGAGTTATAGTAGCTCTTCTGAGTGATTGGACCAGAAAGGCCAGCCTTTGATCCCCACATGCAACCATGAGCCTTGATCACCAATGACCCTGATGTTAGTTGTTCTTCGTTGCACCAATTGTTGTAGGTACTAACCACTGCATACCAGGAACACTCCAAAAGACTTACAGTTTTAGAGATGCTCTAGCCCAGTTGTCAAGCCATCACTATTTGGCCCTTCTCAAAGTCACTCGGATCTTTTCACTTACCATTTTTTCCTGCATACAATACATGTAATTAAAGAACTACTGATCAGTTGCTGTCTAATATATTCCGTCCCTTGACAGGTGCCATTGTAATTATATATTTAATGTTACTCATTTCACCTGTCAGAGGTCTTAAAGTTGTGGTTGATCAGCGTGTAACTCTTCCCACTATCGTACTGCTCTTCCTTTGCCCACTCCTAAACAGATCAGGATTAGAGTTTGTGTGAGGGCTTAATTCTTTGAGGGTCACAATGTAGACTAGCCCCGGTGTTGGTTTCACTTCTCAACTTCCCACGGAGGGTAAAAAGCTAAAAGGGCATATAGAGCTGAAATAAAATAGCTAAAACAACTATTAAAAGTATATATACAACACAGAAAAGCCTAAACTTACCTTTACTTACCTAAACATTTGGGGAGGGTGCCGCACCCTCTCTCCAATTACCATGAGAACAAGGGACACAAGTAATGGGGTGGGGGGGGTGCGGGGACACTGGCACTCAAGCACACACTAAAATATAACATAAATACTACCCATAACCCCAAATCCACCCTGATCTTAGATCGTCTATCTTTAAACAGCCCCTCCTACTTGAAATTGGGAAACATGCATACTGTTGTGAATCTTACTTAATTCCCCGCTTACACACCACAGTAAGTATGCACATATAGGATGCAGGCAGCGCATAAAAACAAAGAAAAAAATGGGAAGGGGGCAAGAACTGTAAAGAGAAGAAGTGCAGGAGAGGCAACCAAGCAAGCAGAAGTGGTAGGGGAGCAAAGGAAGAGAGTACCATATGGGGAAATAAGAAGGATTAGGGCAGACTAGATGGGCCGAATGGTTCTTATCTGCCGTCACATTCTATGTTTCTATGTTTCTATTAGAGAATGCAGATGGAACAGGTTAAGTTTGGGAGAGTTAAGCCAGAGGTATGTATGCAGTATTTGATGTTCTTGTAGTCTTTAGGTCTTACTAGGTCTATAGGACTACATCTTTAAGCAATCCAGCCAGTGGTCCAGGTAAGTTTTGAGAGCTGTGGAGTAGTCTACAGTCTGATTATGTGTCACCACAATGTGTTCCATTCTGATCACTAATTAATCTATCCTCTGACCCAGAGTCCATTTCTCACAGGTGTGCCTTAGGCTGGCCACAATAAAAAGCCATTCTAAAATGTGCAGTTTTATCACACAGCACAATGCCACAGATGTCGCAAGTTTTTGGCATCCTGACTGCAGGAATGTCCACCAGAGCTGTTGCCCATGAATTGAACATTAATTTCTATACCATAAGCAGTCTCCAAAGGCGTTTCAGAGAATTTGGCGATACATCCAACCGGCCTCACAACACGTGTAGCCACACCAGCCCAGGACCTTGACATTCAGCCACCTGGACAGCTGCTGCAACAATCGGTCTGCATAACCAAAGAATTTCTGCACAAAATGTCAGAAACCGTCTCAGGAAAGCTCATCTGCATGCTCGTCGTCCTCATCGAGGTCTCCATCTGGCTGCAGTATGTTGTCATAACAGTCTTGAGTCGGCAAATGCTCACCTTCGATGGCGTCTGGCACTTTGGAGAGGTGCTCTCTTCATGGATGATTCCCAGTTTTCACTGTACAGGGCAGATGGCAGACAGCGTGTATAGCGTTGTGTGGGTGAGCGGTTATGGTATGGGGAGGCGTATGTTATGGACAATGAACACAGGTGCATTTTATTTATGGCATTTTGAACCGATGGCATCCTGTGACGAGATCCTGAGGTCCATTGTTGTGCCATTCATCCACGACCATCACCTCATGTTGCAGCATGATAATGCACGGCCCTATGTTGCAAGGATCTGTACACAATTCCTGGAAGCTGAAAACATCCCTGTACTTGCATGACTAGCATACTCACCGGGCATTTCACCCATTGAGCATGTGTGGGATGCTCTGGATCAGCGTTTACGACAGCTTGCTCCAGCAACTTTGCAGAACCATTGAAGAGGAGAGGACTAACATTCTACAGGCCACAATCAACAACCTGATCAACTCTATGTGAAGGGGATGTGTTGCATTGTGTGAGGCAAATTGTGGTAACTGTCTAGTTTTTGGACCCCCTCAGGTCTCCCCAATACATTACAACTGCAAATTTTAGAGTGGCCTTTTATTGTGGCTAGCCTAAGGCACACCTGTGCAATAATCACACTGTCTAATCAGCATCTTGATATGCCACACCTGCGAGGTGGATCTCAGCAAAGGAGAAGTGCTCACTAACACAGATTTAGACAGATTTGTGAACAATATTTGAGAGAAATAGGCCTTTGTGAAAAAGTCTTAGAAATTTGAGTTCAGCTCATGAAAAATGGGGGCAAAAACAATAGTTTATAATTTTGTTGAGTGTAAATATTTATGTGAATGCTTTCTAACCAAAGTTATCACAAAGGAATGTCTAATTCTGATATTTTGATTACTACAAGTCAATTTTGACATTATTCAGTTTCAGTCATTTCTCACTTTTCTAATATAAATGAGGAAGAACTTAAAGGGACACTCTATAGTACCAAAGCAACTTTAGCTTAATGAAGTGATCTGGGTGTATAGATCATACCCCCACAGTGTTTGTGCTCAATTATCTGCCAATTTGGAATTAAATCCCTTTTTTTATGCAGACAGTCTCCATACACAATCCTTCTAAGGAGAGAGATATTTCTGTCTTGTTTTGCACATCATGTTTAATTAACAATTAATTCTGCCCATTATATGAACCATTAATAAGTGTCTTTATTTAATGTATGTTACAGGTACAATACTAACATATGACTAGTCAAAATCTTCGGCACAATGTTTTACTTAAAATTTTTAGAAAAAAAATTCTTACCTTATGCCTAAACCTCAAGTTGTTTAATGTTTTATTAAGTGGTCTTTTATTATCAAACAGTATTGCTTGCAAAGACTGAACTATGGCCGTCAATGCATACATCATGGGAGATAAAAATTTCACAGTTAAATTATGTTCTAAAAATGTCTTTTGATATTTGGTAGAGCAGTTTTTAAGTGGTAAACTATATAACTTTGAATAAAATGTATCAGATAATTGGTTTAATGATAAACACTGTACCAGTAATATCCATATATGTTCGAGAAGTTTGTCTTCTGGGTATATTGAAGGATGGACCAAAGTAAATCTTTTCAGAGGGTATGAATAATTAAGTGTGGAAGGTACTATTGTGAAACTGCCATTAAAGACTTGCGATTGACGTCTTTCAATACTGGATAGATAGGATGTTGAAATAATTAAAATCATATCATAAACTTTCTCCAGTAATAGAAATAACATAGACAAAGTGTGAACAGTATACGATCCACAAATTATGATTATTTTAGCATCTGACGTCTGCATCATTTGTTTTATTCTTTCAAAGTTTTGATTCTTATGAAAACCAATGTAACTTTTTATTCTAAAGGCGACACAGATATCTTTACTGGCCATATAGTCTGTGAGATATTGGCTCTCTGTCTCTCCAGTTACATCATCAGGATACAAAATTCCAACCCAGTTCCATTTAAAGTATTTCAGAAACGTAACTAACATTGCGTAATAGATGCAGTCGTTTGGAATAATTCGGAAAACATGTGGGTATTGAAGTCTGTCAGTCAGCGTGTAGTCTGTAGCTCCGTAGCTGATCTATTAAACGCAAACACATGAAAAAGTGAGAAATTGTATAATGTCAATATCCAAGAAATAATTAAATATATCACTTCTTACATTGCCACCAACTTGTGTCAGTAAAATCCCCATTATCTAATTTCTCATTCTAACACACTCCCTTTATTCTCTATTAATGGGCGTGGAAAGTCATATTGTAGCAGTAATATAACAGAATGGTTTAATGTTCATTCTGGATGGGAACGCTATGTTTAGGTAATTAAGTGTAACTGACCTTGTCTGGACTGTCTGGGACTGGAACTGCCTGACTTAATAAAGGAATGCAAATGTATCTTCCTAGGATCAGATGTTACAACATACCACGATAAGTACCAGATGGCTATTGTTATAAGAACCATATAAGTTGTGTTTTGCATTTATTTTTAAATGATAATCATTTCAAACTATAGTGATTATGGTGCCAGGAGTTGATAGACAACCACTATTGTAAAAAGTCAAATCATTTTTTGAAAGGTTTGAGTTCTTACCAGGGGTCTGCTCAGGGTCATCTATAATATTAATATGGCCCCCTGGATCTTGCATCCCCTCTCCCTCCCCACACACGCAATCATGTCTTTCACCTCAACACAGTGAAAGGATTAACAACATACTTAGACAGACATATACACTGACAGACATACTGAAACATTTACAGATACATACTGACACACACAGATATACACTGACACACAAATATATACTCACTGACATATTGCCACACATTCAGACATATTAACACACAGACAAATACAATTACACTGACACACACAGACGTACACTGACAGACATACTGACACACACAGACACTGACAGACAGACATACTGACACACACACAGACACAGACAGACATGCTGACAAACACAGACACATACACTAACAGAAATGCTGATACACAGACACACACACACACACACACACAGGCACATACACTGACAGACATGCACACACACCCACACACACACACACACACACACACAAAATGTACACTATTGTACCTGTTTCCTACCTTGCCTAGCTCAGCCCCACTCCTCTCTGCCTCCTTGATGTCTCCCACTCAGCTCTCTGTGGGAGGAAGTGACAGTGGCAAGTCACTTCCTCCCATAGAGAACAGAGAGTCGCGCGCAGCCCAGCCGGCTGCAGGTAAGCAAGAGGCCCAGTCGCGCTGTTAAAAGACTATTGCATGCGACCGGGCCCCTGCTTAAAAATGCCCACTGGGTGGCCCTTAGTGAATGGGCCACCCGGTGGGCCTCCTTAGTTTGCCGTGGGCCCAAGCAAGGGTGGGAAAATAGTTAAGGGCAACTGCCTTGGGCCCCCCAGGAGCAGCTGCCCCATTTGCTCCGCATTAAAGATGGCCCTGGGCCTGCTGGGCACAGAGTCCTACCTCCACTATCTTCTGCTGAAAGTTCCTCTGCAGGAACCTCCATAGGTTTTCTTGAGCTAAGCTGGGCTGTGCACTGTAATGCAGGACTTAGCTCATTAACTGAGAATACGGAATCATTTGTTCTTACTTTTTTTATTCATTATTCATTAAAGTTTTGAAATGCAAGAAAGGCATTAGCAATGAAGTAAAATGAATCGAATAGTGCCATACATCCATTTTAACAAGAATAACAGAAAACAAAAACGAAAAGTGAACTAGAAAAAAAAACCATCATCATTGTAGCACATAAGCTTGGCTTTAAGCTAAATGAGAGTGCCATATTGAAATGATTTACTTATTGCACAAAATGTTCATTTTGGTATATGAAAAAGCATTCTCAGTGTTAACCCGTCAGTGCAGAATAAGCAGTGTGTCACGTTAGTAATCCGAAACCCGACATCCCGTACTTGTAATAGTGGGCAAAAATAATAAAATAAAACAACAATAAACAGTCTGTCGGGGCAAGTCAAAGGTCAAAGGTCAAATATCCAGGAGCAAGGTTTCACAATGAAAGGGGCAGGCCAGAGTTTAGGTAAATCCGGGATAGCAGTAATAACACAGCTAGTTGCAGGAAAAACTGAGAACAGCTCAGTTTGAATCTTTCTTTTGTCTTGGTGGAGTAGTTTGGGAAGATGAAGCTAAAATAGAGGCATACAATTTATTAATAATAATAAAATATAAGATATAATAATATATATAAGAGCATAAGCGCCATGGCTTCCCAGGTTTGGGAATCGTTATTAGCTGTGCATTCAGCAATACTGCGGGCATAGCATCAGAAAGAAAACACGAGTTGAAGAAGGATAAAGGAAAAAGCAATACAATCTTTGAAACAATCTTATATTAGAGACAGTTAGGCCGACTCGGGCAGGTGATTTTCCTTTTCTTTAGCCGACCAATAGCTGTTTAGTACGTAAGTAGCATCATCTTTTGGAAAAGCAGTTATCCTTTCAGTTATAAAGAGTTATGTAAAAGTCAGAAGAAACATTTCACATTACCATAGGGTTAAACATATACATGTTATATTTTATCAACAATATATGGGCTTCCAGAGAGTGCAATTTCTTTTAGTTAGAAGCCCTCCCGCTGCAGTATTGGAGCTTTAGCAGAGCACGCCCAACATTAAAGAGATTTTATAGTGTGAGGAATACAAAGGTGAATACTAACACTATACTTCCATAAGTTCTATAATACTTATACTTCCCTCTGCTGCAAGGGTTATAAAAAACCTTTTAACTCTTACTTGATCCCAGCGTCGCTCTGTCTCGGCGATGTCTGGTGCTCTGCCTCCCCTGACGTCACCCGACGGAGGGGCTAATGCACATGCACAGTGAGTGCTGCAATCACATTAGGCCCTCAACATAGGAAAGCATTGTTTCAATGCTTTATTATAGGGATTTACCTGATGCTTGATGTCCTCATGCAGAGCGTGAGGATATCCAGTTAGGCGATTGAAAGTAACCTAGCAAGCAGAAAGTGTCTCTAGTGACTGATTTACAGCCACTAGAGGAAGTCCTGACATGTAATAATTGCAGTTTCTCGAAAACTGCAATGATTTACATTGCAAAACTAAGTGGGACAGGGACTCTGCACCCAGACCCTATTTCTTTTTACCTTTTAAGAAAACATTTCTCTTGAAGAATGTGAATCACTGGGACAACTACCAAAACCCAGCGCACCGAGGAGCCGATCACAGCAAGCCTGATAAAAAGCATGCTGACATGGACTGTATTAAGGACTCCATCGAAGGTGCGACATCTTGCCTCACCGTTCTCGAGGCTTCATCAAGCACCCATGACTCGAGGCTCACCTCCTTGGAGACAAAAGTTGCTGAACTCCAGAAACAGCAACTAGCCACCAATGACATAGTTCATGCCATGGAAGATCAAAGGAGGCGATACCATTTAAAAATCTGCAGTATCCTGGACTCAATAGGCCTCTCAGACTTACCTCACTTTGTTCAATGCTTGCTCTCGATCCTGCTACCACCAAAACAGATTGAGGCGGTGAAATTTGATGGCATATTCAGATTGACAAAGAAAAGTCAGAGCTCTTGCAACAGCACAAGTAGACCTTATTGTAAGGTTCCAATCTGAACAGTCTTATAATAGAGAGCAGTTAGGCTGATTGGGCATGGGGATTTACCTTTTTGTATCCAACTAATAGCTGTTAAAACCTCCTCATCTGCAGGTGGTGTAGCTAAGTCAGTTGCATCATCCTGGCAGCCATTCGGGGGAAAACTCCCTTTCTATTCTCTAGTCCCTTTCTATCTCAATCTCTATTCCCAGATCTCACTAGGAGCACCATTGTATGGCGCAGTTTCCTGCAGCCGCTTCTACAGCTTCTCCAACAGAGGGACATTTAATGCAGATGGGGGCTGTCAAAACTGTTCTTATTCATATACCAGGGTGCTCCTTACTGAGTGAAGTGTGTCCAGGAGCTGGAGGCCATCTTACAATTGCTGGGTGTTGTAGAAACCCAGAGAGTAATTAGATCAGGCCTGTTGCAGATGGACCCCTCTGCTATATGGAGTTCACTCCCAGCATGGCCTAGCATCAAGTTCCCACACAAGAAGCAACCTGAATGACTGAGCCTAAGAGACTTGTTTCTTTTGTCCTCCCAAGAACCACCAAACCCCACCACCTAGGAACGTATTAATTTATAGGCTCTATGATACCACCGCTATTGATTTCTTCATATTATATGGATTTTAATATGCTTAGCCCAATATGTTTACTATTATTTCCACTATGGCTGAATGGCAATGCAAGATCATATCTATGCAGAATACATGTTTCAAGTTAAGAAGTGCTCATTAGAGCCCCATTCTCCAAAGAATTCTGCAAACTAGTACATTAGTATCTGAGAGTCAAATAGAAGCGCCAAATACTGCTGTCACATCAGAGTTTTAAAAAGTACATTTTTTGGGGGGTGCTAAAAAGTACATTAGTGGGGTGCTCTTCATATCTGAGAGTCAAATAGTGCTGTCACATTGCAGTTGCAAAAATTCTAATTGTTTTGCTGCTAAAAAGTACATTAGTGGGGTGCTCTTCATATCTGAGAATCAAATAGAAGTGTCAAATAACGTTTTGCTGCTAATCTGCTAAATAGTACATTTTGGGCGTGCTCTTCATATCTGAGAGTCAAATAGAAGTGTCAAATTGTGCGCTTACAGCACAGTTGTAAAAATTCTAATTGTTTTGCTGCTAAACTGCTAAATAGTACATTTTGGGCGTGCTCTTCATATCTGAGCGTAAAATAGAAGCTGTTATGGTATAACCCGGTATAGTGAGGGTTAATACCGGTCAAGGGATTCACCTTTCGAAGAGTGCAGCAGTTCACAATCACTCAAACCCACCGGACTGGAAACATACAATGTTCTCCTCTCCTGGAACAGGCAAAAGAATAACCCACACTAGTAATTCCCCTCAAGTAAGAGACAAGGCTCCGTATTGAGGGTAAAACAGGAATCTGGTTTATTGAGGGCTACCTGCCCAGTATTTATGCAGGTCTCACACCTGATGGACACTCCCCTAGGGGACCAGATATAAGACTGTGACACAGGACAGACAAGTACCAATGACAGACATACAGTGGTAAAACATTCTCACGATGCATCACAATTCCCTCTTCTCTATCCGGGAGATAATTGAGAAGTAATCCAATTATCTCCACGGACAGAGGTAAATCGCCATTATCCACATGGTGACTACAGGACAATAAAATACAATAAAATATACAATGTTACACTTATTACCTGAAATATATACATGTAACATATCCCCCATTATTACTGAATGGCGCTCAGAGCACACACACATACGGTTCAATTGCCATGGAGCTAAAGTCTTTTATTACACGAATAGGCTCCAGGGCATAGCTATCTGGGGTAACAGCATTCACATGGTTAAATACTGCATGAACCAGTGTCCGGTTAAACAGCCGAAGGCAGAAGCAGGAAGGCTGGCGGCTCAGCGGTAATCAGAAGTAAAAGTATCAGTTTTCAGTTCCATAAGTTTGGTGCTGAACACCACTGGCCGTTCGTGAGCTGCAGACTGCTGCCACCGTGTGTAAGCTCTGTGTTACCACGACCACCCAACAGTAGTCAATTAAGCTGCAGTTAACCGCATCTAATGGGAGGTCAATTGGCGGCAAACGTATGGTCGGTCGTTCTGTATTTCTTCGGGATAAAACAAGGGAACACGGGGGCTAAACAAACAGACAAATGGAGGAAGAATAAAAGCAATCCATAGACAGATGGTTCTGTCACACAGCTCCCTCCTTGTGGGACACTCCGACAGACCCGGCTTGATCCTTCTCGGGTCAATTTGGGGATGTCCGGAACTCGGGTGCCGGAGAGACGTCTGTTTGTTGGGACAATCCATCAGCATTGCCGTTCTGCTTACCGGGTCTATAGCTGATTGTAAAATTGTAAGGTTGCAGGGCCAGGCTCCACTGTAGCAACCTGCCATTGTCCCCTGAGACCCAGTTAAGCCAGACCAATGGGTTGTGGTCAGAGAAAATTCCTACCCGTACAGATAGGGGGTTAATTTTTTTAGTGCCCAGACCAGGGCCAAAACTCCTTCTCCACTGCCACATAACTCATTTCCCGAGGTAGTAGTTTTTTGCTGAGATGTGCGACAGGGTGTTCTCCTCCATCCTCCCCGACTTGGCTTAGCACAGCCCCCAGTCCAAACATGGAAGCGTCTGTATGGACGAGAAAATGTTTGTTAGGTACTGGGGCAGTCAAGACAGGGTGTGACGAAGTGCCCTTCACCACTTGTGCCTGGAGAGGACTAATTGCCAGCCTCCTGCCATGTGACTATGGTCACTGCAAGACTTTGCCAGTTAAAAATACTATTTGGGCTTATTGGCTTTTAAAAGACTGCTTCTGCGCTTTGATTCCATGGGAGCATGTGTCTCTAATACCTATACCATTGTTCTCCAGCAGGGCGTTGTCCCAGGGACACTGCCAAACCAGTTGAAACAAGCTGTTTTGTCCCAAATAGGACTTTTACCTAACTTTTGAACTACTGGAGGGAATTGTATGATTTTGGGGTATGTTTATAATTAAAGTGTGCTGAGTTCGAATATGTTTTTATGTTTGTGGCATGTATATATATAATCACTAAGCTCTGCTAAGAGCTTGTTCCTGTTCCTGCTCTCTGGGAAAGAGAGGTTCACCCACTGGAAGCTGGATCCTGGCCTTGGGTTCAAGGTGGGTGGAGACAGCGAGACCCCAGCGCAGCTGCATCGCTGGAAGTGGGGTCTGCAGTGCTGATGGTGTCGGTTGGAATGCTTTGAGTCCTCAGCGAGCACTAGGAGCATCTATTGTCGGAGGTACTCAGTCGGAGTGCCAGCGGTCCATCACACAGGGGCATTCACAAGAGCTTGCTTCAATGCCTGAAATGCGGCTTCACAAGCTGGAGAGCACAGGACCTGCTTAGGTTAGTTTTTCTTAGTTATGTCAGTCAGGGGCTTAGCTACGGTACTGTAGTTGGGGACAAAAAGTCTGTAGTACCCTGCCGTCCCCAAGAAGGCTTTGTGAGGGGTGTGGGCCAGTTAGCCACTGCCTCTACCTTGGCTGGCTCCGGTCTCTGGTTTACATACCACACTCTGTGACCCAGGTACAGCACCTCAGCCATACCTAGATGGCACTTATCTGGCTTCAAGGTCAGGCCATCGGCCCGAATCTTGTCCAGAACCATCCCTACGTGTACCAAGTGCTCCTCGCAAGACCCACTGTAGATCGCAATGTCGTCCAGGTAGGCACAAGCAAATTCCTGTAAGCCATCAAGGAGTCTATCCACCATACGCTGGAAGGTAGCCGGGGCATTCTTCATCCCGAATGGCCTGACTTGAAATTGGTACAAGCCAAATGGGGTGATGAATGCCGACTTGGGGATAGCATCCTCGGCCAGGGGGTCAGTAGCCCTGTGGTAGTCAGATAATGTTCCCTGGCAATGCGGTCTAGCAATTTGTCTACCCGGGTAGGCGTCAGTGGTTGTCTTCTCGTTGAGTCGCCTGTAGTCCACACAGAACTGGGTGGTCCCATCTTTCTTAGGCACTAGGACTACAGGTGAAGCCCGAGGACTGTTGGAGGGCTCGATGACCCCAAGCTGGGTCATCACCTGTATCTCCTTCCACATTCCTTCTCGGACTGCTTCCGGGATACGGTAAGGGGGCTGTCGGAGGGGAGTCTGTCCAAGGGTCTCTACCTTATGTACAGCCAGGGTCGTATAGCCCGGCTCTTGGGAGAAAGTCACCTGTTTTTCCCAAAGCAGCCTCAGAGCCTGTTCATTTTCCGTGGGGCTTAATCCATCTCCTAGCTGTACAAGGCTCGTCAAGTCAGTCTGCTGATCCCTTTCCAGTAAGTCAGGCAGAGGTAAACCGTCTGAGTCGTCTGCAGCAGGGGCACATCCTGCAGCGACATCCTGCTGTCTCTCCTGATACTCTTTCAGCATGTTCACATGAAAGGATCGCTGGATCATTTAATCTGCACAGCTGGCAACGACATAGGTAGTGTCACATACCTGGCCTACTACCTTGTACAGGCCCTGCCAAGATACTTGCATCCTATCTGTCTTCATAGGTTTGAGCACTAAAACTTTCTGCCCAATCTGGAAGACCCGCTGTCGAGCACCTAGATCATACCACCTCTTCTGTCTCTCCTGGGCCACCTGGAGGTTCTCTCTTACAATCAGAGACAGTTGCTCCCTGTGGCCCGGAGTTCAAGAACATATGGTACTATGGGGGTCCCCTCCTGCTCGGTCTCTCCCTCCCAGTGTCCTCGAATAAGATCTAGGGGTCCGCAGACCCTTCTCCCATAGAGTATCTTGAATGGAGAGAACCCAGTAGATTCCTGGGGCTCCTCTCTGTACGCAAATAGCAGATGAGGCAGGAATCGCTCCCAGTCTCTGCAGGCGTCAGTAAAGGTCCTCAGCTTGAGGGTACTGCTAAAGCGCTCGCAGAGACCGTTGGTCTGCGGGTGGTAAGGTGAACTAAGCAGCGCTTTAATGCCCCACACCTCCCACAACTGCTGGGTGAGCACAGCGGTAAACTGGGTTTCCTGGTAGGAGAGAATCACTTTAGGGAACCCAACCCGGGTAAAAATCTTAACCAGGGCATCAGCTACTGTCCCTGCCTCTATGTTGGACCGAGCTACTGCCTCTGGATAACGGTATATTTATTCCCGGATGGACTAGCCCTGGCCAATGGACCCACAATGTCAACGGCTATGCGGGAAAAGGGCTCCCCTATAATAGGCATAGATGCAAGTCTAGCTTTAGCGTGGTCCCCTACCCATTGACATGTGTCACACTTCCTACAATATTGTCGCACAGCCTGGTTAAAATTGGACCAAAAGAAGTTCAGTGTAATCCTATGTCCTGTGAGACTGGACCCTAGATGTCTGGCTAATGGCACATCATGCCCAATTCGTAGAATCTCCAGCCGGTATTTCTGGAGCACCACCAGCTGGCGTTTCTGAGAATGTGCTTTACTTTTCTGAGATGGCTTGGTGACCCTATACAACCTATCCCCCACTCGCTCATAGCGCTCCCCATCTGCCCCCTCTTCCCCGGAGTCTGCCTTAGCCCTATACTTGCATAAAGTCGGTGTGACGAGAGCAATCTTGCCACATTGCATTGGAGAAGCCTGGTTGCTCGCCTGTTGCCTTTGGACTATGGCCCCATGTTAAAAGCCTTCTTTTCTCATGCAGAAAAGGCTTATTTAACCGGATGCCTGTTCATTCGGTACTTTAAACCGTATGAACTGCATTACCCCAGATAGCCATCCCATGGAGTCTATTCGGATGGAGAACAGACTTTGTGAACACTTTAACGCCACGGCGATTGGACTGTGTGCATAGGATCTGAGCGCTATTCGGTACTTTTGTGCGCTCAGATCTAAGCTATCTGGGGATAGGTAGAATGTATATGTTTTGTGCAACAGTTGTAACTTTATAAATTTTTATGTCTTTTACTGTTTTTTACAGCCATGTGGTTAATGGCGATTTGCCTTTGTCTTGGGAGATAATTGAATTACTTCTCAATTATCTCCAAGGCAGAGGGGAGGAAGCCAGGATGCATTGTGGGAATGCAATGTGACTGTGTGTCCTATTAGTCTACTTGTCTGTCATTTGTTCCCCTAGGGGAGTGTCCACCAGGTGGGAAACCTGCATAAATACTGGGCAGGTAGCCCTCATTAAACAGACCACTGCTTGACCTTCAACACGGAGCTCTGTCTCGTCTTTGGGGGGGATTTACTGTATGCTGATAGAGACTGATTGCCAGGAGTGTTAGCCGCTTGGGTGCTTTTCCTGTTCGTCTGCTAGCAGCTATTCGTGAGGTTCCAGTTCGGGTGTTTGGAGCATTCCCTTGTATGCAGTTCGAGTGTTTGGAGCATTCCCTTGTATGCAGTTCGGGTGTTTGGAGCATTCCCTTGTATGCAGTTCGAGTGTTTGGAGCATTCCCTTGGATGCAGTTCGGGAGTTTGGTGTTCTGCAGTAGCTGTGCCTGTGTATCTGAAAAGGGGAATATCGCCTAAACGGTTTTAACCCCTTGTGTGCTGAAACGGTCTGTTACAGTCGGGTCCTCCCAGGTTTCCCTTCTAAAGGCCTCTGGGGTATCCCAACCTAACGGGGCCTGGTCCACAGTACATGTCGGGGGGTCAGCAGGTGGGTCGGCTCCGGCAGCATGGGTCTGGGCACGGGTGGTCACAGCGTTGGCTTCAGCATAGCCTGTCGTGGCCAAATCTTTCCCCAATAGGACATCAGCATAACCCCCACATTCACATGTCCAGAACCCACCCCCCAGTCCAGGTGAACCCGGGCCACAGGTAGCCTAAACACGGCACCTCCAGCTACCCGTACGGCCAAGATGTCCCCGGTATGCTAACTCTCAGGAGCGAGGTTCTTCTGTAATAGAGTCATGGTAGCACCAGTGTCTCTCAATCCAGTGGCTGCTTTCCCATTCACTCGGACTGCCTGTTGATGCTGTTGCCGGCTAACTGCTTGCACGAGATCAGCCTCATGTAGGATATCCCAGCACTCCTCTTCCTCAACACAATGGACAGCCGGTACTGCTTGACGGGGATTCCCCCATGCTGGTCCTCTACAGGACTGGGACTGCCTGAACGGATTTAGGGGACACTCCGCCTTGCAATGGCCCATCTGGTGACAGCCATGGCACTTGATAGGCTGGGAGTACTGGGCATTGAACCTTGTGGTTGTGGGTTCGTTGGAGGGGATGCTGCCGGTCGTTATGCCGGTGTCGGTGTTGAGGTCACTGGTCTGTACTCGGTGCGAGGGACTGCTTTGGGGGCTTGGTTATCCAACTTGCGGGCATCAGAATACTCGTCAGCTAAGCGAGCTGCTTCAGGTAGTGTAAGCGGCTTTCTGTCCCGGACCCATTCTCTTACCCCTGCAGTCAGCCTTTCATAGAAATATTCCAGCAGAAACAGATGCAGCACCTCCTCTACGGACACCGCTGGGCATCCAGCTATCCAGTGGGCTGCCGTGAGATGAATACGACATGCCCACTCGGTGGATGAGTAACCACTCAGCTTGTTTGTGTCCCAGAACCTCGGCCGATATGCCTCTAGGGTCACAGCATACTTGGCTAAGAGAGCTTCTTTAACAGATAAATAATTTGCAATCTCCTCGTCTGGGATGGCTTGGAAGGCTTCACTTGCCTGACGGGATAATTTCTCAGAGAGGATGGTGACCCATTCTTCTGCGGGTACCTGGTGTAGGGCACACTGTCTTTCAAAATCAGCCAGGTACCCATCAATTTCCCCCTCGGCTTCCACAAAGTTTTTAAACACAGCAAAGTGCACCTTTTTCTTCCCATGATTATTAGGTACCTCCGCTGCTGCAGCACTTTGCTGAAGTGCCCGGTTTACTTCCACGGCAGCTATGACACGCTCAATGAGGATTTCTCCATGCACCAGGACTGCAAGAAATGCACTGCAGGCTGCAAATGTTTCTTTTTTTTATCTGTCCCAATCTTTTGGGGGCTACCCCAATTAAAATAATATATATATATATATATATATATAAAAAAAACAGTGTTGGCTACCTCCTCCACCGCCGCTTCCACCTATACTGCCATGGTCCTCCTCAACCTATGGGTCACTTCGTATAAACTATGTACACAATAGCAGAGGCTTGTGAAGGCCTTTTCTCCATGCATCAGGAGTTGAGCTCAGTTTGAACAATGGAAGAGATTACCATGCACTCCAACCTTCTCTCAAATTGATAATTCTGGTGATCCTCCTGACAGCCATGCTTTAGATTTTGATTTATGTTCTTCCAAAGCTAAAATCAAAGATTCCATCTAGTGCTATTTTATGGCTCAGCTGTATTTTTAATGTTTATGTTATTTTAAGTGATTTCCCTATCCACATTTGTTTGCAGGGCACTTGTCCTACTCTTACCCCCATTTTACTTCCCTTTGCAGCCCTCTAGCCCTTTCCAGGACTTTTTTAGAGGCATTTTAGTGCCCAAAAGTTTGGGTCCCCATTGACTTCAATGGAGTTCAGGTTTAAGGTTCGGGGTCAAGTTCAATCCCGAACCCAGACTTTTATTAAAAGTTCGGCTGAACCCGCCGGACCTGAACATTCAGGGGTTAGGTCAACTCTGATTATATCCTCCCACTCATTGTTATTATTACCAATCAATTACCACAACAAGAAGACATAGTCTTAAAGGGACACTATAGTCACCAGAACAACTACAGCTTATTTAATTTGTTCTGGTGAGTAGAATCATTACCAGGCTTTGGCTGTAAACACTGTCTTTTCAGAGAAAATGCAGTGTTTACATTACAGCCTAGTGATAACTTCACTGGCCAATCTTCAAATGGCTGTTAGAGATCCTCCTGGGTCATGGCTGCCTAAAATGCATCCAAACATTCAGTATCTCCTCCCTCTCCTCCCTAGAGATTTATTTATTCAATTCATCTCTATGAGGAGATGCTGATTGGCCAGGGCTGTGTTTGAATTGTGCTGGCTCTGCACCGGATCTGCCTCTCTGTCAGTCTCAGGCAGTCCTATGGGGAAGCACTGTGATTGGATCAAGCCACCACTTTTGAGAATGTCAGCAGACTGCTTGTTTTTCTGAGTCAAACAGCATGCAGAACTACAGCGTCAGGCTTGAATAAAAGTAAGATTGTGCTAAATTTATGGAGGCATGAGGGGCACAGGGGGGCAAGATGGTGGTTTTAATACTATAGGGTCAGGAATAAATTTTTGTGTTCCCGACCCTATAGTGATCCATTAACCCCTTAAGGACACAACTTCAAAAATAAAAGGGAATCATGACGGAATATTTCTGTCATGTGTCCTTAAGGGGTAAAATTACAGGGGCATATGCTTAAAAATAATACCAGGAATTCTAAAATGCTGCCATTCAGGGCCAGGATTGCAGGTGGGTAGGGGCATGCTTCCTTTTTTTCTCCAGTGTTTGGGAGATGGACAGCTGAACGCTTCCGTGGGACAGTGTGGTGATGCTTGGGGACGGTGGCGGACATGGTGGCATTGCTTCCACATCTTCCGTTTGCGGGTTGGCAGGTGCCACTGTGACTCCAGGGGTGGAGGAAGAGGCTGAGACAGCAGCAGAAGAGGAAGCAGGAGGAGCCTGAGACCTCCTTTGGTTTTTGAGGTGCTTACTCCACTACAGCTCGTTCTTTGCATGTAGATGCCTGGTCATACAGGTTGTGCTCAGGCTTAGCACGTTTATGCCTCGCTTCAGGCTCTGATTGCACACTCGTGTCTTGTCGTCAGCACATTGTCTGCAGAACTGCCAGGCCAGGGAACTCCTTGGAGCTGGCTTTGGTGTGCTCTGTCCCTGGGTGCGGTGGGCAGTAGCAGATGTACTTTCTAGGGGATGGCCGCTCCACTTTTGCACCCTGCTCCCTCCTATGCTGTACTGATGCCTCTGTGCGACCACCGCCTCTTCCTCCAAACTGGACACGTCACTCGCATGACCTTGATTCCATGTGGGGTCTAGGAACTCATCATCCTCCACATCATCTTCCACATACTCCTCAACCCTGGCCCTCCTTGACGGTCTGCATAATGCAGAAAGCCACAGCAGTTGGCACCTGTGTTTCCTCATCATCAGACGTGCTGCAGTGGTCCTCGCATGTCCACACCCTGACACATAAGTGGTTGTACATCAGTGCACTCAATCTATTCCACTTCTGGGGCAGGGCTAGGTGGATGGCCCACAGAAACACTGCCAGCAGAGTCATCAAAAAGCATAAGAGACTGCTGCATGACTTGTGGCTCAGACTGCTTGGCTGACTTGCAAGGGGGTGAGGTGAAAGACAGATGGCCATGGGCTGCAGGTGCCAACTCTGAGCTTTCAGCAGGGGACCGGGTGGGAGACAATGTGAAGGAACTGGAGGCACTGTCAGCCATCTGATCTACTATCGCCTGTACTTGTTCCGGCCTCACCATTCGCAGAGCGGCATTCGGGCCTACCAAATAACGCTGAAGATTCTGTCACATACTTGCACCTGAGGAAGGTGTTTCTCTTGCGCGTGTAGCTGGCGCAGATCGAGCACGTCCTCTCCTTGCAACAGGAGTTTCACCAGCAGCACCACGACCAGGGCCACGTCCCTTATTTGACACTCTCCTCATTCTTTGCGTTCACCCACCAAACTAACAGATGGCGACAATGTAACCACCAGTAGTCAACAATTTATTTATTTATTTATTTATTTTTTATTGGACTGCTAGAAATGCACTGCAGGCCGCAAATGTACTATTTAGCACCCAAAAAATTAAATTTTTGAAAGTGCGATGTAACCACAGTATTTGACGGTTCTATTTGACTCTCAGATATGAAGTGCACACCCCAAATTTACTTTTTAGCACCCAAAAAATGTGAATTGTTCAAACTGAGCTGTAACCACAGTATTTGACGGTTCTATTTGACTCTCAGATATGAAGTGCAGCGCAGGCCGCAAATGTACTATTTAGCACAAAAAAGTGTGCTTTTTTAAACCAACAATGTAACAGTGGTATTTAAGAGTTTTATTAGACTGCAAGTGGTATAGTAGTCCCATATAATAATAGAAATGCATATATATAGACAAGAAAAGGAGAGGAACATATACAGAGGGGGAAAAAGAAATGATAAGACTAAAACATTTATTTTTTTCCCCTCTGTAAATGTTCCTCTCCTTTTCTTGTCCATATATATGCATTTCTATTATTATATGGGACTACTATACCACTTTGAAAATGGCCCCTCTGGCCTCATGTGGGAACTACGAGAACTTTAAGAAATTATGGAAGGAGAAAAGGGACATACCGCCGCAACTCGATGAAACTGGAAGTGACGCGACAGACCGGATTATGGAATGCGCACGTCACAGGAAGTGACTCGACGGACAAGTGAAGCGGATTTTAGCTTCCCCATCAACCGAGACACCCACAAGTGACCTATCTCGTGATGGATGTCTCGGATAGGAAAGGAGAAGCATTGGATTTGTTTCAATGTTTATTTTGTGTGTTTTATATTTTTTTCCTTGATGATAGATTGGATGTATGAATATGGCACTAGAGATGCCCGAACCGGATGTGTAGCCATATTGGAGGTGGCATTACACATCCGGTCCGAACCATATAAGGAAATGGGTGTGATGTTTTGTTACATGTGTAACAAATGATATAATTAAGTATCTATGTTATAGCATATATAAATGGCACCATGCTCATTGTAATGTTGAACAGCACCTGAGGAAGACCATATGTAAATGGTTGAAACGCGTTGTGTATTTTTTAATTTTGTTTTATATGTAATACATTTTTGCTAATATATCTTCAACTCCTGGCTCCTGACTCCAACTTTCCACTAGATGCTTACTGCAATAACTGGATCCATTTGAAAGGAGGAAAAGTTTTCTATGTCCTTGAAAGTGACATAAAGGCCCTATCAGTTCCTAGTCAACTTCTAAACAGCTCAAAAAAGTGTGAGTGGTTCCAGCTCAAAAACTTCCATACTATTGTGGATTATATACAGATTACACTATGTTCTGTTGTATATTTATATTTTCTGTATAGAGAAACTGTACCATGTATTATTTAATATATTCTCAGTACAAAGGGAAGGAAAATCTACTATCAGTTACCAGTTATTATATAAAATTACGAACATTTACCCTTTGGTGTGCGCTTTTACATTTTAATTTTTTTTCATTTATATTGAAAAGTCCATAAAGTTAACCCCTTTAAATAATGATAGCAGTCCTGCCACCTTTGATTTCCTTTCTGGCATAATCGAGATCCCATTCAGTAAACCATTAATTGTTGTGGGAATCTACCACCCACTCAGCTCTCTAGTACTTTCCCTTTCCAACGTAACCCAACTCCTTTGTAAAACCATAGCTCTATACTCAAAAGGTGAACTGCTGATTTTTGGAGATTTTAATATTGATTGGCTGAATCCCAAAAATAGTAAATCATGTTCGCTGTTTAAAACTTTGCAGCTAACACAATTAATTTCCTCGCCAACTCACATTAATATTAAAAACCATAACCATACCTTGCTCGATTGGATTCTCTCTAGTTGTCCTGCTACAATCTAGGAGGTGGGTGGTTCTCCGTAACCTAAGTTTCCTAACCTAAGTTTCAGTCATCACTGTTTAGTGTACTGCATACGCAAAATAAAGGCCACTAAATCCCTTTCCAAGGTTATCACCATGTCTATTTAATTTAATCTAAAATCCTTTATAAATTGATTTATAGATCTCGAGAATCTAACATTGCACAGATGATGTCTAATGCCAAATTTAGACTTTGCAACTGAATGTTTTTAGTTTGAGCTCTTGCAAGTTTGGGATTTGCATGCCCTTCTGAGTAAAGTGCAAGTAAAAGGGGCACATCTGCCTTGGGTTGCATATTCCCTTCCCTTATCCTGAGAGGAAACTCAATTACACATACAGTTAAAACATACTTTCTACCCAACTTTCATAACTCTAAAACCATACATCACATTCACATAAAATTACATATTCACAATCAATTCATTCAGGGGAACAACATATTAAAAAATGGCATGAATCAGACCAGGGGTTCAAAAGTTAGTAAAAAGTATATTTTGTACCCTGGCTGGCAGCATGGCTATCTGGCTCAAACAGGTTTTACAGAGCCCTCTATCCTGGACAATGGGGAAAGTAATCCAATTATCCAGGGATAGAGGCAGACTCCATTGAGCACATGGGGACACAAAGACAGTAAAACACTTTAAAATACATCAGGTATTTACCTTACATTAAAACTATACATTTAACATATCCCCAGATAGCTCAGGTCTGAGCGCACATTATTAAGTGAATGGTGCTCAGACCACACAAATACAGTTTAATCGCCATGGAGCCAAAGTCTATACAGTCAGTTTCATACGAATGGGCTCCATGGGATTCCTATCTGGGGTATAACACATTCAAACAAATCTACCGAACCCCAGGCAGAACAGCACAATTGAAGCTTTTCTGCAGGTAAAAAAGATGTCTTTTAACAGGGGGCCATAGTCCAAAGGCAGCAGGTGAGCAACCAGGCTTCTCCAATGCAATGTGGCGAGATTGGTCTCGTCACATCTCTCCCCTTTTCCAAACAGACTTACAGGGTATCTGAACTCCTGCCGGTCAGTGCCCTTGTTAGTCCAGCAGCCCACCCACAAGACATAATCAACAGCACAGCCCACCCACAATAAATGGTTACTGCACCTGGGTAGAGGAGAAGCTTGTCCATGTCCAGGTGCCTCACCACGGCTGTGCTGGGTACGGGTACGCTGACTTGGTGGGGTGCTGCACAGGCAGAGACCAGCGGCACTCTGCCCTGTTGCCAGCGCTACTGGGAGGGTAGCCTGGTTGAAGCCTGGTTGTTGGAGGGGGAGACCGACTGTCTCCCCTTTAGATACACAGTCCTGCTGCTGGAGACCGACTGTCTCACCTTTTGACACACAGCTCTGCTGCTGGAGACCGACTGTCTCCCCTTTGGTTACACAGCTCTGCTGCTGGAGACCAACTGTCTCCCCTTTGGCTACACAGCCCTGTTGCTGGGGGGCAGAACCGACCGTCCCTACCCCCTGTGCTGTATGTGCAAAGACCACGGTCCCATCTGCACAGTTGTGGGGCTTACCCCCGGGTACATTAAGCTGCCACTGGGGAGAGGGGGTAACAAGCTCCTCTCCCATATATATTTCCAGCCGCGGGGGAGGGAGACCGACTGTCTCTGCTCCCAATACAGAGTCCTGCTGCTGGGGAAAGGAGACTGGGCTCTCTATTCCCGGTAGGACACTCTGCCGCTGGGGAATGGAGACTGGGTCCCCAATTCCCTGTTTTATCTCCCGCTGGGGAATGGAGACTGGGCTCTCAATTCCCATAAAATCACGCTGCCGCTGGGGAGGGAGGACACTGCTCTCCTCTCCCTGGACTTCACACTGCCTTCCCGGCATATCACTTGGCTGCTGGGGGGCAGGAACAACTACCTCTTCCCCCTGTAACTCAGCCTGTCACTGGGGAGGGAGGACACTGCTCTCCTCTCCCTGCACTTCACACTGCCTTCCCGGCATATCACTCTGCTGCTGGGGGGCAGGAACAACTACCTCTGCCCCCTGTAACTCAGCCTGCCGCTGGGGAGGGAGGACGCTGCTCTCCTCTCCCTGCACTTCACACTGCCTTCCCAGCATATCACTCTGCTGCTGGAGGGCAGGAACAACTACCTCTGCCCCCTGTAACTCAGCCTGCCGCTGGGGAATGGAGCTTGGGCTCCCAATTCCCTGCAATATCTCCCGCTGGGGAATGGAGCTCGGGCTCCCAATTCCCTGCAATACCGGTGGAGAGACCTCGGTCCCCTCTCCACCTGCCGCCTGGGGTTCCTCCCAGTAAATTTCAACAATATCTTCCCAGCTGAATGGGTCTGAGACTGGATCTGTCACTCTGCTGTCCTGCGGAGCCTTCCCAATGGAGTGGAAGAGATCTCGGTAGTCCTGCTCCAGTTCCCACTCCAGGGTTGCTAGGTGAGCCAGGTCTTGCTCTACCTCATGGGGGTCATCCCAGTCATGCCTAGCCTCCCTCTCGTAGAAAATTTCCTGAAGTCTGTTCTGCTCAGGGCTCCCGAAGTCAGGCTCTGCAAAGGACTCCCATAACAAGCCAGGACCATCAAAATCCTCTCCCTCTGGTTTGTTAGCTGTCCAGGGTATATACTGTGCCATATACCACCAGAGCGCCTGGTAGGCATCCTCCAGCCATAGCTCCTGCCATACCCGATGCTCTAGTTCCTTCACCCATTCCTCCAGGGGCTGCTCTCCCAGGAAGGGCATCCGCAGGGCCACTTGCTTCTGCAACCGCTGCTCTTCACTGGGGAGACTCTCACCCCGCTGGTATTGTACATTATCCAGGGCCTGGTACCAGATGCCTTTCCTTAATGCATCCCGGCCATCCAGGTCCTCCTCCTTGTATAACACTGCTGGTTCCATTCTGTTGCTTTTAGGGTTGCTGTACTGGGACATGCGTTGCCCCCACTTGTAAATCCAAAGAAATGGTGTCTCCTGTAGCTGTCCTTCTGGCTGTAGGAACGATCCCGCCGCTTGCCACCAATTGTAACGGACCGTTTTGCACACAAGGGGTAAAAACCGTTTAGGCGATCGGCCCCCTTTCCAGAGATACAGGCACAGCTACTGCAGAACACCAAACTCCCGAACTGGATACAAAATAGCACTCCAACTCCCGAACTGGAACCTCCCAAATAGCTGCTAGCAGACGAACAGGAAAAGCAGACAATCAGCTTACACTCCTGGCAATCAGTCTCTAACAGCATACAGTGAATCCCCCCAAGAACGAGACAAGGCTCCGTGTTGAGGGTCAAGCAGTGGTCTGAGGTGCTGGCACACCCAGCCTGGTTTTATTACAGTCTTGCAAATACAGGACCGCCCACAGGGAGGTATAAAACAACCAATCACATCACAGTTACATCCCACATATTCCCTCCCCTTATCCTGAGAGGAAACTCAATTACACATACAGTTAAAACATACTTTCTACCCAACTTTCATAACTCTAAAACCATACATCACATTCACATAAAATTACATATTCACAATCAATCCATTCAGGGGAACAACATATTAAAAAATGGCATGAATCAGACCAGGGGTTCAAAAGTTAGTAAAAAGTATCTTTTGTACCCTGGCTGGCAGCATGGCTATCTGGCTCAAACAGGTTTTACAGAGCCCTCTATCCTGGACAATGGGGAAAGTAATCCAATTATCCAGGGATAGAGGCAGACTCCATTGAGCACATGGGGACACAAAGACAGTAAAACACTTTAAAATACATCAGGTAAGACACCTTACATTAAAACTATACATTTAACATATCCCCAGATAGCTCAGGTCTGAGCGCACATTATTAAGTGAATGGCGCTCAGACCACACGAATACAGTTTAATCGCCATGGAGCCAAAGTCTTTACAGTCAGTTTCATACGAATGGGCTCCATGGGATTCCTATCTGGGCTATAACACATTCAAACAAATCTACCGAACCCCAGGCAGAAAAGCATGAATGATGCTTTTCTGCAGGTAAAAAAGATGTATTTTAACAGGGGGCCATAGTCCAAAGGCAGCAGGCGAGCAACCAGGCTTCTCCAATGCAATGTGGCGAGATTGGTCTCGCCACAAAAACCATGGATGATATTAGGCAGTGTGATGAATACCCTTCGCCACTGGCTTCTGGAGGGGCCTGATTGCCAGACTCCTGCCCCAAGACTATGGCCCTGCAAAAAGACAGGCTAAAAAGTGACTTCCATGGGAAAATATGCCTCTTCCTCTCCCCCTTTTTCCTGACTTATTGTTTCTCCAGCAGGGCAATGTCCCAGGGACACTGCCAGACCAGTTTAAACTGGCTGCTTTGTCCCCGCTCAATCTCCCATCAGCCCTTGCTATTTTATAACCCTACCCTTATTTGTACTATAGTGCACTTTTAACATTGTACATATTGAGCACTCAGATCCAAGCTATCTGGGGATATGTTGGACATATAGGTTCAATATTGTATTATAAGATTTATGTATTTTTATGTGGTTTTTGTAACAGTTTTTGAGTTAGAGATATTTCCTGTACCTGGAGATAATTAAGTTACCCCAGCCACTTAAGCCAATTATCTTCAGGATAGAGTAGAATCTGACTTCAATAAAACTTTTGAACCCCTGCTCTGAGCTGGGTGATTTTTGGATATGTTGTTCAGGGCTATCCAGGGATGTAGGAGTTGTGGGGATATGTGCTGTTTTGGGGTGTTTTCTGTGTTTTCGGTAAAAAAAATTATGTTTTATGTCTGTGGTAATTGAGTTAGCCCATTGTCTTTGTTAGTTGTATCACAGTCAGAGGGAAGGGTTTGTGTACAGTATCTGAGAGTGTCTAACTGTACAATTCTGTGTTGATTGGCTTTTGTGACTTTGTGTTCTGTGCTCCACATGGGTGGTAACTTTGCGGGGAAAACTGTATATAAGAAATACCTTTGTGGTCATTAAACCAGTTCTACTTTACCCTTAACTCGCAGTGTCGACTCGTGTTTGGAGGGGACAGCTATAATCACTACAGGGATTGCTATGCTCTGACTACTCCCTTAGCTTCACTGAGCTCTTGTAGGAGCTTGTTCCTATTTCTGCTTCACGTTCAGAAGGAAGAGAGGTTCACCCACTGGAAAATGGAGCCTTGTCGTAGGTCCAGGGTGGGTAGGAGATGGCGAAGCCCCAACCAAGCAGTGGCGGTTCATGGGGTCTGCAGTGCTTATGGTGTCTGGTGCAGTACTGATGGTCCTTGGTGAGCACTAGGAGCATCCTTTCTACGGTCCAACCCTCAGCTAGCCTGGGGCAACAGTAACAGGCAGTATCGTCACATACCTCATATAGAGAAATTAAATTTTAGACCTGTGCCAATGAGTACAATTAATAAACACCTTAATAATCTAAAAATGAAAAACCAGTGTGGATCACATCAAGTCCCAGCAATGTCGCAGTACCTCAATGCGCCAGCAATTGCTAAACCTTTTACTACCCTAATCAATTAATCCATGGTGTCTGGACTGCATGTACATTTGCCACAGACTCCTGTAGAAGGGTGGACACCTACCTCCTGCCCACTTACTATAGGCATCATCTTAGAGTTACCCTGCCCAGCTGCCATTAGGAGCTTTCCCTAGGTGCCCCTGGTTCTGCACTTTCCCTTGATGAGAATGGAACCGAACGCTAGCTCTCTGGTGGCTGTTCGCATGAACCAAACCCATGAATAGTCCTCCGCCAGGAGAGTTCTTTTGGAGAGAAGGTACCTGAGACTAAGGGGAACAAACGCTACCCAAGAGCCAGACAGAACACCCCGTATTGCGACTGCAGGAGCTCCTAAAACTTGACTGGCAATGACGAAATGCCCTGGAACTATTTTATGCATAGGACCACGTATGTGGCTGAACAAAACTTTAACACAGTGGCGTTTCCCCTACACTGCATGGATCTGCGTTATATTTGGAGAACTTGGGCGTTCTTTTCAGGGCTATTTAAAGATGTATTATTTGTGGGGTTATTTTATGTTTTTATATTTTTGTGTTTGGCTCTCTGTTCCTGGGAGATAATTAGCTTACCGGTCTTTATTGCAATTATCTCCCAGGCCCAGAGATTCCTGTTAGGGGCTTGTGCTGAAAACAATGGAGACCCCCTGCTGGAGTCTGTGCATAACAGGTCAAGTTTGAATCATTACAATCAGTTATAGTCCCAGGACTGTTACTGGGAGGGGAAGGGCTATTCACTACTCTGCACCTTGTTCCAGCTTGTGGAGGATTCAGTGGGGAAAGTCCTTGTAAAGACTAGAGCTCCAACGACGGTGTGTCGTCCAATCCCTGGGAGGGAATAGAACTAGTCCCCTATCCTGTTCCAGGGTGGAGAAGCTCCAGAAGAATGGCAGTTTTCTTCTGTCCCAGCCTGGGGTACAAGGAGCTCCTACCTATCTATAAAAGTGGTGACAATACATTGGTCTCTACCTATCATCCGATATCATTTGTCCCCATATTGTAAAAAAAAAACTATGTGAGTATTACCAACATTTAAACTATCCAACCCCTGATCTATCAGACTTTCATCCAAATTACTCAAATACGACTGCCCTCTTAAAAGTTTGCAATGACATCCAAACTGGCATGGAACAATGAGACCTTGCATTAGGCAGATCATTTCTAAATAATGCAAATAGTATGGGGCCAGGTTTGGATCCTTGGGGAATATCTCACGATAAATTTGATCAAACCCAGTTTAGTGGTTAATGTCCAATTCATGAGATACTGCAATAAAATGTCATGGTCTACTGTGTCAAAGGCCTTGGTAAAATCAAGGAAAATAGCTCCTGTTAGGTCTCCTTGTTCCATGCCAGCTTGGATGTCATTGCAAACTTTTAAGAGGGCAGTCGTAGTTGAGTGATTTGGATGAAAGCCTGATTGATCAGGGGTTGGATTTCTGCAAAATCTCAACTTTATATAATTTCATACACTGTTTAGTTCCATAAATGTATATATGTTGTGACACTCTCTACTTACACAAGACAAGTCAAAATATCCCAACAAGAAAATATTTCATGGTGAATTAATTGTCAGAAGGAATTATTTGTTCTGCTCTTCTTGTAGGTATATATACCATGGTATGTCTTATTTATTTATAAAATATTTTACCATGAAGGATACATTGAGATGTCTCTGATTTTCTAGTATGTCCTAGGTCCAGAAACACTACATTGCTTGCTAAAAATAAATTTTTATCAGCCTGAAATTACCCATGATCCCCAATCTTTCAAAATACAAAATGGAAAAAGAAAAACGATTACAATAAATCATTATAAAAGTAGCTTCCTGTCATTTTTGGCATCACAAAAATAACTGATATTGCTTAGGCTATAGGCCAGGGCATAGTGTGGCTGTTTCTGAATGTATGCACAGCTCCTGCTGTTCTGGAGGCTCAAATGTAATTCAGGATTTATTTGTTTCCAAAATTTAGTTGAGAAGAACAATTGATTGGCCAACCTGATTTTTTTTCGGAGATCCAAAATGTATCAACCTGCACACGTCTGATATCAAACAACTTGTAAAATGCTGCAAATACCTGTGTGCCCCATATTTTTATAGTAACAATCTGTAACCTTAGTGTGAAATTCGTTTTACTCACCTGTAAATATCTGTATACACCCAGTATCTGAGCTATAGGAATAGTTGTAACTGAGTGGAGATCCCCAATAAAACCAGCCACTTTGTTATAATCCCTACAGGAATAATTAGGGACAGGCTTCCTTAGTCCAGATAGAATCTGAAAGACACTCTTCACAGCTTTCACTGGGTGAGCACAGGAATCAAAGAAATGGTATCCCAATGTGATATTTGGTGACCAACGTTTATTATTAATAATATATTCTAAATAATATAAGAACATGTGTAAGTCGAGATAACTAGAGAGGCCAGGTCTGTAAAATAAAAAATACTGTATTTGTTATTTGCAATATTAAAACCATACAAAACACACACATATAATACATTTCTAATTTCAGTGGAATGATCAATATTCTAGAAGTGTTAAGCATTTAAATTAGTGAAAGAGCCTGGATATGATGGAACAGCTGCACTAAATGATCAGACCAGGGAGAGATTTATAGACCAGGGAGAGATTTATAGATCAGGGAGAGATTTATAGACCAGGGAGAGATTTGTAGATCAGGGAGAGATTTATAGACCAGGGAGAGATTTGTAGACCAGAGAGAGATTTATAGACCAGAGAGAGATTTATAAACCAGGGAGAGATTTATAGACAAGGGAGAGATTTATAGACCAGGGAGAGATTTATAGACCAGAGAGAGATTTATAGACCAGGGAGAGATTTGTAGATCAGGGAGAGATTTATAGACCAGGGAGAGATTTGTAGATCAGGGAGAGATTTGTAGACCAGGGAGAGATTTATAGACCAGAGAGAGATTTATAGACCAGGGAGAGATTTGTAGACCAGGGAGAGATTTATAGACCAGGGAGAGATTTATAGACCAGATAGAGATTTATAGACCAGGGAGAGATTTATAGACCAGAGAGAGATTTATAGACCAGGGAGAGATTTGTAGATCAGGGAGAGATTTATAGACCAGAGAGAGATTTATAGACCAGGGAGAGATTTATAGACCAGAGAGAGATTTATAGACCAGGGAGAGATTTATAGACCAGAGAGAGATTTATAGACCAGGGAGAGATTTGTAGATCAGGGAGAGATTTATAGATCAGGGAGAGATTTGTAGATCAGGGAGAGATTTGTAGATCAGGGAGAGATTTATAGACCAGAGAGAGATTTGTAGATCAGGGAGAGATTTATAGACCAGAGAGAGATTTATAGACCAGGGAGAGATTTATAGACCAGAGAGAGATTTATAGACCAGGGAGAGATTTATAGACCAGGGAGAGATTTGTAGATCAGGGAGAGATTTATAGATCAGGGAGAGATTTATAGACCAGGGAGAGATTTATAGACCAGAGAGAGATTTATAGACCAGGGAGAGATTTGTAGATCAGGGAGAGATTTGTAGATCAGGGAGAGATTTATAGACCAGAGAGAGATTTGTAGATCAGGGAGAGATTTATAGACCAGAGAGAGATTTATAGACCAGGGAGAGATTTATAGACCAGAGAGAGATTTATAGACCAGGGAGAGATTTATAGACCAGGGAGAGATTTGTAGATCAGGGAGAGATTTATAGACCAGGTGGGTTTATCTGATAAAGATTTTATAGTTCACAGTGTTATCAGAAAAAAATCATGACAAAATGGCAAAACTGAATTATAGAATGGGAATGATCAAAATAGATTCTAATAAGAAAAACATGAAATGCACTCAGCAATAAGTCATAAAGAATATTATTTGCAAACAAACAAAAACTGAATCATACTCCAGCAGATATGGAGGTGAGAGATTTCCTAAGAAATATTCCCTCAAAGCAGGACCTGGCAATCATATTGGGAAAGTTGGAGGTATCATTTAAAAGCAAGCTGGATGCCATTGGCATCAACATTCGCCACATGGGAGATAGAGTGGGATCACTGGAAGGTGACAGGAACATTGTAGACAAACAGATACAGTCCCTCCAAGACACTGTGAAGGCACATACCTCCCATCTCACAGCTATCCATCGCTATATGAATGATTTAGATAATAGGGGGAGATGAAACAATCTCTGGATAAGAGGATTCACAGAAAAAGATCAAGCTTGAAGATCTATCAAACCCATCACAGAACAATTAAGGGTGAGAAACGTCAAATACAGGTGGGGATTTCCACTTCCGTTAAGCGCCACATATAAAGGCAACCTGCACAGCATATTTACAATTCAAGATGTGCCAATACAATTCAGCACTGCTTCAGACCGGAGGAAGAAAGGAAAACTCTCAAAACTTGTCTTTGAAATATTATGATAGTTCAATAAAAAAGGTATCATTGCCTGCAATACTCTGATATTTTGGCATTTTAATTAATAAATACATATAAAAAGGAAAACAATGTTTTAATACACTTAGAGCTATGTTGAAGGGTTGTATATAATAGTGTGCACCCCCTATACATACGGCTTTCCTATCTTTATAACAAAGAGAGATGACTAGCTAGTCCACGCAATGGACTATATCAGTTACCTCACATATCAGTGACGTCACTGATACATTATTACCCCAAAACTCTTTGCAAAAGACGGGGAAAGCGATAATCACCACATTAAATTTTAGACCCTTAGTGTCATTCTGGGCATAGTAAGGAAAGGGGAGAAAGTGTACCCACATCCAAACCTCATTATACAGATTTACCGCCACCACTGCTAAACTAACAATATTTACTTTCTATACACTGCTAAACGGACTTAACATTTATTTTACACATATGGGTTCTTGACCTATCTTGCGGTGCCCTCACCAGAGACAGACACAGAAGGTTTTTTTACACACCTAACCCTTGGTGCTAATCCATACAAAGTTTATATTAATCTCAATATTCGTTGACTGTATATAGTTCTTTTGTTCTGTTTGTATATCTTTCATTCCTGTGCTTTGTGAGGGGAGAAGAGCAGATGATTTCTCTTAACCCTAAAACTGGAGAGTGGCTATCCTACATATAATAACTCTGAATGTGAGGGTATTAAACTCTCTGGAACTACAAAAACCTCCAAGAAACTCACTTTAAAAAAAATGTGGCCCCAAACTTTAGAAATCGTAAATACCTTACTAGCTATTTTGGCCATTTTTCAGAGAAGAAAGCATGAGGGGTAGCCATCTTAATCTCTGCCCAGGTACCCTTAACAACCTTGCCCAGAAAACTGATGATTCAGGAAGAATCTTAATGGTCAAAGGCAACATGAGACACAATATTATCACCTTTGTGAACCTCTATCTACCAAACAAAGGCCAATGCAATGTCCATAAAAAGTATTTTTAATTGGTAGAACAATTTCCTGAGGGAATACTTATAATAGGGGAGATTGCAACCTCTCCTTAGACTCCGCCCTAGACACTACATCTTTAGCATCCCCTCACCAGAATCCAGTACGCACACAATTCTCCCACCTTTTACACCGCTCACAGCTCCATGACTGCTGGTGGATTAGCCATCTCACCACGAAAGACTACTCCTATTATTCTCCGGTGACACACACATATCCGAGGCTAGATATGTTCTTTCTCCCCCACAGGTTCCTTCATCTGGCTACCTCATGTTCTTATGACCCTATAACCTGGTCCAACCATGCGCTCCTGTCCCTTGTCATTCAGATTCCCTCCCTACCTATAAAACGACCTCTTGCTGAATGACCAGAGCATAATCTCACAACTTCAGAGCTCACTCCAAAATTACTTCAAGACAACACCTCACCCTCTGTCTCACCTCTGATAACCTGCGAAGCACACACATGTGTAATTAAGGGAGTAATCATAGCTATCACATCCAAACAGAAAAAAAATATGTGACGCCAGAATACAATCCCTTACAGATGACATTCTATAGCTTTAGAACTAGCTCATAAACACAAAGACTCTTTTGTAACTTACAAAATGCTGATCTCAAAAAGGTCTGAATTACAGCAACTCTTAAACTCACATACTATTACACAGGTGGAAAATGCGGATGCCTCCTGGCTTCATTCCTGAAACATAGCAGACAGACTACATTTGTACCCAAGATGAAACACCTGGATAAGGGGCTATCCCATGCCCTGCCAGACATTATGAAGGCTTTCCACCAATTCTATTCCAAACTATATAATCTGAGGGAATCGCCTCCATCTGCAACCGACATTGAATGCTTTCTGTCCACGAGGGTACAAAACAAGATGCCAATTGATATGTTGCAAAATCTTGACTGCCCATTGACGAAAGACACATTCACCGTAGTTGTAAAGCCGTCCAGGCCTGGACTTTTATTCATGGGCAATGAGCGTACAACTACGGTGAATGTGTCTTTCGTCGACAAAAGACACATTCACCGTAGTTGTAAAGCTGTCCAGGCCTGGACTTTTATTCATGGGTAATGAGCGTACAACTACGGTGAATGTGTCTTTCGTCGACAAAAGACACATTCACCGTAGTTGTACGCTCATTGCCCATGAATAAAAGTCCAGGCCTGGACGGCTTTACAGCCAAATATTACAAAGCATTCGTGGAAACACTGACAGATCCCTTTCTACATACTTTTAACTCCCTCACAGACAGCCAGTTACCGCCCAATTTCCTTAATTATCATAGACCTCAAGATTTTCACAAAAATACTTGCTTACTGTTTATACCCTCTTTTACACGACCTAATACACTCCGACCAATCAGGCTTTGTACCCAAACGGTAATCTAAGCATAATACTACCAGGTTGCTCAATATTAAATGTATACAAATCCTACTCTCACCCCAGCCTTCTGCTCTCAGTTGATGCTGAAAAAGCATTAGCCTGAGTAGAATGGTCCCTACTGAGAACCACCATGCAGACCATGGGATTCCACCCCAACTGGGCAAACTGGCTTAACGCTATATATTTCCACCCCACAGCCAAACTTAAAATGAATGGACAACTGCGGAACTCAATACAATAATGCACAACCTAAAAATATAAAGCAAAGGGAGACCGCAATAGTGTAGATAAAAACTAATAATAAAATATAAAAAAAGGAATAATAAAATATAAAAAAGACTAAAATTCACTCACAAACATAAGGAAAAAATAAACAAACAAATAAAGTTATCCTTTTATTCATACAGCTATACACTATGTTTTGTTTCTGTGCGTTGTCCTAAGCCTCCATTCTGGAATAGGAGAAGAAAAGAAGCACTTGAAAAGATTTTGCATACCCCGTCTATCTATCCTTATGTTTGTGAGTGAATTTTAGTCTTTTTTTATATTTTATTATTAGTTTGTATCTACACTATTGCGGTGTCCCTTTGTTTTATATTTTTAGGTTGTGCATTTTTTATTGTTCTATATTTATGTTTAAGAAGACACTGAGGAGTCTTCGCACTTCCTATTCAAATGGGGTAATTTATATTAATTTTATTTCCCCCTTTTTATAGCCACAAGGGTTTTTTTGCACTTGGTGCAAAGTTTTTTGCTTATATCTTTTATAAGATGCATCTGATTTGTCCGATTTAAATGCTTTAAATGCCATTTTCTTATTTTTAATCTCTTGTTTTACTTCTCTACTAAGGCACATTGGTTTTAATTTGTTTCTTTTATATTTATTTCCCAATGGTACATACTGAGATATGTACCTTTGTAATATTTGTTGGAAGATGATCCATTTATCCTCAGTGTTCTTTTCACTAAAGAGTTTATGCCAGTCAATATATTGTAAAGCTTCCCTTAACTTATTGAAATTGGCCTTTTTAAAATTATATGTTTTAGTATTCCCCATGTGCTTTTGATTTTTTGAGTTTATTTCAAAGGACACTATATTGTGATCACTATTTCCCAAGTGCTCACCTACTTGGATGTTGGTCAAAAGATCAACGTTGTTTGTTAAAACCATGTCCAGACAAGCATCCATTCTAGTTGGTGCTTGTACAAGTTGTGACATGAAGGTGTCATTTAACAAGTTTAAAAACCTAATTCCCTTTGCTGAGGCACTAGTCCCTCTGTCCCAATTTATATCCGGGTAATTAAAATCTCCAATAATTAAAGTGTTACCCAGATTTGCAGCTTTCTCAATTTGCTCAAACAGCTGTTGTTCCTCGTCAATATTAACATTAGGTGGTTTATAACATATCCCAACCAATAGTTGGTTTCCCTTCTTTTCCCCAAGCAGATATTTACCCATAAAGCTTCCACATTATCCTCCTCGCATTCCATTTGCTTTACATTTGGCTTTAACCCCTTAAGTACACATGACATGTGTGACATGTCATGATTTCCTTTTATTCCAGAAGTTTGGTCCTTAAGGGGTTAAATCATGGTTGACATACAAACATACCCCACCACCCTTCTTGTTTTTCCTATCCTTCCTAACTAACGTGTACCCATTTAAGTTAACTGCCCAGTCATGTGTCTCATCCCACCATGTTTCAGTTATGCCTATTATATCATATTGTTTAGTGTATGCTAATGCCTCTAGTTCCCCCATGTTGTTATTTAGGCTCCTTGCATTAGTAAGCATACATTTAATATCATGCGTCACTTGTATATTTTGTGAATTATCAACATTACATAGCTTCTCTGTTCTGAGCTTGCTCCCCCGTATCCACCCCCTTATACTGTGCTAAAGCCCATATCCTTTCTGTCCTATCTCCATTTTGTAGATTGCTATGACCCTCCCCCCCTACTACTAGTTTAAAATCTCCTACAACCTTCTAGCCATCCTATCCCCCAGCACTGCAGACCCTCTCCCGTTTAGGTGCAATCCATCACTACTATAAAGGTTGTACCTAATCGCAAAGTCGGCCCAGTGTTCTAAAAACCCAAAACCCTCCTTCCTGCACCAAGACTTAAGTCACGCCTTGACCTCTCTAATCCCACTACCTTTCCACTGTAGCACATGGCACAGGTAATATCTCAGAGAATACCACCTTGGAGGTCCTTTTCTTAAGTTTGCTACCTAATTCCCTGAAATCATTCTTTATGACCTTCCATCTTCCTCTTACTTTGTCATTGGTACCAATATGGACCATGACTGCTGGGTCATCCCCAGCTCCTCCCAATAATCCATCCACTCATCCAACATGTCGGACCCGAGCACCCGGGAGACAGCAAACTGTCCGGTTGAGCCGCTCAGAGCATCATATTGCCCTATCTGCTCTCCTAATGATAGAGTCACCTACCACCACAACCTGTCTTGCCTTCCTTACATTATGATCCCCACCCGTACTAGGGGGGCTGTTAGCTCGGCTGTTAGAAGTAACAGCTTCCTCTAATACAGCTACTCCTGAGCTGATGTTCCCAACATCTTCCCTCAAACGGGCAAATCTGCTAGGTTGCACCAAATCAGGACTAGCTAGCCCTTTCCTCCTCCCTCCCCCCTGCTTCCTCACCCCACTGGCTACATGCCTGTTTCCCATCTGTCTTATCTCCTCCCTCTCCACTACCTGTCCCCACTAAACTCTGCTCAGTGAGCAGCAGACTCCTCTCAAGATTGTCAATCTCCCTCAAAGTTGCAATTTGCTTCTCGAGATCTCCAATCTGAGCTTCCAGAGAAGCCACTCGCACACAACCATCACAGAGGTATGGACCCTGGACGGGTACATCCAGGCATCTATACATGCAACAAGATGTGCATTAAGTCAAACCAGCAATCTTGCTAACACTCATTTCCCCAGATAGAGAACAATAAAACAATTACCTTGATAGTTTAAACCCCTTGTTTGTTTCAACTCCTGGTTTTCTAACTCCTACTTGAAAGAGTCTACTTAGTAGAGTCTTCTTTCAAGTAATGTGAGCAAGCTCAGTATAGCAATCAAACAAGGTGGGACTGAGGCAGAGCTGGAGGAGAGAGTAGAGTACGACTCTTTAGGAGAGAGCAAGAGACAGGTATGTGAGGTGGAGGTTACTCTTGGAGGCCATAAACATTCTTGAAGGCCATAGATGGGTTTAAGGTGCCTTTTAAAACAATTTAAGACTAGAACAGATTCTGATGGCGGTAATCAGGCTATTCCAAAGAAAGTAAGTTGCCCGTGAAAAATCCTGCAGGCGTGAGTTGGCCAAACGGGTGCAAGCAGCAGACAGGAGAAGGTCATGGGCAGAGCAGAGAGACCGAGAAGGGGCATACTTGTGGATCAGTGAAGAGATATAGGAGGGGCTAAAATCTATATTGTAAAGCGCGGCAGAATTTGTTGGCACTATATAAATAAGAATAATAAATAAAAAATAAATAAGCTGTCAAAGCTACAATATGTTTTTAGGACCATTCCAATCACTATCCCAAATTATTTAAAGAGTCCATTTAGGCAAATAATCACCCTAGGGTTTCTCACAATCTATTTAGCAGGTTGATTGGACAGAGGGTTTTCAGCTGACCAGACAACTCCTTGTACCACTTAGCAACTTAGCAACTAAGTGTTGGAATTCCCCTACACACTCCAGGACAGCAACCACAATGAGTAAGCATTATTATTATTTATAAAGCGCCAACAAATTCTACAGCACTGTACAATGGATGGACTATTTGTAAGGAGATGCGTTGGACCAACAGGAACAGAGTGATTGAGGGCCCTGCTCAATAAGCCTACATGCTAGAGGGGGTGGGCAGAGCGTAGGGGCCTATATGGGAAATATTTGTGTATTAGTGAGGATAGGTAGGTCAGAGCAGCTTTGTGTAGAGATTTGTAAGCAAGTACCCAGGATCTTAAATCAAATATTTGATTAATACAGTTTTCTTTTCCAAAGCCGTTTTTCACACGTATGCTTAATTGCACAATATTGGAAATTAACTAAAATACCTCCAATAGATAAAGTCAAAGCCATGGTGTCAAGAAAAAAGCTATTTGAAATACACAGACCAAGATATTACTCATTTATGGAGTAAATGGGCTGCGTAGTGGAGAGACCCTCTTGTCAGTGATTATTGTTCATAGTCTTGTAATCATTTAGAACTACAATTGCTGCTAGTAATATAGATGATATAGGATAACAGAATATAGCAGAACAAGGTTTTCAAAATGCTGTAGGATGATCAAATTTTCATTTTGCTTTTTATTATTTTTTTTGTTTCTTCAAAACAAAATCTGTAATTCATATTATTGTTGGGATGCTATGTTTGCTCAGATAACCATGTTGGTGACATAATAATAATAACAAAGTATTTAACCAGGAAAAGTAGATCCAGATTACTCTGGTTTTGAAGTACGTCCTGGGGATGTTACCTTAGCCAACATCCGGGGTAGTTACTATTACCCAATTTAATGGTACTCATTTTATCTACCTCGGAAGGATGAAGGGCTGAGTCAACCCTGAAAATTACTTTAGTATTTTCCTGTAAATATTTGACACACTGGATAATAAAAAATATCAAATTGAAAAAAATCTAATATTACTAAAAGTAATCAGGATTGTTCAGAATTCAGGACCTGGTTTCAGAGTCTCGGTGTCAGGGAGTTTAATGATTAACCAGAATGGAGAATTATTACATCTCTGTACAGCATGTAATAAATGGATATATTATGCTCAGCCAAACACTAACATCACATATCATTTAATGGTACTGTTATTATAGTGAGTGTTACTTTTTACTTACAGTACACAAACTGTCAAATCAAATGAGTCAGCTGAAAATGGTAAGATGAGTGCATGTCTGTTCACAGTGAATATTCCTCCAATTATAATGTCACCATCTTTAAAGTACTCATAGTCTTCATATGGTTCAGTTATACGGAGATTGCATGCAGGGAACGAAGCCTGGTTCTTGATTTGTGAAGGCATCATACAGAATAATAACACACAGAATAGCAATCTGATTGAATGGGATGCTGCTCCATTTCCCAGCTTTATGTCTCTGTATGGTAACATATATCCCTGCATGGTGCCCAGCATCAGACAGCTGTGGGAGTCACAGCCATAATTTATCACGGGGGTCAGTGAAATCTGCTGCATGTGTTTCTCAATGTAAGGAAACAGGATCATCTCCCCTCATTTTATACAGTGCAGAGCTTCCAGATATAATGGCATGTGTCTTGGGATCATTATTCTGTCCTATCCCTTGATAAATCACATACACAGTGGGTCAGCTATTTTCTGCCTTGTTTTGGATTCAGATATTAGAAATGCTATATTTTTCAGAGAATCTATGTATAAGTTGCAAGAAAAGTTATTTGACCTTTTGTAATCCTTTGCTTTATGGATATGCCTAGGAAAGTTATTCTTGATGTTGGAAGTCCCCATGGTGATCACCAAACATCCACTGCCATGTGCTTGAAGATCAATTTATGGCACAGACTCACACACAGTTCAAAAAATGTCCAAAGTATAATAAGCGGAACACAGCTTATAAGGCACAAATTCTTCTAAGTCTGTTCCCTTTATTGCCAATCAAATATTGACAACCATTACTTATTGTATATAAAGGCTTGTGCAAGCAGCATAGTAAAGGCATGCTACCACTTAATGATAATAAACGTATCTAGGGGGGCATGTGCTAAATGAAATTTAAATTTAACTCCTGATTCAGCTTAACATTATTTAATAGAACGCAGAGATAAAGCTATGTAACCTAATCTCAATAAATGGGATAGGAACATAGAGGTCAGTGTGGTGGTACCAGATCCACCAGGTGGGCTTGAACCCAAGATAACGATACGTCTAAGCAAAAAATCGAAGAAAAAGGAACGCTAAACACCCAGTGCATGCATAAGTCTAGAAGTGCTCCATAAATTGAGAACTAAAAATGGACCTGACATGCATTTCGGTGCATGTTGCTGCACGTTCGTCAGGAGATAACATTACCTCTGTGTGGATCGGGTATTTATGTGGATGAGAACCAACACTTATTATTGTGGACATTTGTAGTACTGCCTGATTAGATCGATCTCTAAGTTAGTTATAAACAGCAGTAATTTTTAATATTTTTCTATTTCCTAAATACCAGTACTGAGTCCCCCCTCGATTGTGGTGTATTCATTTTTTGTTTAGACATATTAACATTTTTTAATCCTTTCAATCCCTGCTTTTATTCTGAATAAATACACATGACAAGAACAATAATGCCACTTTTAAGTTCAGCTGCATCTGCCCAGTACTTCTGGGGCCAGAGAAACCCACAACCCTCCTTAGAGATGTGGGAAACCTGGTGGCATACTATGACCATACCGACCTCTAACCCTAGAGAGCTTTCTGTAACTCAAATTATGATCACACCTTTGGTTGCCATCCAAAAATAAGTGGTACTGAAGCGAGTGGATGGGCTAGAAGAGCAAGATTTAGCAGATAAAAACGTATCAAGACTAATGGTCACTTGGCTGGCTTTCAGGGGCCCTCTTGATCCAGCTATGTGAATTCATGATGGACTTAAACATAGAAACATAGAAACATAAAATGTGATGGCAGAACCATTTGGCCCATCTAGTGTGCCCAATTTTCTAAATATTTTCATTAGTCCCTGGCCTTATCTTATAGCTAGGATAGCCTTATGCCTATCCCACACATGCTTAAACTCCTTCACTGTGTTAAATTCTACTACTTCAGCTGGAAGGCTATTCCATGCATCCACTACCCTCTCAGTAAAGTAATACTTCCTGATATTATTTTTAAACCTTTGTCACTCTAATTTAAGACTATGTCCTCTTGTTGTGGTAATTTTTCTTCTTTTAAATATAGTCTCCTCCTGTACTGTGTTGATTCCCTTTGTGTATTTAAATGTTTCTATGATAACTCCCCTGTCTCTTCTTTCCTAAAAGATATACATGTTAGGATCCTTTGACCTTTTTTGTAAGTTTTATCCCGCAGTCCATGAACCAGTTTAGTAGCCCTTCTCTGAACTCTCTCTAAGGTATCAATATCTTTCTGGAGATACGGTCTCCAGTACTGAGTACAATACTCCAAGTGAGGTCTCACCAGTGTTCTGTACAATGGCATGAGCACTTCCCTCTTTCTACTGCTAATACCTCTCCCTCTACAACCAAGCATTCTGCTAGCATTTCCTGCTTCTCTATTACATTGTCTGCCTACTTTTATACCTACTATTACATTGTCTGCCTACCTTTATGTCATCTGAATCCTTTTCCTCAGATGTTGAGGTTAGGACTCCATCAAATATTCTGTACTCTGCCCTTGGGTTTTTATGTCCAAGATGCATTATCTTGCACTTATCCACATTAATTGTCATTTGCCACAATTCTGACCATTTTTCTAGTTTACCTTGATCATTTGCCATTTGGCTTATACCTGCTGGAGCATCAACCCTGTTATATATTTTAGTATCATAAGCAAAAAGACATACCTTGCCATCAAGACCTTCTGCAATATCACTAATAAAAATATTAAAGAGAATGGGTCCAAATACAGATTCCTGAAGTGACCCACTGGTAACAAGAACATGCTTTGAATATACTCCATTGACTACAACCCTCTGTTGCCCTTCATTCAGCCACTGCCTTACCCATTCAACAATATTGGGATCCAAATATAAGGATTGCAGTTTATTGATAATCCTTCTATGTGCAACAGTGTCAAAAGCCTTACTGAAATCTAGGTAAGCAATGTCTGCTGCACCACCCTGATCTATTATTTTAGTTATCCAGTCAAAAAAAAAATCAATAAGATTAGTTTGGCATGATCTCCCTGAAGTAAACCCATGTTGTCTCTGATCTTGAAATCCATGTGATTCTAGATGTTCTACAATCCTGTCCTTTAACATGGTTTCCATTACTTTCCCCACTACTGAAGTAAGACTTACTGGCCTATAGTTGCCCGACTCCTCCCTACTACCTTTCTTGTGAATGGACACAACTTTCGCTAAATTTCAATCTTCTGGGACTACTCCTGTTAACAATGATTGGTTAAATAAATCTGTTAATGGTTTTGCTAGTACACCAGTAAGCTCTTTTAATAGCTTTGGGTGTATTCCATCAGGTCCCATTGACTTATTTGTCTTTACTTTTGACAGTTGAAATAGAACATCATCCTCTGCAAACTCACATATAAAACATGACTCATTTGTCCTTTTTCCTAACTGAGGCCCCTTTCCATTTTCATCTGTAAATACTGATTGGTTTTAATCTAACTAGTCCTTCTTTTACTTTCCTTTTCGCATTTATTTAGCTAAAAAATGATTTGTCCCCTTATTTGCTGACTGTGCTATTTTCTCTTCTGTGTGTGATTTGGAAGCTCTTATAACTTGCTTAGCCTCTTTCTGTCTAATCTGTCTATCTTCCTCACTCTAACTTTTAGTTTTTTCATCTGTGGAGTACCACAGTGGTTTCTTAAGTTTTTTTTGCTTTTACTTACAAGCCTAATGCAATTTTATTTTGCCTTCAGCAGTGCAACTTTTAAATAATCCCATTGCTCCAATCTGATAATGACTCCTTTACACATATTCTAATTTTAGAAAAGTCTATTTCTCTAAAGTCAAAAACTTTTGTTTTTGTGTGGTGTGACCCAGTCATTGTTCTTAAATTAAACTTTTAATAAAATTTTATGACTAAATTAGTATTATGATCAAACAGGGATTTGTCCAATAGTTCACTAAGGAGCCGAAATATTGGACCGTCTATTGGTAGCCTAGTCGTGCTAGGAGGGACTGTGACCTTGAAAATACCTTTGAGGATTTTCTTAATGGGGTAGGAAGAAAGAAAAGGAGCGTGGTTAGGGAAGTTATTGAGGATGTGGTGTTGTACTCCGGTAAGGTAGAGTTTGATGGTATTATGTGAAAGTTTTAGGTGTAAATGGCAAAAGGAGGCAAGAGCCACCATGGTTTTGATGGAAAGGTCACCTTGTAAGAAAAACACGGCTGTAAATTTGTTAAAGATAGTCAGTGCCCTAGGGTAAGAGATAGTAGTGTTGGGAGACAGTGCGTGGTGCGTGAGTGTTTGTGTGTGGAGTAATAGTTTACTTAAACCAGGGTTAGCCGGTGGAACGATGGTGTCCTGGCTGATTGGAGGTGGGCTGGAGGGGGAGCCTGGCTGGAAACCTGAAATTCAAGAGCATGAAAGAGTGGTAGCTGCTGAGTAGAGGAGGTGTAGTAATTGAGGTGTAAGATATATGTTCTTGCTTAACCATGTATCCCTACATGCTGGAATAGAAGATTGTAGGCAAATTACAACAAAATTATACATTGGGTATGAGAGAAACTACTACAGGATCTGGAGGGAAAGGAAAAAAGATAGGAAATGTCAATAACAACTTTTATTACTTGGAGTGCAAGTAAGTAGCCCCCTGTGATGGGTTAGGTTGCGAATGGGATGGGACATGGTCTGGATGTGGTGTCGTCGAATGATTTGAGGACAACCGGTGGACCACCATTCATGATGCCGTAAATGCGTGTAGCACCTAATGTAGGTCAAGTGATTTTAAGAGTGAGGGGAAGGTCTTGAGACCCATGTGAGCCTTTGGGTATGACCCTGGACCAGCTAACTCTGTGGCGCCCAGCTGATGGGGTGGTGCATGATTAACCAGCTTATTTGTTAGGTGTCAGACGGGTATGGCACAAGGTCTTGGTGTGGGCTCTGAAGCATATGGAGCAGATGTGCAACAACCTGCATGCGCTGTAGCTGCATGCGCCTGTGTTAAAGTTATTGCACACCTGCGCCTTACCCAAGAATGTGATGGATCTGCCCAGCTTGTCTCTCTGGACACCTTCCTGTCTTGGGAGTGAAGTGAAGGAGTGTTGGGGTGAGATGGTGGAAGTGGAAGGGTCCCCAGGGCATAGGTCGGTGGAGTGTGAAGTGGAACCACAAGAGGCACAAGACGGGGGCCTCAAACCAGCAAAATGACGGCAGAATAACTCTGTATCTATCTGACACCAATCGATTCTAATATTGAATTGCGTCAGATGAGTAGCTGCCTTGGCCGAAACTGATTTGTGGTAATCGTAAAATGAGGACCCTCCGTACTTGATGCCCAAATCAACCACCTTGTGCATATATAAATCAAGCTCTTCTCTCCTATATGGGTACACCGTGCAGATAACATCGCGATAAGTGCCAAACGCAATGACAAACTGTGGAATGGTGAGTTTTTTTATTTAAACGTGGATCTCTGGCTCTTAAGACAACCGAAATGTCCCCGTAGTTACATGCTCTATTTTCTAGGACGTCTTGGGAGGCTATGAGGAGGGAGATTAAATTGATGTCCTTTCCATCAAGAATATCTTTCTTGATGGAAGCTGGGACAGAGTGGGCTGGTGAGGCATGGGCAGTGGTAGTGGTAGTGGTTGGTGGGGGAGGGGGAGGGGGAGGGGAGATGAGGGGTATGACAGTCTGAGCGGTCGAGGTTACCGGAGTAGGGACTGCTGGGGCTGAGAAGTCACCTGGAGTGGCTATGGCCGATTCCACCTTCAGCAGCCTGCTGTTTATGGCTTGCAGATTGGCCAGTAGTGTCCTGGGTGCAATCAGAGTAGCCAACTGGAGGCCCTTGAGAACTCGTGCCGGGCCTTGGGTCGTTGGCCTGAGCTGTCAGAAGTTTATAAAGTTCAGCCTTTCTAGCTGTGGCTGGAAAGGGGATCCCCCTGAGCCTGAGCTCAGCCGATATTTTGGGTATGGTCCAATATCTTAGGGATATGGGAGTAGAAGGAGTGAGGGATTCCTCCGGAGACCCAAAGTACCTCGTCTGATGGGGGATCAATAGTCGGTTCTTGAGACATTCTGAAAGGAATGATGATATGGATAAGTAGGGTATAGTGGAGGTGGGATGAGACCTCAGGGAAACTGGCCTGCTAGCTAATGCCGAAGCGAAAAATTATAACTAGAACCAAGTGACAGGTGAGGCCCTGCTATTGCCAAGTGGTGGTGAGAGGCTCTACCTATAATTTGGGCCGAGGGGGTTTTGTGGCCACCAGAATGAGGTGGCAGGATGCCGGCCTCTTGATGACTGTAAGAGATTCAAAACGTGTGGCCGTGACATGGGAAGCCCTAACTGTAGCCCTAAAGAAGAGCGAGCGAGGTGGCTAGATATGATTTGGTCGTGGGGCTGAACCTCCGTGTATGAGGTAGGGGTGCAGACCTCACGGACCGCTTTATTATTAGGGGAAGCTAAGGCTAGCGCCTGTCCCTGAAAGCCAGTTCTCTACCCTGATGGGGGCTTGTCTCTTGAAGGAAGCATATAACGTATGTAGATACTGACCTTGAGTGTTTGTCCTGTATATTTAGACAATGCTCAGTGCGACTTCAATATATATGTCTATATATTCTGTGAAGGACAGGTCCAGTCCAGGAACCATTGGTAAGCCAAGTGTAAAAATATAAAATGTATGGAATGTTGTGTAACAGGAAAACTGTATCGTAAGCACCAGTGTAATCAGAGGGACCTGAACGTTGGTCCAAATTTTTGAGACAAGCCCCTGGGTTCCCACAAATGAGCAATATTTGTGACAGATATGAAGGCAAAGTGAGGACTTAGAAGGACGTAATTGTAGTGAGTAAGATTTAAGGATACCTGATACTGAACGTCGGGTAGCCTGATGGTCGTTGAAGGCGTAGTGAATCTGCAAAATGGTGCAGGTTTAAGTAATGATATGTAGAAATTAAAACAGAATGAACACTTAATATAATAGTAACATGGAGAGTGAGGCCTCTTTAAACCTGGTGTGTTTAAAGTTTGAACCTACTTTGGTGAGGTGGGATGGCATTGTAAAAAAGGCCGTGGAGGCTGAAATGAGGCCTCAGGAGAAACGTAAAAAGTTAACCATTTTTACCTGATACCGTGAAACAGGATACTGGAACCAACTCCTGGAGTTTTCTTAAATAAGAGTAGTACAACCTAAAACATGTTCATTTAGTAAGAATAAGAAACCTGAGTATAGTGTTTCAATAAAATAAAAAAAAGGGATTTAAAAATAAGAGCTACTGAGCGTTGTATTACTGAGCTTATCACTGCTATTGTGGCAGAATAAGCCGATATGTTCACTTATGCATCCAAAAATAAAAAATTAAAAAAAAAAAAAAAAAAGGGGGCGGGGCCCGACCGCCATGCTGACCGGTCGCAGGCTGGAGAGGCTCCTGCAGGATCTGGCCTAATCTGGAGGAAAAACCCAAGCTTAAAGCCTGATTCAGAGCCAAGAGACCACCTCTCATGTCCGGGTGGTTGCCGGTGCCACTGTGGTCCCCGAGATCGGGAGTTTTGCAGCCCCAGGGGGAGATGCGAGACTTCGGGGTCTGCGGCCTATGTGGGTTGAGAGCGGGGCGGACGGCCGCCGTCCTGCTTTGGAACCTGGCTGACGCGCAATAGCCCAATGATGTGTATCACGGGCCCCCATGGACCGGGGGGGATATCCCGGTCCTCACTGGAGGGAACCACCGCCTAAGTGACCCACCGAGCACACCTAGCACCCCACATGCTATGCCTGGGCGCCAAAATGGCGGCGACGCGACTGAAGCTGAGAACAGCATCTTCACCCACCTAAAAACAGCTTTGCCCACAAGCAGCATACATGGGCCACAGAGCCCGAACCTGCAGATAAGCATTGGACCCTCTACAAAGCCCCTGCTTACCCACTCAAGGATCAAGCCTGGTTCCACGGCTGGGCGGGGAGTGGGGAGCCCCCAAAGTTGAAACCTCGAGAGCCCGACCAGAAGCAGACACCAAGCGTCAGGGGGATGGAGGAGCAGACAACCACCAACAAATGCAGCAGATCTGCCAATCAATACACCCCAGAGGTCCCAGGCCACAAGACCAGATGAACAGGGCGACATAAACGGCAAAGCTCCAGTGGACTTTTCCAACACGTATGGGTCACCCGATTGACAGTATGCTTTAGGCTCTGTGGATACCAACTCTCTGCATAAAGCATATAGTCTAGGCATAGTTCCTTCCATCTTGACACACTCAGGATTCTGCTTACACTTACTATGACTAGCCCAACCAGTATCTGCCCACTCAACATGCATAGAATTAAGCTAGAACTAAGCGCAGTAACACGAATGCAGACAAGTAATTTTATTAAGCGTGTTTAGTCAGTCAGGCAGGCCTAAATGTTTGTTCTCACTTTGCTTCCTTCTCCTAACAAACGTGCACCGCTTGCTTAACAGTTACGTGAACCTCACACGCAGCGATACTCATGTTCGGGTTAATGTATATTGCTTGCCTTACTCACTTGTGAACTGTAATACTTGACATATGTCCTGCTTTCCGCTACCTGCTACCACTCAATAGCTATATATTTAAAAAAAAAAATTGCATTTCTCAACTGCCATAATTGTGAAGCGTTGTATTACTGAGCTTATCACTGCTATTGTGGCAGAATAAGCCGATATGTTCACTTATGCATCCAAAAATAAAGAATTTAAAAAAAAAAATAAGAGCTACTGAAATAAATGAGCGTGGAGCTTGATAAATTTAAGAGGTTTGATGTGGCTCAGCCTATTGAGAGAGGAGAAAACAAAACCGTAAAGGGGTTAACTGTTTCTTTAAGAGAATATCCCTGGGAATATATGCATAATTAGGACAATGAGTGGCGAATAGTACCACTTAGATTTAGGGAAAGCGTAACGCTAGTAACAAAGCCGTTCGTACCTGTTTCGGTTAAACGAAAGTGAGAAACAGGCGAACGTAAGGTGAGTATAAGCGTTCGGTAAATTATTTTTAACGAAAGAAGAACAAAAGCGCGTATACTCTACGGTCGGCTAAAAAGCCGTACAAACGCATAAGTACACGAACGGTGGAATTACACAAATGGGTAAGTAATATATATATATATATATATATATATATATATATATATATATATGGAGCCTATCCACGCGTTTTTAGGCCAGAACGTGGGAAATAGCCAAACACTATTTCCCACGTTGATGCTTACGTATGCATGCCGGTCTCGTGACCGGAAGCCAGATAGCCAGGTAACGAGTAGGGAATACCACGGGGCAGCCAGTGGACGAGCCCAGAAATCAGTGGCAAGAGCTGCTGAAGACTGACTGATTGTTCGAGGCAAGACTGGCGGGAACAACGAACCGGAAGTGCAGGTAACTGTGGAAACAAAACAGCTTGAACGGCAAAGGTAAGTAGGGGGTTAGGGTTTATGTAGGGTCAAACCTCCTCCCACAAATTCAGGCCAAATGGCCTTCCAACATATATAAACAGGTAATAAAGATGAGAGCACTCAATGGATTTTCAACTAAAATACATGTATTAAATGTTGTCAATAAGGATCTCATCTTTATTATCTGTTTACATGTTCAGTGCAGAACAGCACCTTGGTGTAAGTTTTTTTCATTACTTTATAGGTAGAGTGCCAGACTCATTGCTTCTTTGTTTATATATATATACACTGTATCTCACAAAAGTGAGTACACCCCTCACATTTTTGTAAATATGTTATTATATCTTTTCAAGTGTACAGCCTGTATAACAGGGTAAATTTGCTGTCCCCTCAAAATAACTCAACACACAGCCATTAATGTCTAAACCGTTGGCAACAAAATTGAGTAAACGCCTAAGTGAAAAAGATATAATAAAATGAAAAGATATAATATAATATTTACAAATAATGTGAGGAGTGTACTCACTTTTGTGAGATACTGTATATTTAAATGCTAGAACAACTACAGCTTATTGAATTTGTTTTGGTGAGTAGAATCATTACCTTCTGGCTTTTTGCTGGAAACACTGTCTTTTCAGAGAAAATGCAGTGTTTACATTACAGCCTAGTGATTACTTCACTGGCCACTCATCAGATGGCTGTTAGAGATCCTTCCTGGGTCATGGCTGCCTAAAATGCATCCAAACATTCAGTGTCTCCTCCCTCTGCATGCAGACACTGAACTTTCCTCATAGAGATTCAATTCATCTCTATGAGGAGATGCTGATTGGCCAGGGCTGTGTTTTTGAATTGTGATGGCTCTGCCCCAATCTGCCTCTTTGTCAGCCTCAGCCAATCCTATGGGAAAGCATTATGATTGTATCAGGCCACCACTTCTGATGATGTCAGAGGTCAGAGAAAGTTCACAGGCAGAAGCAGAAACTTCAGTCTTGAATGCAAGTAAGATTTTACCATCTTTAGGAAGGCAAAGGGGGTCAAGGGGGCTAGATAGTGCTTTTAACACTATAGGGTCAGGAATACATGTTTATAGCTCCTTTAAATAGGGATACAAATTATTAAAATTGGCGCAAAAACTAAGGACAGCCAATTACAATATACATAGTGAAATAAAACTTAAAATAAGTTAAAACATATATAGGTAGTAAACAGAGTAATTGTAATACTTGGGTATTTAATTCCGTGTAAAAATGAGGTGTCTATCACAAAATATAAGTGATTTATTGCAATCACGTGACAGTTATCGGCAAAATTGCCGCTATTCCCTCTTGGGAAATATAGTTTTTCGTGGGTGGCACGCTTATTGTGTTCTCCAATGTATTGTAAGCACATGCTGGCTCGAGTCCTGGCATGAGTACGCCAGAGAGGTCCTGGTGTCTATTAACAAATGGCGGTGGTCGCTAAGCCTCTGAGTGTGGACCATACCCCAGACCATACCCCAGACGGAAGAAATTCACAACATATCCTATAAGCAGGGATTATACCGCTGTACGCTCTTCATACTAGAGCTAGCTATAGCTCTACAAAATGTGAGTTTATTTCCATTAGTTTCATCTACATATACAGGGAGTGCAGAATTATTAGGCAAGTTGTATTTTTGAGGATTAATTTTATTATTGAACAACAACCATGTTCTCAATGAACCCAAAAAACTCATTAATATCAAAGCTGAATATTTTTGGAAGTAGTTTTTAGTTTGTTTTTAGTTTTAGCTATGTTAGGGGGATATCTGTGTGTGCAGGTGACTATTACTGTGCATAATTATTAGGCAACTTAACAAAAAACAAATATATACCCATTTCAATTATTTATTATTACCAGTGAAACCAATATAACATCTCAACATTCACAAATATGCATTTCTGACATTTAAAAACAAAACAAAAACAAATCAGTGACCAATATAGCCACCTTTCTTTGCAAGGACACTCAAAAGCCTGCCATCCATGGATTCTGTCAGTGTTTTGATCTGTTCACCATCAACATTGCGTGCAGCAGCAACCACAGCCTCCCAGACACTGTTCAGAGAGGTGTACTGTTTTCCCTCCTTGTAAATCTCACATTTGATGATGGACCACAGGTTCTCAATGGGGTTCAGATCAGGTGAACAAGGAGGCCATGTCATTAGATTTTCTTCTTTTATACCCTTTCTTGCCAGCCACGCTGTGGAGTACTTGGACGCGTGTGATGGAGCATTGTCCTGCATGAAAATCATGTTTTCTTGAAGGATGCAGACTTCTTCCTGTACCACTGCTTGAAGAAGGTGTCTTCCAGGAACTGGCAGTGGGACTGGGAGTTGAGCTTGACTCCATCCTCAACCCGAAAAGGCCCCACAAGCTCATCTTTGATGATACCAGCCCAAACCAGTACTCCACCTTCACCTTGCTGGCGTCTGAGTCGGACTGGAGCTCTCTGCCCTTTACCAATCCAGCTACGGGCCCATCCATCTGGCCCATCAAGACTCACTCTCATTTCATCAGTCCATAAAACCTTAGAAAAATCAGTCTTGAGATATTTCTTGGCCCAGTCTTGGCGTTTCAGCTTGTGTGTCTTGTTCAGTGGTGGTCGTCTTTCAGCCTTTCTTACCTTGGCCATGTCTCGGAGTATTGCACACCTTGTGCTTTTGGGCACTCCAGTGATGTTGCAGCTCTGAAATATATATGGCCAAACTGGTGGCAAGTGGCATCGTGGCAGCTGCACGCTTGACTTTTCTCAGTTCATGGGCAGTTATTTTGCGCCTTGGTTTTTCCACACGCTTCTTGCGACCCTGTTGACTATTTTGAATGAAACGCTTGATTGTTCGATGATCACGCTTCAGAAGCTTTTCAATTTTAAGAGTGCTGCATCCCTCTGCAAGATATCTCACTATTTTGACTTTTCTGAGCCTGTCAAGTCCTTCTTTTGACCCATTTTGCCAAAGGAAAGGAAGTTGCCTAATAATTATGCACACCTGATATAGGGTGTTGATGTCATTAGACCACACCCCTTCTCATTACAGAGATGCACATCACCTAATATGCTTAATTGGTAGTAGGCTTTCGAGCCTATACAGCTTGGAGTAAGACAACATGCATAAAGTGGATGATGTGGTCAAAATACTCATTTGCCTAATAATTCTGCACTCCCTGTATAGTGGACCGTTCCTATTGCACTATTGGTTCCTTTTATCTGTTTTTTGTCTTTCATATGAGTGGATTCATCCAGGTAAAGATACTGAGGATATTACTCCCGATCAAGCACTTTATTCTATATTTGATCTGAGTAAGATCCTTCCTATTGGACTCTTTTTACTGATATTTGAATTTTTTTACCTATTTTATGTGTTGTGATTTTTACTTATTTTATGTTTTGATTTTCACTGCTCAGAATTGGCACAGCCCTTATCTCTACTTTTCTCATTATCTTGGTTTTCAAAGGGTTTAGCGGGATCTCCCTTCCACGGTTGCTGCCCATCTGTTAATTAGCACTCACTCTTCTCTCTTGTTGTTCATAAATCTATGTGAAACTGTGCGTATTGTAAGTCTTTGTGAATCTGTAAATCTTAATCTGTTTTAATATGTGTGTCTGAAATTGTGGGTGTGTTAATCTGTGAGTATTATTAATTTGTGTGAATCTGTTTCTAAATCTGTGTGAATCTGAGTGTGTGTGTTAATCTGTGAATCTAAATCTGTGTAAATATGTATGTGCCGGAAGATATGAATGTGTATTAATCTGTGTTAGAATTAAGTGTGTGTGTGTGTGTGTGTGTTAATCTGTGTGAATCTGTAAATCTAAATTTGAATGCCTGAATCTGTGAGGGTGTGTGTGTGTGTTTGCTAATCTATTAAGTGTGTTAATATGCGGGTATGTGGGTATATATATGTCTGAACTGGTAATCTGTATGTATGCCAATCTGCGAGTGAATCTGTGAGTCTGAATCTCTGTCTTAATCTGTGAGAATGTGTGGTATACCAAGTATCTATATATAGTTCCAGAATAGTGTTCCTTCTTATCACAAGTCTCCATGTGGTGTTCCTGATTATTTCTTCACTTCAAGACAACATATGAGAGAGCAGAAAAAACAATAGTGCAATACCTAAGTTCAAATGTAGTACACACCACACTTAAGTCCAATTGCCACTTGTAGGTCTGGTAGTTATCCACAGCAGAGTAGCGGGGAGGTGGACCATATAGAACCACAGGAAAAAACAATAGTGCTCTCCATTTCAGTAAGTGCAGAAATATTAATTAAAAACTTACATTCAATATAAGGAGCATCTATATACCAGGCGTAAGTGGTATGATCCAACCTCGCCACTGGGCATTGGAGAAGACTGATTGCCAGCCTCTTACTGTATTTAAAGATCTGGCCCTTTAAATACAGTATTTGGGCATATTGTATTTTATTGTGCTGTTTCTGGCCCTTTAAGTACTTTGGGAAAGGACATGCAGTTTTGGCATGGCACTTCGGATGGCCGCCATTAGAAAATCGAACATGTGGCTGGCGGCCATTTGCATTCATTCGAATGCAGTCAGCGGTGTGTGCCGTCAAACTCATGGGATTAAAATTGGCTACAGAACGGGATGAACACCACTGAAGTTTTACCTTCCCTGGAACTAATGCATTCAACAGTTCTATAGATACAAATATCCATCTCACTATCTATCCTAGCTGTTCATATAAGGGTTCATTTAAACTTGGAATTGTATCTTCGATTCCGGGAAGAATTTATCTAATATGATTTACGAGAATTGGTTATTGAACACGTCTCTGCTTTTCATTTCCAATTTCCAGAGCTCTGATATTTAGAGTTGGCAAACATCCATCAAAGGGCTCGGGCTGATTTTATCCCCAACAAATTGGTGTCAGAAGTTTTGGGTTGCAATTGGATGGAACGGAAATGACAGGTAAGAGGATTTAGTTTCTTTAAAGACCTTCATTCTTTACCTGCTTCTCCCATCCTACACACATTGCATTTGTTATTTAAATGGGGTTTTTCCTTATTTAAATTTTTATTTAAAGGGGATTTTCACTGCATAATGTCTTTGATAGACATGGTATTTTTTAAGTCTAAGGTAGACTTTTATGACTCCTTGGGTAGGAGGAAAGCCTTTGGCAGGCAGTTTTGTGCACAATTGTCTATGGTAGATTATTCCTCTTTGGTAGTGGTTCACCTTTGGCAGGTGGTAAAAAGGAGTGTTAACGGTTCAGGACCATCAGTGGTAAAACATGCGTTTGGACCGCTGACAGTCCTGAACCGTCATAGCGAAAAACTAGATTGCTCCTGCCAGTATAACGCTTTAAGTATCTGCCAGACATCCCAGGCAGATACTAACAGCCAATTGCGGCATATGAGCGATCCGTGATCGCTCACAATTGGCTGCTGTCAAAGTGGGTGTTACAAACACTCACTTTGACAGTGATCTCTGCCCCTCTCTCCTCTGTAGCGTTTTGTGAGGCGAGAGAGAAAGAGATTGTGATAGTTTGTTGCAACAGAAGTGTTCCAGAGCTTTATACAGTATCTAAAGTGAATAAAAAAAACCTTCCCTGCCAGATCTGTTACAGCAGTGCATTTGTACTGTCTGTATTTTTTCTTTGCCCTTAAAGGGTTAAATTTGTTTTAAAAGTCTGTGTCTTGATCTGTCTTGGTCTGTCTTGGTCTGTCTTGGTCTGTCTTGGTCAGTCAGTTTCCTTCCCCCAAATCTCCATTAGATTTTTGTGACAGGTGTTAGTTTAGGGATTGCTGTTTAGTCTGTTTTAGTAGAAAAAAAAAAGTATAAAAAATATTTGTGTGT